GCCGATCATGGAAATTCACCACGGGCACTCACTACTCATCTCCAACCAGGGTGTTGAACCGGAACCGAACCGAACCGAAAACCGGAACAGAACCGTTATTTTTAGCCGAACCGGAACCGAACCGAACCGAAATCTTCGCCACCACCTGGAACTGAACCGAAACCGAACCGAAAAAAAATATAACGGTAACCGGTTCAAAACGGTTCAAGGTACTTTCTGTTTTTGTTAGTATCACAAAATGAACATGTTGGAATAAAAAACTGGCGGCTGTATTTCTATCTATCGATCAAATCGTCATATACAGAATTGCAATGTATGGTAAATTATGGGTTTTCGTGGCGCTTTTGTATTGGCACTATGATTAACCATGTGTCATGTTGTCACGTGACCTCGTGACGTCACGTGACTCACTGCGTCAAATCGATTTAGTTTGAGGAAGTCACTAGATGTATTAACCTTGTTGACAGCATGATGTAACATGACATCACAAGTTTGTACCGAGAGTCAAGTGACACCATGACGTAAACAATTTTCACAGCCTTTAGTCGAGTGCTCGGGTTCATGACAATCAGCATCGCCAAACATTCGGGTAACGGCTGGTGTTCAATTAAATATGATAATAGCCCAACTAAAACAATACCTGAAGCTCAGCCTAAGCTTTTGCTTTCCAAACCCTAGCCGCCTAGGGCATGGCTATGATTAACACTGACGGCATAAACTTAGCGTCAGATCACGTGGACGCTTGTTCAAATCGCGAGTTGAGGAGGGGATCGACAGCCGTCTCTTTCCTTTTTTTTTTCTGCATCTGCTATTGCGCGGAGGGGAAAACTAATGGATGTTTTCGCAAGTTATCATCGTCAGTGTTTACTTCTTAACAGTATTTATTAAAAGTACAAAAAAAATGTTTCCAGACCAATTTTACATCATTGAGGCACCCAAACATTTTTTCGTTGTTGCTGAACTGCATCCGAAAGATGTCCCCGAGAATAGAAGTTTTGAAATGACTAAATGCGACTTATTAATGTGACGTTCCATAGAGCTACACGTGTGTACGGAAGGAATACTTAAAAAAAAAGAAAAAAAAATTAATGACCTCAGAGGGACAGCCGAACGTTGGCAGTCGCTGTAAGTCTCACACAAGCGTCGTTCTCAAGGTATTGCCCAAGTTTCGACCCCTCTGTATTTTGCTTAAAAGAGCTATAAAAATATTTCCATGCATGACTAAATACTACTCAGGATCACTCCCAAACGTTAATAACTGATTGAACCTGGCTTTGCTTTTTTTTCTAGGCAATGGCAGTCGCCAAAAAATTAGAAAAAATATGAGAATCGTTCATCCCTTCAACTCGGAGCCAGAAGCGGCCACGTGGCCTGGTGCCTACCTTATGCCGCCAATTAACGTTAAAACAATTCGGGTATTCTCATCACCGCAGTGGTTGGACACGAGCCACTACCCAAGTGTCCGCGAAGGCATTGACTGTTACGAGCCGATGTCTTGTGCTCACGCAGTTCTCCTGTCCAATCCAAGAGCCGCGCTCGACTGTCGTTAGGCGGGTAGTTTTGATCTCACAATTACGACATCAATCCTTTCCGAAGGCAAAACTAAAAGAAATAGTCTCATTTTATCCTCACAATTTCACCGCGACAAAAAAGCGTCTGAATCAGTGGCGGCCTGTGCGAGTATACTTGGGCCAGATCGGGACCAGTACGCCTCGGAAACGTCATAAACATTCCAACCCGATATCGTTTTAGGACTCCTTTAAACTTCACGCGGTGTAAAATAAAAGCAATGAAGGGTTTCTGTTAACAAGTGGCAAATAAAATTGTCAAATTAGCACGCACTAAGGAGGAGGCAATTCCTCAGGAATAGGTTCAGTCTTTCCACTCTGGTGTAGAAGGAAGACCAGCGAAGCTGTACTATGCATGGTGGGAATGAAGTAGTGGCCGGCCACAAGTCGGCAAGCCAAAGTGGAAAGGCTGGAGAGGTTGCCGCCATCTATGCGCGACAGCGGCAACCAGACAACCGGCCAGCCGATTGTCTGGTTGTCGTCGTCACTTATAGAGGGTGGTAGCTGTCCAGAGTTTACTGTCATCATTTGTTTGCTGACGGACACGATACTCTTGAAATTATCCCTTAACTGCTCCGCTGTAAAAAGAGGTGTGTGTGTGTGCGTGTGTGGGAGGGGGAGGGGTTAGTTTTAAAAACATACTGTGTTTTAAAGGTTCCTCTTCCCCGCATCTTTGGCGCAGACCAAAAAGCGTTAAACCCCGGAAACTACTTCGTTTACAAAAACGCTCTTGCCAAAAAACACGTTTTTGTCGTGCCAGACGCTTGCGCCGTCCCTCACGACGATGCACTAAGAATAACAATACGTGCCTTTCAATTGTTGGATTTCACTGAGCTTGAACCTCCTGCAGTGTACATTTTGCACCATTGAATTCGATTTTCTCAGCAAGAAGAAATCACAATGACCACCAGCCTATAGTATGATGACGTCAGGTGCATACCATGTTAAACAGTTCAGCTTTCTAGCAATACACTAGCAATGCATGTCCTGGTTGTAAAGTTGTGCAGTATTTATAGCAGTCTCGCAATGATATATGGGAGCCTAGAGAAATGTTAGAGCGCATGACTATTCAAGCATAGTGTTGTAAAGTGAGGGCCCTAAAAACAATCGTAGGTGAAACCGAATATAACATTAGCCTCCCGAGGCAGTATTTAGCGAAGTTTCGAGCTATGCAAGCTGACGAAATGTGATTTATACTAAGATTTTAGGAATCTTCGCCTGTCCTTCGCGCTATATATGTAAAATTATAAATTTCATTGCGTGCATCTTTACGCATCTCTTTTTGCAGTAAGGCGTTCTGTAAGGGATTATTTAGAAAGATAACATTATTATCTCTCTCTTTTTTAACATTTCGTGCATTTGAGTTCCAATCTATCATGTGAGCACAGAGTCCTTTTTGGCGTACTCTGCAACCCGATGTTTCACACTGCCAATCAGCCAAACAGAAACAAAAAAACACTTTTAAGCAGACTCCACAGCTCGCGTAGTTTCGAGTATCGTCCTTCCGCGTCGGTCTCAAGCGGTTATGTGAACTTTATAAAGTAAAATTTATTGATCATTATAAAAATATATTTGATTATACTAATTGAATATTTCACAACATAAATAAAGGGCCGACCACCCTAAAGCAATGCCCCCCAAATTATCTTAAATGTGTTCTGCCAATCTTTTCCGTCGTTTTTTATACTTGACAGGCACGTTGTAAGTGATAAGGGACGGCCTTACACACATTTTTGATTTTGAACCTAATTTAAATAACTGTGTTCCTCACACATATAAGTTCCTAAACCTATAGAAGTCTGTTATTGCCTCTTTTACGCAGTGAACATTACTTTTATGTGCCTGTGGGCCGGACAAAAACAAAGTAAACAGGGGCACGCGGCGGAACTATGACGATTACGCACGCAAACCGTCAGAAAGTGTCCAATTAAGTAGCTGCCATGTCGAGTACAACGTGAAATACTACTTCGCTTTACTTTACAAAAAAGAAACTTCGAGGACGCTTAAGCTTCACCTTTAAAAGTGGAACGCGATAGCCTTAACGGGCCTCGTTCTCATCGCATTCTCATTGCCGCGCAAGCTTGCCTCGTGTGGCCTAATCTACCCGGTAAAAACATGCATGAAAGACAGTTCGTATAATTGCATACAGAAGTGTTGCCTGTTAAGACGTGGCTCGAGAACAAAGGGTTTCCTTTGGCGGGGTCTGCTAATTGTGCTTTATGTCCTTTCCAGGAGTTTTGCGCCATGTATCATGATGCAAAGTCATGTTCAGGTACCAAATAATTTCATTATTTAGTACCTGAAAAACAAAAGTAAATTACACGGACGATCGAACAAACTATATAGTTAATCGTTTCACGGCGTAAATAGTGTATATTTCCAGAACAACGCGGAAAATATATTCTCAATTTAGCGGTTCAAACCGGTTCGAACCGGTTCGAACCGGTTTGAACCGTTATTTTTGCTCCCCGGAACTGAACCGTAACCGAACCGAAAGCTGTGAACCCAAACCAGAACCGAACCGATAAAAATTTCGGTTCGACACTCTGTCTCCAACTCCTCAATGTACAAAACAACTCATCTTGGAGTACAGAACAACGAGCGGAACAAACATAACTGCAAAAGAATCGCACGGCGAGCAGTTCCCGCACGCCGCATCGCACGCCGCATGTCGTCTGCTACAGAGAGGAGAAAAAAAAAAAGAAAAAAGAAAGAAAGCACGGTCGGGTGTAGCCACGTGACTTCCGCCACTCACTCTCTTCTCTCCACTTCTCCGACCTCCGTCGGGTTTCGGTTTCGGTTTCGAGCAGTTGCGTCTTTTGGCTTTATTTAAAAAATACGCTACTCTGTTGCAAAATATGAATTGGGTAGTCCTCCGACACCATAATGAAGCGGCTGGCAAAAAATTAACAAAATTTTTTGGGGGGTGTCAGTGTCCCTTTAAAGGTGTTGGGTTGGTCTGCTACCGGTATGTTCGCCAAGGCATCGAAGCAAGCCGCAGCGTGCTCGGGGCACTCTCAGATAATGTGCTGCGTCGTCACAAGAATGTTGCACGCTACACAATTCGCAACTTTCAGCGATGGTGGTACCGCGGTGTGAGAATCGCGCTCCTTATATCTCCTGGATGATTGGCCTCATAATAAATGTGCTTGCCTACACCTTCAGGGCGTGAAAAAGTAACGTAAGGCTCTTATACTGCTCGTATATAGCAAAACTAGAATTACTTACGCGTCGCAGACCCAGCCTCGTACCGCTGTACTACGACGATCATACAGATGACAGCCATTTTGATAGGCACCAGTAGGCCCCTATAGGTCATGAAAGTTGCGAATATCCCTGGTGCGGGTCACTTTGAAATATCCGGTAGCGCAGAGCTGGCAGCATATAAGGGTGATGGTGGGGGTACGGCGGACGAGAGTCTGGGGCTCTGGGTCATGCGGCTTACTCCTGCTGGCATTGTGGATATCATCCTGTTGTGTCGGTTGAAACTCGAGGCCGCAGCCTCAGGTTGCGGAGTGTTCTCTTTCGCTCCAACTTGGCGAGCGCGGCTCTTTCAGTGAGGTCCGGTTGGGTGTCGTGTTGCGAGTGTGGTTGGCGGGTACGAGTAGCAGCGGAAGATTCGCTTAGTGGTGCACGCGCCTCGTTATGGGCACATTAGCTTTCCTGAATAACCAAGTTGGCGGGTACCCAGGCGACACGGATTTGAGTGTAGTGGTTTAAATGAAGGCGGTATCCGATGCCGAAGCGTTTGTTCACACGGTCGCTCGCCTACTCGGATGCTTAGCGGCACTCCAAGTAAGACACTTGCGAGTCTGTGTAGATGGGGATGTTAGTGGTTGATGCTTCTGAGTAATTCTGTTCCGCATGTTAGGCTGCTTGCAAAATGGCTTCTAACTCGGCGCCCTTAATACCTACTCCTTTGTGAGCAAAAGGGACCATAAGTCGAAGTGGGATACGCTAACCCACACAGCAGACGCTGGCGGTGCTCCCTGTGTAGCAACATGGCCGCTAGCAGCGTCCGTGTAGTAAACGACGTGACGCTGAGAGTTCGGGAACGCGGCTTGCCGTTCGTGCGCCTTGGCATGATAAGCTCATCGCTCTAGATGCTTGGCGTACACGCGTCAGGGTAAGGGAGCATCAGCTATTCAGATCATTTGGCTTTCCAAGGGTGGTGGCGGGAGAGGCAGTGGTTGTGGTGCGGACGATGGCAGGCGCCGATCCCTTGGAGGATGGCCCAGCCTGGCTTGGTACCCCACAGCCGAGTGAGCTAGGCAGGCTTCAGTTGCTCAGCTCCATCCTCGGGCTTGTTGAGTTTACTGTGAGCGTATAGGTCCGAGAACCAGCTGTGCTTCGAAAGGCCGGTGATAAGCCGGATCACTTCCTTGTTGAGGTTCTCGACAGCGTCGAGTAGGCGTTGTGTTAGGGTAAGAGGGCCTGGACGAGCTATCTGCTCTCTTTATCGCCTGTGCCACACTTACGGTTGGTGACTCGTCGTATCAAGTGAAGAATTTGGGTACCTTCTTACTTAACCGTACTGAGCCACGTCCCGGCTTTGCCGTCCAGGTTTATGAATAGTCCGAGAATGCTCACTGTGGGCCTTCTGCGCATAGTGATGCTGTTTATTGTCAGGTTGTTAATAAAGCGGATTTCGTGGGCGAGGTTTTTGGGGCCAGAGGGTACTACGATGTACACAGACTTCTCTGGAGAAACGGTCATTAAAACGCCGTCTACAAAAGAATGAAGAGCGTCGAGGCCGCACTTTAGTGCCTGCCCTTGATCCCCAACGTTGCATGTCGTGGACTTGAGAGTTATGTCATCTGCGTGGATGTCAAAACAAAAATTTGGAATGGAGGTAAGACGCAGCGGGAGGCGAGCCATAACCATATTTGCAAATGGTCGGCGAGAGCTCCGTCCTTAGCTGCACTCCGACGTGGTTGATGGTTTCGGGTCTGACGTTGCTCTCGATCTTCGCTTAAGTAGGCTACAGAAAGTTTCGCGTTACTCGGGCTAGGGTGCTCCGGCAAAATGTTGCGTCCATGATTTGCCTTGGAATTAATTTAACAGGTTAATAGACACACCTGAACTATTATACCATCTTACAAGTCACAATAATCTCTTTTTACTAACTAATTGAAGTTTGAATGTTGGTCTGAAAGGCTGCGAGGTTCTACAGGCAACACCGAAAACGTGACGTCGAATGTCGAAATATGACGCTGTACCGCTTCGTCCTGACGGATTACGAGACGTTTGCTTGTATGAAATAAATGCTCTAAAACCTTACGCCGGTAAAACAATTAAACAGTGCAAACTACTGAGTTTTTAGACTGCCTGGTAAACTTGCAAGTTATACAACATGTGGGGTAATCACACTGGTGGACGCGGAAAACTTTGAATGATGGTTTTGGCATAACTTTCATTTGCCGGTTTCTCAAGAGATGCTTTGAATTTATAGATAATAAATATCATACCAGAAGGAGCAAAGCTTGGATATTCCGGAAATATGTTTAGTTTGGGGTGATAAAACATTGCCGGAGCTTTTAAAGCGACACAATCAGTTCCAGCAGCAACACTATTATGGCGCGTTCACACTGGAAGCGGATCCGCGTTCGCGAAGCGGATCCGCGCGTTCTCAACCGCAAAGCGGCTAGGATCGAGCGGTTGGAGCGCGTTTCTGCCAACCGCTTCGGGACCGATTTCTCCCAACCGCTTTCACGAACCGCAAAGCGGCAACCAATCACAACGCGACGCTGACGTGACGTCAGTGACTTTCGAAACAAGATGGCACCTGTCGCTGGTGAGGCGTCCAAGGCAATGTAGTCCTAACGCTGTAGTCTTAGCTTTCGACAAATCAACGGAGAAACTTGATGTTCACGTCCGTCACTTGAATCCGCCGCGAAAAGAATTGACTCGGTAATTTTAACGGGCTTCGCACCAGTGGTTTGGTTCGGGTAAGAGTTTGTTGATTATTCCAGGTGCCACGGCCCAAGCTCGCCGCCTTGTTAATCTCTGCCTGTAGAACGTCGGAACCCGCCCCTGATCGACCGAAATGTCAGCTTTTCTACCCACTAGGATAGTCGCGTGAACAATTGAAAGCTTTCGACACCGTGCATGACCACCACGAAGGCCGATAGAGACGTCGTGAGCTTGATTGCGTAGCCAACGCACTACCGCGGAGGGGGCAGGGTACCTGCGCTAGCCCGACCTGTAACGTTTACTACTAATAACATAAATAAAGGAAACCTACTCAAGGAATAAAGTGTACGTACCAGACAATGCAGAGGTAATCCATACGGCGTTTATTTGAGCTTAATGTCAAACGAACAGTAGACTCGATCGACGAGCGAGTGACGAGAGGAGAGTCCGCCACCAACGAAGCCACGACCGGCTAGCACCGAACGCATTTCCCCGCACCACGGTCCACCCCACCGCTCACAACTTCGAAAATGATAAGAGCAAACAACAACGAGGGGGAAAACTGGCCCTCTATCCCGAAAACAAGGTCAGCTATTCATGCGAGAAGGGTCCACTTCGAAAAAAAGGTCGGGGCATCCTGTTCTGAGTCAGCAAGGCACTCCTAGTTGGGCTTTGCTTGTGGGCGAAGTGGAGGGAATCACAGCCGGGTTTGGCGGGTCCATGCTTCCCTTTTCGCTGCCTGAACTCGTGATGCGCGCGAACATCCCGGAGAGAAATATTCTGAGTGCCAAAATAGCCAAACTTTGGCTTTGAATCGTGAATTAAAGTGGATTCTGAATTGTAAAACAGGGTTGCCCAACGCAAGTCTCGAAAGATCACGCGTGATCGCCGAGAAACCGCCAACCGGCTCTCGGCGAGTCTGAACGGGGTCGCTCGCGAACCGCATCCGCGACCGCTTTGCGAACGCGGATCCGCTTCCAGTGTGAATGCGCCATTACCGTGGCGCTCAGAATCGCCGCATAATATTGAAAGAAGCCCCAAAGTTCGAATCGGACGCCTGGAGGATCCTGGACCTGCCCTGCTTCATACTCGCACCTGAAATGAGAACGGTTGTGTAAGAGAGACGACTCGCGGACAGTCCCGAGAAAGTTCCTGAAAGCCTCCTTCAGGTGAAAGTTCTTCCGAACTGGAGTCGTCGTCATGTAATGATTGTAATGTTCCTTGAACACAGAGACGTCTAGGCTTACAGGTTTGATGGTGCACAATTTCGCCTCGTTCGTGAAGCAGACCCGATCGTTTCTTCTGGCGCAGAGAACGCAGTCTTCAAAGCTGCTTGCCACAAGGTTTTCTTCTTGGCCCTGTCTGAATGCTGTCATGAGTTGCTTCATGAGTGGGGAATAGGTTACATTCAGTTGGAAAGTCTTGATGGCGTTTGATTTTATTGACGTGTCTCGTAGAATGTGGTGCAATGGCGTTTTATTAACAACGCAAGGAGCCACCGTACCGCTGTCCAAGCCCTGGCGCAGTTCTTCCAACGTGTCCAAGACATTTTCTGGGACGTTGGTACTCAACCACGACGTCATCTGCCCTCGGAAGTAAGTGGACAGCGGGAGGATGCTCAGGAGCCAGATAGCATACACACTTCTTCGAAGACCCGTTCGTCGGCGCGTGTACGGGATTACGGATGATGTTGCATACAACGTGGCGAACAAAAACAATCCCGTATCTGAGACGTTACGCAAAGTACCAAACTCCGTCCGGTCGATGAAGCACAGTATCAGTAGACAAAAGCAGAGTGATAAGAAAAATAGGACGATCGCTGTTGAGGAATGAGCAAAGACATCTCCGGGTGATAACAAACGAGTCGCGTTTGCATTGGCGTAAAACGTTGGATATTCGTACATCAAAACTCTTGGAAAATCAAATAATCTCAAGAAGTAGTAAGTGTATATTTCCTTGTGCAAGAATACGTCGATCGAGCCATCGGCCAATCCTTTTATGACTAGGTCCTGTAGAGTAGCATAGTGGTGAAAGTGGAGAGTCGCATTTGTGGCCTTCAGCAGACCTATAACATGCATCATAAGTGCGGAGTCGTTAAATGAGTCATAATATTTGTTGTTAACAAAGCCGATATGAATGTGCTGGCAAGAGAGACTCCGAGGTTTTCTCAGACCTTGAAAGGACCCAGGCACAGGCGCATTCCTTTCGTGGATCGAGGGTTCTTTGAGCGTCCTGTCTAAAACTCTGATCAACGGGGATCCCGGAAAAACTGAAGTTTCCGGCGCGGGAAAAGGAAATTGTCTCCGAAATCTATCGCTTTTTTCTTCGAAATAAGAGCTCAGAATATCAAAGTCTTCGTGTGATAAGAAGATCCACTTCGCCATATATTTAGAAAGAGGATTTTCCTGTATTAGCTTCAAACACATCGCTGTGCTGTTTCGTGAACTTGGAACCAGCACTGTTGTATGCATGTTGTACAGCCTGTTGGAAACCAACACGTCGGACAGCCCCTGCTCGTTGTAAAGCCATTTCGATGCCTTCAGAGGCAACTTCCTCATCCAAACCCGGTCAAGGTCGTCCCAGAAGCCCTTGCAAGAGACGTACACAACGTCAGTGTTGCCTTGGATTCGGGTACCAAGTATGGCTTCGACTTGCGAGGTAAGAAGTTCACCGTCTTGTTGCATCAAGGAAACCGAGAGGCCAGTAATAATCAACAGTAAAGCGCTCCTTTGGTAGCACATGGTGGTTTGGGAAAGCGACTTAGATCTGAACATTAATACAGCAGCCCGCGATGAAACTGGAGAACTGAACATAGAGGCAACCGTGACAACAACCGGAATAAAATAGATACAGTGCTCGTCGTCAACATCTCACGCGATTTCAAGCTTACCTAAGTCATTTGGAAGTATGGATTGCGTGAGCTGCGCAAGTTCCACATTGATGTGCCTATTTGTTTTAAAATGGCAATACACGGCAGCGTTTTTGGCTTCGCGTCTTTTGTGCGTGTAATAAGCTAGAATTTTCTCCATGACGACCGTTGTGCCTTGTTTTGCTTATTTCGCTTTGAAACAAGTCCATTAGAATGGAGAATGTTATTGACGTGGTGCGACGTGCGATAAAAAAGCAATATCTGCCCATCCATTATTCACGCTGTCCTTACTGGCACGAGAAATGAACATTTTCGAGCCTTTCGTCCCTCTATATATGAATTATTTAGAACTACGAATCAAAACATTCGCAGCAGTTCAAACAGCGCTACGCGGAATGGGCCTATAAAATTTTACGATGAGTAAAGCAGGATTTAAATTAACACATAGGCTTCTTCGTGTATTGATTTTATTTAGGCATTTTGAAATACGACAATTGCACGTATATTATTTGTTAATAGTTGTGTGGCGTAAGGTATGTCTACAAAATACTTGAAGTAAAGTACAAACTAATGGAAGGTCATTTACTTAAGCAAAGTAGTAAGTACACCGGGAGCAAAGTACTTGAAGTAGAGTACTATAGATACAATATATTTTCGAAGTAAAGCTCAAGTACTTCTGAACACAATCTTTCATGGTGCATTTCAATTCGCCTATAGAAAGCTTTTTTTTTTTTTTTTTTTTTTTTTACAAAACTGTTGTGTATTGCCCCAGGGGTCATCGGGGCGTGCATCAGTTGTTTCCTCAAATGGCGGAAATGGCCACAGCGTAGTTGTTTTAATCTCGCTGACGAACTGTTCCGCACTATTAGCTTATAAGGCGCTTATTTGTATCGGTCTTATAGCGGCCATTACTTCACTCAGAAATTACCAGATGAGCAAGGCGTGTTCTGCTTCTGTTTCTGGTGAGGGTTGATTATTCCTCCCGGTATTTCTCTAAAGCTGACAAAGCATCATTCTGTGATACAAACTTAACAAGACCAAATGTGGGGAATTTAATCTGAAGTCGAAAGTAGTACTTTCCTCGGAATGTACCAGAAAAAATACTTTAAGTTAAGTTCAGGCGCATATTCAGAGAATATACTTCAAGTAAAGTACAACTTTTCTAAGCCTACTTGAAGTAGTACTTTAAGTACAGTGTACTTAAGTACATTAAGTTGTGGAGATCTGGCTGCCCTCCCCCGCGCCGACCCTCCGGACCCTAATTTCCGGCCTCCGAGATACGTCATGCCTCGGGGGAGCGGCCATGGCCTCGCGTACCAGAGATCCGGGTACGGCGCTCCCCTAGGCCAACTGACGTCACGCGATTGGCTTCCCAAGACAAAGGGGCGAAGGCTTGAAAAGGGGAAGCCGCACAAAGGAAGGCTCTCTCTTGGACGGCAGGGCGCTCCCGGATGGCAGCGCTCTTGGACGGTGACGCTCTCTCGAACGGCGGGACACGAAGTATGGTGCAGCGGTGACAAGGAGACGAGGACGCTGGCGCGGGATTTGGCGGGAGACGGACGGTGGCGCGGGAGAAAGTGCGGGCAAGACGTCGAGTGGGGGACTCGACGAACGGACCGGACGGCGACCATGGACGACGACGTCCCCATGACGCGGTGTGGACGACCACCGCTGGGACTTGGAGCAGCTGCAGTGACAGCGTGCTTACCCCCGGCCTCGCTGATGACCGTTCCCCGATCCCGGAACCCCCAGGCAATGAGTGAGTGAATAAACCCTTTTGCCGAGAGCGAAGTATTGCTGTGTCATATTCATCCGGAGACAAGGTTTGAGGGAATCGAGCCAGAAGCCCGCAAAGTACAATGAACTTAAAGTACTTCCCAACATTGAAAAATAGCATAATCGTAACTGTGTTTCCTGTGCGAGTACTTTCAATGCTTTTCTTTTTCGTTAGGCGAAACAAATGTTTTTTGTTTCACAGGATATTTCCCTTAATTTATTTTCCACTACATATATTTAATTATATTAAGGATAACTTGGAATGTTAAAACATTGTCTAATACATTTTTATCGAATAGACCTGTTGCAAAACGTACAACGCCACGACGGCAGGGGATTTCGGGAACCCTCGGTACAGATCACGCGCTTTCTCGTTGCGCCTCCGCGACTGCGCGAGCGTCCCGGTAGCTACCGCCATCAGCCGTTGCAGCCATCCGCCATCCCGCCCATCCGCCGAGTCGCACGTCGCTGGCGGCGTACCGTACCTGTGGCAGCGTAAAGGCATCGCGACAGATGAACTTATTTGAATACGTTAATCGTCGTAACTTACCTTCACGTACTGAAGTGTCACCGAATCCACTTATTTTGCACCGAAACCATGGCAGGTTTCGACCAGGTTCGACAAAGCGTTGGTGCAGCAGACGACAGAGCCGGTACAAAGGAGAGGGATGAGACAGGGGCAGCCGTTGGCTCGTCGCTCATCCGACTCGGTTGCTCAAAAGTTGTTGCCGTGGTAACCTGCGCCTGCTCGCGTATGTCACGTGGTAGAGGGAGGAGAGGCGTTGGGGGGGGGGGGGGGGGGGGGCGGGGGGGCGCGTACCGAGGACTCTCATTATTCGTCGCGCGCCGCGCGCGGACTTTTGGGATCCTTGAAGAGGGTCTATTAGCTCCATCGCATGCCGTCAAAATGTGCCTTTTTAGACATAACAGCGTTTAAAACTCCGTGTGTCTGGGCAGCCGCCGTTACAGCATAACCAACAAAACCACGCCGACAGAAAAGCTAACCAAAGCAAGATGCCGCCATCAAGTAAGGATGTAGTCCAAAAACAGTGCGACACAAAAACTGCTTAGCTGTGTTGAATAACACTCTCGAAACTTAAGAAATCAGGTATAAAATTGTCGGTTAAAATCTACTTGAAAATTCCCTATAAAAATCGCAGCTGGTCGGATCAAAAAGGGTATCATCTCTGCTTCTTAGAAAACTATCTGGTGGCTGCGCATCAAGAAGAATAAAGACCTGGGTGACAACTACACGCATATAAACAGTATTATATCAGAAAAGAGTCAACCTTCATCGCCATCTCACTTTTTTTTGTTGTTATTATAAGTACATTTTAAACGCGCTAAATTGAGTGCGTTCGCGTAATTACCCTATAAACTGAGATTGGTATGCTGATCCAGTTTAGCACCACTATAGCTAATTAGCTTTTCCTTAACTATATAATTACTGGAAATAAACATATGGTTCTAATTAAACACTTGCTCAGCACCATAAAAAGCACTAAGTAAATATGTTTTAGGAGGATCTGTAGCATGTGGAAAGCGCGGTGTTGCGCTAAAGGTACCACCTTGGCTACAGGCGCAAGGCTGGCCGTGCGAAAACACGGTTAAAGGACGGAAGAACCGAGCGGGTGCATCGAAGTTAAAAACGTTCTTGGGGCCCGAAAAAAAAAAAAAAAAAGCATGCGCAAGAAATTTTTTTACAATTGATCAATTTAGATTCTTTCGATGGCGCTCACCGCGCTTATACACCAACTCATGTTTGGATGGATGGATGGATGAATACGGCAGAGCCCTTTGGATCGGGCGGTAGCTTACGCCACCTGGCCATTTTGTTTTACCATTTAAGCTTAGAATATTTAAATGTGAAATCTATATTCACTCCGCAGTGCAAAGAAAGTGAGGCCATGAAACCCCCTTGCCATCAGTGAATAAGAAAATACCTAGTTTTCATTCGATTTCTGCCACCATTCACTTAATCTTTGCTTGGTAATCTCTATAGTCTTGAAATCCACTCTCCATTCGCTGTCTCTAAAACCCAATGACTTTATTAAATCTATGTTGTCTTCGGTAGGCATAGGGTGAAGCCCTTTAAAGTAGAGTATCAAGTGCTCAGCCGTCTCGTCCTCCTCTCCACAAGCAGTGCACACTGTATCAATTTCCTGGTACTTCACTCTGTATGTTCTGGTTCGCAGAACACCCATCCTCGCCTCAAACAGCAATGAGCTCCCCCTAGAATTGTCATAAATGCTTTCTTTGGCAATAACTCTTTTGTTTAATCTATAGCTTTCCAGAGCCGTCTTTGTCTGCATTCCCTCTAGCCACCGATCTCTTTCTGTGGCCTTAACTTTCTTCTTAACTGAGACTTGTTCTTCCGTATCTTCGCTATAGCCCAAAAACTTTCTTCTTAATTTCCTAGTGCGCTCTCTCCACTTTGTGCCTACACTTCTCATGTATAAATAGCTGAAAACCTTTTGTGCCCATTGCTCCCCATCCATTTGCCTCAACCTATCCTCAAATTCTATCTTGCTCACCGCTTCCCTGCTCTCAAACGATGCCCATCCCATGTCTCCTTGTACACCCTGGTTTGGCGTTTTGCAATGTGCCCCCAAAGCCAGCCTACCTACTCCGCGCTGTTTTATTTCTAGTCTCGCATGCACTTCGGATTTCATGCATAGCACCGCGTTTCCAAAAGTCAAGCCAGGCACCATGACCCCTTTCCAAATCTCTCTCACCACCTCATACCTGTTGCAACTCCAAAGTGCTCTATTTTTCATTACAGCTGCATTTCTGTTGCCCTTACCTATTATATACTTTTCATGCTCTCTGAGATATTCTGCACCATCACATATCCATACTCCTAGATACTTGTATTTACTAGCTCTCTCAACTGTAATATTCTGTATCTTCAGCCTCTCAACTTCATCCTCGTTAAAAATCATGACTGCTGAATTTTCGCTACTGAATTCTAAACCTAATTCCTCTCCTTCCCTACCACAGATGCTCATTAATTCCTGCAACTCTGTGCTGTTAGCCATTAGTACGATATCATCCGCATACATCAATCCCGGTAAGGATTACTGAATTTTTCGGCCTAGCTTACTGTAAGAAAGGTCAAATCCAAGCCCACTCTTCTCTAGTCTATCCTCCAATCCTCTCAGATACAACATAAACAGCAAAGGCGATAACGGGCACCCCTGCCTAAGGCCTCGTCTTGTCTCTATTTTCCCGGTCGCCTTTCCTTCCCATGTTATGATCACCTTGTTATCATTGTAAATGTTCCTTAATAGTGCTGTTAGTCCTTCATCTAGGTTTAAGCTCTCCATTATGTCCCACAGGCTCCTTTGGTTCATATTGTCATAGGCACCCTTGATATCCAGAAATGCCAGCCAGAGCTGTCTGTTTTCTTTTTGCGCTATTTCTATACACTGTGTAAGAGAAAATAAATTGTCCTCCAACCTTCTTTATTACGAAACCCGTTCTGTAACTCGCCCAGTACGCCCTCGCAATCTACGCATTCCTCCAGTCTGTTCTTTATAATCTGCATTTTGAGTGACGGGCTAATCTTCTAGGGGGAGGATGGATGTGTCTGGATTACTGGACATTTTTTTTTATTATTTGGTCCGAACAAGAGGGGACTCCCCCCTTACCGTCTTCTTGAACTGTTTGGTAGAATGAGCGATTTACGAGTTGAGGAGGAAAGTTAAACAGGAAAAAGTTGGAAGAGTGTTTCATGACTCCTTTAAGATGGGGTATGTACAAAGTGGTCCACACACTTCTGGTTCTTCAGTACACCAAATACGAGATGAGCCACTCAGCTGGCCCCTCGGCTACGTTGTATGAGTGTTCGGCAAGTCCATGAGACACTTGCGTAGACGCACCATCCTTGTTTAAGGAGCACAGAAAAGTGCTGAATTTGGAGACCCCCCAGCTGCTGTGCTCTGTCTGTTGAGCCTGAAAAAAAAAAAAGTACCAATATTAACTATGAGGCATTACTCCCAAAGTCAACCATGGCTCTCTACTACAGGTCTCCAGCTTCAACAGTAATAAATTTATTGAAAATTTGTGCATGAAAAACGCTGTCACAAATCATTAATCTGGAAGCTGGGACAAGCGATGGCTCTAGATGTAGAAATAATCAGCAAAAACACAAGAGCAAATATGCTAATAAAAATTTAGTAGCAAGCAAAACAGCATGTCAAGACAAATAAATGAATTCTTAATAAAGGCCATAACTACCAACTATGCAATATAACTTCTGAAGGTTATGATTCGCTTTGTCCAGTTGAACTCTGAACTGCATCATGAAATCAATAAAACCAAAGCACAGTACAACCATAATGTACTGTTGTGGACCATATGAGCCAAAACAGTTTTAATGCTTCGTTGGCATACATTTGTCAGTTTTTCAGAGAGCTGTGATTCTAACCAGACTTGTACGTAATCCGTTACAAGTAACGAAATTACTTGTAATCCCTTACATTTATCAGTAATATAGTAACGGAATAATTACATATTTGCTAGAGTAATAGACCCCTTTCATAGACATGACAACTCTGTGTGCCATAGGCAACAGTGTGCACGCTCTCCATGAAGGAATGTTTTTACTTTGCCCCACTGGCTATGCGTGAAAAAGCGGCATGGCAAATGCAAGTAACAAGGTTCTGTTTCCCATCACCGGCTGGGAAAATAACCTAGCTAGCTAGCTTGCTAGGTATGAAACCTGAAAACAAAGAGCCCTCATAATGATGTGTCTGCAAGTCATTTTTAGAGTCCACAAAGCATCTAGCACACTGAACTAGCATAAAAAAAGATGTCCTCAAAGGAAACTTAGGGTGGTGCTATCTCAATACTGCATGGTAGCATAAAGTCACATGGTGTTAGTGGATGTTTCAGTAACATAAAAAGATATTCAGAAAACGCGTCTGCAAAGCGGAGTTTTTTTTAATGTCGCTCTTCGTCTGGCACACACAGTTTGTTAAAGAGCAGAAGACGTTAGCAGGACTGATACGCGAATATGACAGCTCGTTGAGCAACGTCAACGGTATCTGTCTATTGAGCAACACAAAGTAAAGGTCCAATGAAATAACAGCATAGTGTATTAAGCAACTGCATGCGAAATCTCGAGGCTGGCCAAACGGCAACGAATGAGCCAGGTCAAACCGACGCTCATTTATCCGTGTCAAACGTATGTGTTTATTAGCAATAGTAAAGAAAACACAAAGCAGTATAATGCAGAACCAATATATTAACCGCATTAAGCAAATGCATGCAACTTCGTGAGATTAGCCAAACGGCCGCGGCAGCAGACGGCCCGATATGTATATATACTACCTCCCATCCGGATTGGTCAACGTATTCATACTGCGTGCAGACCGGGACACAGTAGTGTGTTGGCATTTTCACTGATACTCTCGAGCGCTTACACTGTCCATAAAACAACAGATGAAGCAACCTGGATTGGCACACAGCAAGGTGGCTACCTGTTTTTTTTCACCATGGCACGCTGCTGCTTACCACCTTGGTGTTTCCATGGTTACCATGCAAGACACACTTTTGCCGGGTTTTATGCAAGGGGTCTATTGTAAAGCAATTTTCTTACATATTTACGTAATGGCTTGATTTTAAATTGTTACGTTCTTATTCACAATGAAGCAAAAAACTTCAAACTTCAATAATGAGAAAAAGGTAAATGAAGGAGCTAACATTTAGATCTTACCGGACTCTCCAGTGGCATGACGTCACATGTTGTATAAATTGCGAGTCAAGCAAGCTGTCTAAATAAAGAATGCATTACTCTGCGCTTTGTTTTTTCGTTTTGCGTGTACAACAGGCATGTAGCCAGGGGGGGGGGGCCATGGGCCCCCCCCCCCCCCCCTTGAAATCTTTCATTTTGCTGAGACCTCCTCTCCCCCCTCCCCCTCATACAGCATTTTGTCATGGGTAGCCCCCGCCCCCCCCCCCCCCCCCCAAAACAAAATCCTGGCTACGTGCCTCGTGTAAAAGCTTCTCCGCTGTTCATTTCAAACCATCAAACTCCTCGTAAGCTTTCGGAACCACACACTGCCCCCCTATTTACGACATTTAACGTCAGATTTTCAGTGCTGTCCGTGAGGCCTTACACAACAATTTTAAAACTTCAACACACTGAGAAAGAAACAAATTACTGCGACTCATAATTTGTGTTACTAGTTCACTATTAATGTGCTGAATCAATTTTGAGGCAAATCAGTGACTATCAAAACTTCACTGGAGCTTTCCTATAACAACTACTGCCTTAATTTAAACTGACAGGATATCCACATTTAGGCAGGACGGGTCACAGCAGCCAGCTTGAGGGACAATGTTTTGTCCTGCTCCGGCTCCACCAAACTTCCGAATAAATAAGGTGCGGTTAAATGAAATGATGCATCAGTAGAGAGGGTTCTTTCACTGATCAATGAACAAGATATGCTTTACAGTGACACTGATGCTGAAGGTTAATTTGCGTGTGACATGCAAACAGTGCTATGAACATAGTATTTACAAAAATAAAAAATACATTATTACTAATGAAATATTCAAACCAAACGTATTGCATGTGCATGCCGAACGGTGCAAACTGCAAGGAAAGGAAATGGACAAGGTGTATACAAAATAATAATAAAAAAAGTGTTAGTATTTGTTACCTGAAGTTAAGGCTTTCAAGTACCCCCTCCCCCTCATGCGTCTGGCTTTGGGGCCCGAGAAATATGGTCAGTTTACCTTAACCACCATCATTTCAACCACTTGTTTATATGACAGTAGATGCTGCCAGGAGCACCAAGTTGGCATAAATCCCGTTGGCAGAATGCAAACTTCACACTCCCCTCGCCTGAATTTGAAGAGCTGCCGATAACTCGTCGATTCTTGAATGCCCCAGATTAACAGCTAAAGTGCAACAGTAGAGTGCACCTAGAAGCCCCTAGATTCCTCAAAGGCTACAAAAATTTCATGTCAGACCAGGCAGTGCGGTCAATCGCCTTTTTGTCGCCGTCATCAACCTTTTGCTTTTACTTGCAGGCCCCAGCTCGTGCAAGTAAACATTTATTTTCGGTATTCTACACCAGTCTACATTTTCGATCGGGACAATACCTAACCTTCGGACCAAGCAGTGGGAGGTGGTCAAGCAGCTCAGGCAGCTGGCCGAATTTTAAAAGTCAACCAATACCAAGGAGAGAGCTGCGAGTCATAGACTCGTTTAGCCAGAGCGGCCTGCTAAGCAGTCTTTTCAGATGGACCCAACTTGACAAGAATGTGTGTGTTCGCTACACTGTCAAAATGGATAGCCACATTTTTGTGCCCTTAACCACAGAATCGTAGAGGAGTTGTTAACGCGAACACAAAGAATGAGACTTCAATAAAACAAGTCGGTAATGTTCAGCCTGCTACTATTGGTAGCTGTCCTACTACATATCCCCACACTTCCATCCAGATATCGGAAATGTTGCTCCTTGTAACTGGAACAATGGCCACTAGAACGCCGGCCCTCTACTCAAGATGGAGACTCGTCTACCGGCGCTAAGGTCGCGGAGTACTTGCCAAAAAATGTGTAGCAAATCGCTGAGCAATCCCATCGCACGTGAAACATGCGGTTTCAGCCCGATTCTTCTGGGACTGACGTCTACGGTCTTGGCGCTCTTTGTCAATTAGTTTAGCGACTGACTTCAACGCGTGGCATGTACCTACGCTCGATAGCAAACCCTGGAATGGAGATGCCGGCACTAACCTGGGTTTTTAAAACACCCGTGCTCTTCGAGAACCCTCCGTAGCGGCAGAGGTTCCTCCAACAATGTCGAACCACCATCTTGCAGGTGAGCGGGGGCATGCGAGTGATTGCGCAATCACCGGCCAATCAGTGTCGAGGGAGCGTGGCCTCACGCATGACGTTACACCCAAACCAGCCAATCGGCGCCGATCTAACCGGCGGCTTCACTTTTCGGCTTCACAAATTTCTAGACCCCCCCCCCCCCCCCCTTTGATGAGACAGATACGTGAAGAAGGCAAATTCCGACCAGAATGATGCGGACAGTCTTACGAGCAGAGTTGCAAATGCTGCGGTCGTTTATAACATTGTCAGACTTATTTACAACCCATGGCGAAGCGATGATGCATAAAAAATGAGGAAATACAGTAAAACCTCGTTATAACAAAGTTGAAGGAGCGGTCGTGATTATTTCGTTATAACCATTAGTTTGTTATAGCCAATGTCCATTTCTTCCCTAACAGCAAGCAAGGGGAATTATAATTGCTTTGTTATATCCATTAGTTTGTTATATCCCGTTTTGTTATAACGAGGTTTTACTGTATACACGCGAGTCGGGAATTTTCCAAGGCTAACCAATAAATGTCACCGTAGTATTAGCGCATTCCCTCGTCATAAGCAGCTATACGCGAGCGTAACGCGACATAAGCACGATCAAACGCGGGTGCATGCACCGGCTTTAACTTTCTGCCCGACGAGCATAAGCAACTTACCACTGTCTTCGTCTCTGGTTCCCTCGGCTCATCGTCGTCGGAGGTCATGTCTAGTCCGAGGTCGACGACTTCCTCGATCATGTCGACGTCTTCGCAATCCATGCCTGGAAAGAGCTCGTCCGAAAAGACCGGAAGCTCCAGGGGACTCGGGACACGCTCTTCCTCCACTGCGGGTTCTTTTAATGAAGGGATCTGTCGGCATTCTGCTGTTCTCCTGTGCCTTGATGCGGGGATTTTCACTACCCTGTCTCTGAACTTGGTGCCGCCGTCCGCTGCCACGTAGACGTTTCGGTGGATGATCTTCAGGGCGGCGGGTTCCTGTTGACCTGCCGCGCCGCTGTCTCTGCGGAAACCAACATGCGACGGATCACTCAAACGACCACTGACGTGCAGAGAGTTGCGTGGTCTTCCACTTCTCATGCACCCGGCACGTGTGCAAAAGCCCCGTTTCTATTCTTATTGTCCGCCCCTTCGAGAGCAACTGTAACCGTCAAATTTTTTAACCCTGTTTGTCACACGATTGTTTATCGCTTTATATCCTTTGGTAGAGTGTTTCGTTGCTGTTAAAGGTGAAGGTGTGTAGTAGAGTGATCATAGATCATATCATAGACCGATATCCTTTGTTTGCAATTAGAGGTAAACTGCAACTTTAGGTAACAGTTGAACATCAAAAAATACTGTCCTCCATTTCAATACCTATGGTTTCCCACGGCAGTTGAAGTTCATGGAAAGCAAATCACTGTCCGAGAGTGGCGCCTCATTTATGGGCTCCCAAAAGTGTTGTTAATTGTTACGTTTTCCCAGATTATACATTGTTTTATAGCGATCCTCTAAAAAGAGCATCAATGAGGGTCTGGCCGGTTGAGGCTTGGGTGGTCACTATTCGAACCCCTCTGCATGCCTTCCTCATGCTTATGCGCTTCTCTTCCTGCACTTCTCTGTTTTCTTCATTCTCTTCTTTTGCAAGCTGGCATCGATCGCGACACTCCTGCACCGGCTACACTCAATGCACATGCCGTAATTCAGTTCACGAGTGAAGCCCATCTTAAAACATATATACCTGCAAGTACACTGTCCTGCACTTTTCTACACGGCCCCACAATTTTCTGCACTGGCGTATGCTGGTGCAGGCAAATCGAACGGGCTCAGAGCATTGACGTGCACCAAACTTTAGTGCAGAGTGCTCCAATCAGGACTTTTTGTTGCACCACATATATGGCAGTATTTAGGTAAGTCTTTTAATTCGAAGAGAAAAAAACCGGCCACCCCCTTTTTTTACACTGTATAATACAGAGTGCTACCTTTGTTTGGCACCCACCTTCTTTCTTCCCCAAGCTCAACGTCCGCCTCAGCACTCCCTCGTTCACCGCTGAGACCTGCAATGGCGCTATGCTGCTACATCACATTCAAAAAGCATTTAACGTCACAATGAACTATATTATGTGAGTCTACATGAACATGACTATTCCCTTCAGGCTATAAATGCTTTTTAACCGAAGATATGTCAAATATCACAATAATAAAGTTCTACTGCTAGGTGCACAGTGTTCTCTTGGGCTACAAATAACAATGTCAACTGAGTGAATGAACAATTCATGGCACATATTCAATATCTTGAGAAATGGGGATTGTTTCATACGAGTCTAACCAAGAATGATATTTACAGTCTAAGCTCGTTATAACAGACCTGGTTACAACAGACCAAAATCTTGGTCCTGGTATAACATACTGATTTGTGAAGTTCGGTTGGTTTTCCTCTATGCACCATTGACCCAACTTCATATCTGCATACAACATACTCCTTTTACAACAGACCAAAATCTTGGTCAAAATCGAGGTCTGTTATAACGAGCTTAGACTGTATAACATTTTTCAATACGCTTGGAAGATCACATAAGGGACGACGATTTACAGACTTGTATCGAAGCTTGGTAGTTAGCTCTTTTGTCATATCAACCTCCAATGTGAAGTCATTTTGTGTTACTTGGCTTCAGTCGAAACAATACCAAATGAAATGGACTTAACTCCCCACGATAATCTGAGACATGCGCAAAAAACGAGAAAGAGGTGAAATGTACCTTTGTATTCTGTTTAAGATGTGACAACATACACTATTTGTCATCATTTCCTTTTTCTTTTTTTTTTTTGCTTTAATACTTTTATGCAGCAATGTGCAGTAGAGGTTATCAGTGCTAGAAGACACATTAGACATATGCATCATCATCTGACTTACTTTGCTCAAAGATGGTACACTACCATGGCAGCATAAAAGCTTGTCCATTCAAAGCACTTGGTAAAGTCAGATGCTCGTGCCAACACCATGTATGCAACTGAGAGCTGATTTTGTTTCACAAACAGCAGAAGTTGCCATGCTGTTGGAACAGGTTGGGAAAGGGGAGGAAGCCCTCTTTCCCAAAGGCCAGTAATAAGTCAGTGGGCTCTGTTTTTCGCCTCAGCTATGGCATGACTATACCCGTTTTCATCTCAAGAAAAAAGGAAGTTTTGCTTAAAGGGACACTGACAGGGTATTTATGCTCGCCGAGGTTTTTAGTTGTATGTGACATGTGAGAGCTCAACTACCCAGAACAGAATTTGCGGCTCGAAATTCGGTTTCTTTCCGCCCGAAAACCGCCGATCAAGAACTGGCCGGTTCGAGTCTCGCTCACTCTCTTTTCCGCGGTCACGGGCCGTTTTCTAAGGTATCGATGCGACCACCAAATTTAACCGAAGTCGTGGGTCACTAAAGGCACACGCTCAGTGTTAAAAATAGAAAAAAATATGAAACCCATTTTTTGTGGCTTCTAAAAAGCTGCAAATACGTTGATTGAAAAAAAAGTTCCACAGAGAACCGGAAGCATTCTGTGCGTGCGTCGCTTCGCGTATCGTGGGACTCGCGGGGACGGCGATGGCAGCGGACGACGGGCGTAGGACCTTTAGTTCAGAACTGTCGTTCGCGGTACCGGCGAATTTTGTCTGCCTTTAAAAGAAAAATTTGGGACTGATCAAAAGAATTGGTATCCATCCCGTACGACACGCCCGACCACCAAGCCAATTTGCACGAAGACGTCGCTGAGCCGTCGCTCCCTTCTTGTGGCTGAAGACATCGCTCGCGCAAACGTCAAGCACGACGTGTCTACTTCGAGTTGAATATGCACGCGCACGATTTCTTTACTAGGTGCGAATGTCGCCAATGCATGGTGCTTCCTGACTTCGACCCGGGAGTGCTTTTGCTAAAGGAAAATCGGCAGCAAACTTTCCAACTTACAGTTTATCGGCTGAATTATTACTAAGGAAAAAGATCCCCCAAAAAAGCGATGCCCCAGTAGCTCAGTGGGAAAGACGTTCGTTTGAACATGATTGTAAACCTGAAACTGGGGCAGGAAGAGAACACAACAGAAGGTAGTAAAAGAGGAGGCAACGTCTCAAACTCAGCTGCAAAGTTTAAACTTTGCAGCTGAGTTTGAGACGTTGCCTCCTCTTTTACTACCTTCTGTTGTGTTCTCTTCCTGCCCCAGTCTCAGGTTTAAAAGAGGAGGCAACGTCTCAAACTCAGCTGCAAAGTTTAAACTTTGCAGCTGAGTTTGAGACGTTGCCTCCTCTTTTACTACCTTCTGTTGTGTTCTCTTCCTGCCCCAGTCTCAGGTTTACAATCATGTTCAACTTACACCAGCTCGCGTGCACTCTGACTATTTTTTCGTTAAACGTCCGTTTCACACGCGGTAGGACCGGGTTCGATCCCGCGTGAAACTTTTTTTTTTTTTTTTCAAACATTTTCCGATGTTTACATTTCTTTTTTTTTTTTACAACTATCACTGAAGAAACAAAAAGAAAAAAATAAGAAACCAATGTTGTGGACAACACGTCGCTGAATTAAATGGTATGGGATTTCCTTTTTGACACCTGCGAACTCCATGTAATCACTTTCCACATAATGCAAGGAGCATATAAATCAGGTAGCGTCCGCTTTCCGAGGTGCCCGTAAAGGGTCTACAGGAATTGCAGCCAGCCATTGCTCCCGATCCCGTTGATCTTTCGGAAACTTTGTAGCACAATGCCACATTTTTTCGGACGCAGGACATGTGAGCCAGCTCTTCACGCAACATCTTGGGTGTATTCTTTTCGAAGCCGATCATGGAATTTCACCACGGGCACTCACTACTCATCTCCAACTCCTCAATGTGCAAAACAACTTATCTTGGAGTACAGAACAACGAGCGGAACATACATAACTGCAAAAGAATCTCACGGCGAACCGTTCCCGTACGCCGCATGTCGTCTGCTACGGAAAGGAGAGAAAAAAAAAAAATATGGTTGGGTGTAGCCACGTGACTTCCGTATCTCACTCTCTTCTCTCCACTTCTCCGACCTCCGTCGGGTTTCGGTTTCGGTTTCGAGCAGTTGTGTCTTTTGGCTTTATTAAAAAAATATGCTACTTTGTTGCAAAATATTAATTGAATAGTCCTCCGACACCATAATGAAGGGCCTGGCAAAAAATGAAAAAAAAATTTTGGGGGGTGTCAGTGTCCCTTTAATGTTCACACGCCGCGCGAAGTAGTTCATACAAGATTTGGTTGTCGGAGGCGGAAGCGATGCTTTTGGCGTTTGAAACGTGGATGTCTTGATAATATAACACATATCTAATCTAAAATGTACCTACATATATCTTAATTTTCACCGTAAAGAGGGAAATTGGTAATGCTCCGCGGGGAGTCACACTTCCGTTTACTACGGTTCTTGAGGTGAAAACGAGTATAGTAGGATTCCTGGTCTTAAAGTAAAGCAAAAATAAAAACACCTGAAAACACTTGCCTGCAAACATTTTGACATTTTGAGTTTATCTAAAAATTTCCACAATTCAAACTCATGACACAAAAAAAAAAAAAAAAAGCAAAGGACAGGACACTCAATATTAGTCAAGGCCGGGGTCCTGAGTGGCGGCCCTTGAGTTTCCTTTCTAATGTCGGAGGATTAACAAAGGGGCTACCATCACCGCCTTCTCAGTGCAATTGATGCATGTTTTTGCACTTCTGGGACAGATGCCAATCTAAGCATGTTATTGTTCCAGTCACTGTTCTGGATGATTTAGACTGGGACTGTGTAAATATTCAAATTTTCTAATAGTGGTTTCGAACATTACGCCATTCGATTTTCGTTTCAAAGTGATATTCATATCTTTCGAAGTGTTGATCATGGTGGGTTAGCCCCGTTGAACACACTTCTTACCGAGCATGGTGCATTGCAGAGAAGCAACACCCCCGGGGCTTGCTTCCGCGGGTTTTTCCACGGTGCACCGCTGCTCGGTACGCGCACTCAACGGGTGCTAACCCACTGCGGTCATTGATTCGAAAAGTGCAAATACTGCAGTTGCGTCTTTCAGAGGGAAGCATGTTTGCAAATCGGGATTGTGCACACGCGTGCCTGGTGTATTTAAAAAGAAACCAAAACTTTGTGAATGTTGATAACTACACTACAGTAAAATTTTGAATATTATACCCTGGCTATTATACGAGAGTGCCATATTTTCCGGTGTACAAGTCGCGTTTTTTTTTCAAACATTTTTCTTGGTGCGTCTTATATAACGACGCGACTTACATGCGTCTTTTTTTTTTTTTATTCACGGTGCAATGCCATTTCTTACGCGCCATCCTTCGTAGAGCACCGTAACTACATAGCCATAGGTGCTGTTGCCCCTCCCATGAAGCACTGTTGTCGCCGCACCTTCCTACACTTTTCATAACTGATTCAGAAAGCGAGAAATTTTACGGCTTCCCCAAAGAGGCTCAATCTAGATAGGCAAGATGGTGAAAATAAAGCTTTTACAGCATGTGATCAACGTTGCCTAATTCAACCATGGTCACGTGTTCTTTTGCCTCAGTCCAGTAAGACTGAAAGGTAAGTGGGATGGTATACACGCATAGCAGAACATTTTCTCGTGACTTTCTTAGTTTCCATTTGATGAGCAGTTTTTATCTGCCATGCTCAGACCATGCTGCTAGATGTAAAAGGAAGGATCAAGGTTAGCTGATCTTTTAGCGGCACCGAAAGAAGAGTGTCAAGATTTATCTATCTGCCTGCTATGCGTATCTGTGACTTGTTCACTTTATTGTATGGTAAACCTGGTTACACCATTCAACGATCGGTGAATGTTCATAATATCAGACCCGGGTTTATTTACAGAAAGGGAGAATGAAATATATAAATGGGTAAAAAAAAGTCAAGGTCTCAGACAAGTGTGATCTCGACGGATCACTTACCTGCTGGTTTTTCTAAAGCCAGTGCCTTTGCCCCAGCAATATCTGATGGATCCAAGAAGAAAGCTGCAAGGGAACAAGGAACCAACAAAAAAAAGGTTATCTTTTAATTTTTTTTGGGGGGGGGGGGGGAGGGGGAGGGGGGTGGGGGGGGGGGGGCATTAATACCTGGCTTTGTCACAGGCACCTGTAGTTACGAATGGCTCGCCCTTCATATACAAAATCTTATCCATAACAAATGCACTCTTTAAGGAAACTTTCCACGCTCAGTTTCACATTAAGTCCGACTGCAGCCAATTCGGTGACCCAATGGAGTCAATCCAGCAGTGCCAAAAGTGTGTCGTCATGGAGCTCATAGTTTTTGTGAGTTTGCTGTTTCCAGCCAAACAAATCGTGCATGGTGAACGTGGCATGATCCCGCACAGTTTTAAGTGCGTGATTGATATAACCAGTGATAACAAATGCACAAAAAAGACGAGTGTTGTGGCAATGCACATTTGGCTCTGCTCGACTGGAATGAGTGTGTAGACTGCTGTCGAGACCGGTTATAACGAAGTCGGTTATAACAAAAAAAGCGGCTACAGCGAAGCGATCACGATTTCCCATTTTCTTCTGCACTTTGTAACTGAAGTCGGTTATAACGAAATAGCGGATATAGTGAAGTGATTTCCGATTCCCGTTGACTTCGTTATAACCGGTCTCGACAGTAACGCCATATGTAGTCAGATACAACCTAAGAAAAACAGTGCGAGGAGGAAAAGGGCAGAAACTAGGAAAGCTGAAGTGGAAGGGGGCGACCTCCTCCCCACAACGGCTTTTCTTGTGCACACCCTTTTCCCCCTCGCACTGTCTTTCTTGGGTTGTATCCGACCATACACGATTACACAGCACACCACGCATCGGAGCATGCATTTCACAGTGCACACAAACCGCTGCAAAGAAACAGTCCCTGGCCCTACCTGCCTGCAACAACTTAATTCCCTAGTAAATATGTAACCTTTCTTTCTTTAAAAGTTCCCTCAATCCTGAAATGTTTTGCCCAATTTCATTTAAAGTTTGCTCCCTTTTCCAAGCTCATCACATTCTCTGAGAAATACAGCTTTCCTTCTTGTTGACAGACAGCAGAAGTCAAAACAAGGTTGAAAAATGTGGCAAAAGCCAGATGGATACTATACTTAGTGTAGGGCCTTTCCTGCTTTTTTGTTAACTAGAAACTCAACAAAAAAAATCTCCTCCACCCTCAAATGTTTTGCTCAATTTCATTTAGAATTCCCACGCTTTTCCAAGCTGATCACATTCTCTGAGCGATACAGCTTTTTCTTGTTGACAGACACCGCAAGCCAAAACAAGGTTGAAAAATATGACAGGAACCAGATAAGATACTTAGCGAAGGGCCCTAGCACCTTCAGGAGAAAACCTCCGGTTCGAGAAAGTGTTGGCGGCCACTTTCCCAAAGCGTCGGAGTCATGTCATGTACGGAAGACATATATACCATTATGTGGCTACCAAGGGTTGGCTGAGAAGTTACTCGCGTGTCATAACTAGGACATAGATTTTCCAGTATTTATTCCTGAGGGAAAACGGCGAATGATTTTCGGTATTTATTTCTCTCTCAAATATTGCTGTATTTCGGTGATCTGTTTCGGATGGACGCTAAAAATGGTGATTATCGATGAAAAACCCTCATAAAGAACCGAGAGTTAAAGTCTAAGAAGGGCGAATTTCGACAAAAAAAGTCCTCGCTGGAGCAAACATTTCCACAAATCGTTTTTCAGTTTTAATCAATATTGTATCTTTGACACCAAAGGATGTTCATTGCTTTTTGACTTTAACCTTTCTTCGTATCTTTTGCAACCCAGTTCACCCTGTTTTTTTTTGGTTTAGTTCGATGTAGTATTCTTAACGATGATGGATGTTTATCGGCATATTTCAGTTAAAACCGGATGGTTTCTATGGCCTTCGTCTTCACACAAGGCCATGATCGAACATAATCTGCTGAGAAAATGAAGTTTTCTGCTGTTGCTGCTCGCATACTTTATCAAAGGTCCCACTAGTGACCATCCATAATACTTATTCATGCATGTGCTTGGGCGGAAATAAGTTCCCATGTTGCAGAAGACTACCCGAGCCCATCTTTGCCATAAAGCCTGCAGTCACAGCTTTGAAATATGAGCTAAAAACACCAAAATCTCAGTGCTTGCAGCTACAATAGTGCGGAGCATAAGTTTGTCTGCTCCTTTTTAAGGGGTTGTTGTGACTTCAGAATGCCGACCTCTGATTGGTTCTGAATGAAGGATAGTGGGTAGACATCAAGGCAGCTTGCTTTGAGGCCAACCCACTATCCTTCAATCAGAACCAATCAGAGTTTGGCGTCTTTTTTGATGTCACCGCAACTCCTGCGCAGGAAGCAGACGGCTTGCTCTTCGCATAGGCTCGCATTGCAAGACATGCCAGAACAGGCCGTTTCGAGACTGGACTTGCCTGGTGGTACCAGGGGCCGAAGGTGACGGTTGGTGACGGGGACCGAGGGAACGGCATTGAACTTCAACCTCCTGCTTGCGCCGATAAAATCGGTGCTCCGAAAATGCTCCGAGCACAAACGCTGTTCGTGAACTTTTTTGGAGGAATAGTCCAAGAACTCTGGTCGATTGGCATAGGCCACCCAATCCTTCAGTCTGAAAAACATTGGCATTTTGCAGTACAGCACCCAGATAAAAAAAATGTGCATCTACAATATTCAAGAAGTTTCAGCACAAGTCGCTTAGCGAAACTATAAGTGGTATTACCGGCGGCCATAGCCAAGCTCGTTGCTGCCGAGCACGTGCTGACGGCAAGCTTCCACAACGCTTCCAACACGCACACTGACACCATCAAGATAGTATTCTTTCGGAGGCCATAAATAAGAACTCATCTCGAGCATGCACTGTGAGCAGTCGCATCAAAAATGGTGTCCAGTGAATACCATCTATAAAAACAAACTCGGGCTGCCACCATTTCCGATATAACCTTGCAACCACGAATTTGGGCCAGAACGAATCAATTATTTATTTACTTTTTTATTTCAGGTACCCCACAGTGCCCGTGAGGGCATTACAGTGGGGGAGGGGCAGAAAAAGAAGAAAAGCAAATGACGCCACAGCACATCAAGTAAACAGTATGTGCTGCCTGCAGCAAAGCACAGATAAGCGAAAACCAGCTCAACAAGAAAAGTAACACGGAGAAACACATACATTGTCACACAAATATACACTAAACCAGAATTAGCACAAAAGAAAACAGCATACATGGAGTGCTAAATGCTAAGCAAAGCTTGAAAAAAATTGTTTTCTGAGAGTAATTCCTTCGGTAATTCACTCCAGCGCTGAATGGTGCTCGGGAAGAAAGAATGTTTAAACATGTCAGTTTAGTATGAGAGAGGCCTAATTTTCCTCGAGTTATCTCGTCTACGAGAAATGAAGTGTGGTTCAAGTAAATATGTTCCTTTATCAATGCCAGGGAGTTCATAATGAATTGCATGTAGAAATTTTAAACAAAGGCTTTGACGGAAAATTTGGAGAGGCTGCCATTTGAGCTCATCTTTTAAGGCAGTCACATTTTGGAGCCAGCTATAGGAATGAAGAATGAGCCTAGCAGATCTGTTCTGAATATTTTTTACGTTATTAATAAGGTACTGTTGGTAAGGGTCCCAGACTTCGGAGGCGTATTCAAGAATCGGTCTGATGCTTGTCAGGTAAAGGGCATTTTTTACTTCGCCTGGACAATCTTTAAAGTTACGCCTGATGAATCCTAACATTCGGTTTGCGTTCACAGTCATTTAATCTATATGATGATTCCACCAGAGATTACGAGAAAAGTAAATGCCTAGGTCTTTTACCTGAAGTGATAAGTTGATATCAATACTGTTTGTGTTGTACGTAGTAATGACGGGGTTTTTTCTCTTTGTGAACCTCACAAAGTGACATTTCGCCACATTCAGTTCCATCCCCCAAGTGGAACACCAACTCGCTATATGATCAATGTCCACGTGGAGGGCCACACACTCTTCGGTAACACTTACCGCACAATAAATTACACAATCGTCTGCATACAATTGTATAGAGGATGAGACGTTTTCAACAATATCATTAATAAATATCAAAAATAAGAGCAATACCAACACCTTGGGGCACACCGGAAGTAACTGGGGTAAAATTGGACGATTTTCCGTTAGTTACCACTGCTTGGGTTCTACAACTTAAAATGTCAACGATCCATCCAAAAACGTTAGAAGATAATTTGAGGGCCGATACTTTATGAAGAATAAATTTGTGTGGCACAAGGTCAAAGGTTTTCCAAACGTCAAGAAAAACACAATCTGTCTGAAGGCCTTTGTCGTATGCATATGCCAGTTCGTGATAAAACTCCACCATCTGGGTTATACAAGATAATCCCAGGTGAAAACCGTGTTGGAAGGGGAAGAAAATATTGTTTGCTTCTAAATGTTGTACAATGCTGGAGTAAATGACATGCTCCATGAGTTTGGAGGGCACGCTAAGGAGCAAGATAGGCCTATAATTTTCTACTTTGTTTCCGGGACCGTTTTCATATACGGGCGCTACATGTGCTTCCTTCCAATTGCTAGGCAAAGAACAGACTGAGAATGATTTGGTGAACAAGACATACAAAAACACACCAATCACACCAGAGCATTCTCTGAGGACCCTATTTGGGATGCCATCAGGACCGGACGATTTATCAAGGTTAAGTGATTGTACAAGGCCATCACAGTTAAACACAAGTTCCTTCATATCGTGTCGCAGGGTGGCGATAGGGGTCATAGCGGAACAATCATCAGAGCCAGAAGAAAAGACTGACTGGAAGTAGCTACTGAAACATGTTGCCTTCCCCTGGTCGTCGTGCAGGGTCTGACCAGATACATCAATCGACGGGATAAAAAACATGGTCCTCTTTGTTGCTCTCTACCGACTTCCAAAATTCTTTGGGACTTCTATTTAGGCGGTCACTTAGAGTGCTATATAAAGTCCTCTTAGCGATTTTTAGTTTGCTTTTGAGGAGTTTCCCTAGGTCACGTAACCTTGCCAGAGATACCGCATTAGACGTTCCGCGATATGTTTAGCATGCACATTGCTTCTTATATAATAACCAGCGCAGCTCTTTATCTATCTATGGTTTGTGGTTTTGCTTCTTAGGTCCAATTACTTTCTTCGAAATATAAGCGTCCATTAGAGCTATGAGCCAAAACCTAAGGAGTTTCCACAAATTGGCAATATCCATCTCGTAGCAGCTCATTTCAAATTCGGCAAAAAGGTCAATAAGCTCATCTGCAAGACCAGCATAGTTTCCCTGATTATGAAAGTAGACTTTCCGTGGGCATGGTCTTATCGCCATTACTTGCTTGCACTTCACACTTGCGGTTACTTTGTCATGGTCACTGATTCCCGGAAGGTGGGTGACCAAGGATAAATCTCTCTGGGAATTACAAAAAAGGGGGTCGAGTGTGCTCGCTCGCCACCAGTCAGCTTCAGTCGGTTCGACGTGTTGAGACAGACCAAAACTTGAAACAAAATGGGAAAACGTTGAGTATAATGCTGAAGAATTGCAGTTAATAATTTGGCCATCATGCCAAGTAACATCAGGCAGGTTAAAATTGCCCCCAATACTAGATAATCACTTGCAATGGACAATAGTGTTTCAGATAAGGACAACTGTGACTCATTGTTTGATCCAGGTGGCCGGTTATATGAACCAACAGCTAGAGTCTCCCCAGAAGACAGATAAATTTTACACCAAACAGACTCGCAAGTTGGGAGAGTAACATTTATTTTCGAGCTTTGAAGGGTGCTTGAAACCAACACATTAGGCGAATAATGAGGGAATGCCAAGCACAATGCATCCGTTAGCTTCCACAACCCTAATCTACTCTTTCAGAAAAGAAACAGAAACATCAAGCTTAGAGAGGTATAACTTGAAAAAAAAATGTGCAAGTGCTGTCAATGGCTGCTGGGACATAAATCGGGTGACCAGACGTCCTGTTTTGGCCGAGACTGTCCCGTTTTGGAGGTCCGCTTTAGCCGTCCCGTCTTTTTGTCCCAATAAAGAACCACGTCTTGTTTTCACAGGGGTGCATAGTTTCGAAATCGGCACCAATTGAGTTAAAGCAAACCAAAACTATGCCTACTTGTTACAAGTATATTTTACAAAAATAACCGTAGGTATTTTAAAATATTTACCCAGAGAGTAAAATTTAGAACTGTTCTTGCCCACAAACACTATTTTTCTCTCAAAGAAGCGTGTGTAGAAATATGTTTTTGAGTTACTGGATAGAGCATGCATGTAGAATCTCGGTTGGCAGCACTACACTATTTTCCGAAAATGGCAAAGGAACGCATGCGAAAACCCCCCCCACTGAGATGTCCCATTTTCTACCTTGAGGAATATGGTCACTTTAGGCATAAAACAGAATGAAGGGTTCGGGCAGCCCGGCTTGCAGCGCCGGGCTACCTGAACCCTTCATTCTCGGATGTCGGGCCGGCAAGTCCCTGTGCCGCCGCATGAAGCTGGCCTTAGGACCCTCAGGTGGCAGAGCCTCTGCCACTGCCGGGCAGTGGCTTGGGTTGGGCTCCTTTGTAGGTTGCTTGACGGGTCCATGAGTGATACCTACCTCCACTCACGCATCAGGATCGGGAAGCGATGTGGGCAGCCAAAACTCTTGCACGTCCGAACTTTGCGCCACTTGCACTCCGTACTCCCCGCCACCCTCAAAGACTTTCTTGAGGCCTTTTGTCGATTCGATCTCCACTCCCTAACAACCGTGACGAGTCCGCTGCCTTGCACCGTGCATTCTCACGATCAAAGCACTTAGAATGAATCTATGCCATGATGTTCAGTGTTTGGTTTCATTTCGTTTTTCTTCGTTCTCTGTTGTTGTTTCTGTTTTGTTATTCCATGCCCCAGGTGGTTGGCTGACAGGCACACTAGTGTACGGGCTCTCGCCTTTCTGTCTTTGCCTTGCAAGCTATTGGAGGTAACATTACTCTTGCAAATAAAGATTATTATTATTATTATTATTATTAAGTTCTTACATGCAATACAACCAATAGTTTGCTATTTCTAATTAATTCTGTTTCTTCCGATATATGGAATCCTGATTGCTAGTTGTTTTTCGTTTGTTTATTTTTCTATGCAAAAAAAAAAGGAAAAAAAAGGAGGGACAGAGTTGAGGAAGAACACTCAGTACCTGTGGTCAAGTGGAAAACGACTGAGGGATATGTCCGCAGAGTTTCGGTTGCAGCACCATTTTGCAGCACAGTAGGCTTTCCCAGTCCATAAGAAGCGCGACGTTTCTGAAAAAAAAAAAAAAAAAAAGATGTGAAGCAAGCAATATGCCGTAAATCTCCGCTGCATTTGCACCGATGGAGTAAAAGGCTCTCTCAAGAAGGGTGCCGATCTGACGCCAGATCAGTGCCAAAAATTTCGACAGCTATTTCTTAAAATAGCAGCACACGTAAAATTCCCACTTTCAGGTTAAGCTCACGCAGAGCTTGGGATTTTTCACTATTCTATTCGAATGTCGAACGAACCAGACCACAAGGAGAATTCACAGTAGCAAGTCATGGAGACTATCAAGGCCAAACAACAGAATTATGACAAGCATACCTTGTTTCGCCATTGCAAAGACTTAAGAATGAAGCGACAAACGCCTACTGTTAGAATGGTGTACACTGTGTGCGATCATTTATAACAGTTGATAACGTTCGCGTCGAAGCAATCTCCCGCTAAAGTGAACTCTCCCGCATCAACTATCCACGCCTTGCCGCCGTCGCCATCATTGGGCTCCATCATCATCATCATCAGCTGCGATACCAAAAAATGTTTGGGTTAATTTCATACAACAAAGCAAATAATAGACTTGTTTTTGTTTTCTTTTTATTAAAAAAAACTTGTTTGGGCAATATATATATATATATAAGTATATTTTTGGCTTAGTTACGTTAGCTCCATTTGGCAACCTCTTCACACTCCAGGGACTCTAGGGAACAAACTGGTACAGTAGATCGCTCTAGAAAATATAGGGAAAATATGGTGTCACACTGGTGGGATTTCGCGAAACTAGCCATTTCGGGCAAATCTCTCAGGCTGGCGGATGGATGGCGTCGCTTGTCGCCGATTACGGTTCTTCGGCGTCGGATTCGGAGGAATCATGCACCCATGAAAGCGAAAGGTAAATCGCTTCTTATGCAATGCGCTACAAAGTGCATTCATTAAATTGGTAAGAGTAAATCTTGGTGCCTAGCGCAACATTGCATATCTCCCCTGAAAAATCTCAGTCCGCAGCTTCCTTGCATTCGGTTTCTGCAGTTTGTAGAAACGATTAGCATTGCAAACTGAAGCATGAAATTTATATTCTGAATCTTACATTCGATATAATGACTTATGACTTTAGTCGCACGAAATATATCGTTGATCGCGCGAGAGTGGACAGTTTTCGATGTCCTACCTTTGCACATCATGCATGCAAACCTTTACGCAAATCACTATTCAGTATAAAATATTTCGAGATCTATCAGACGTTGATCATAGAACTATTGAACGGGCACACAGAGCTCCTAGTCCTAATTCACACCATTATAATTATTTATTGTTAAACCTTTTTTTTTTTTTCATTCAGATATCTATTGATTTATGGCTATGAAAAATGTCTAGTGCTTTGCATATGTTCTCAAATCTGTCACAGCTGTATAGATGCTATCTTTTATCTGTATAAAACAAGAAGTTCACATGCTGAAAATGTACCCAGTATTATTGTGCTTTCACAAAGTGTGTAAAGCAAAACAAACTGTGTTTCACAGGCGTTGGACAGCTGAGTAAGTTGCACTTTGATTATAGGAATTGTTCCATTCGGTCAGAAAATTCTGATCTAGTTCTGTCCCAGTTCAAAGGACTGCAGAAGTTGTGCAGCGACGGTTCAGACCCAGTACAGCCACGCGTTAGGACTGGCGCTGTGATCAACTTCCGGAGCGGAAGCGCAGGGTGTCGTCTGCTTCTGCAGTGCGTGTTTCTCAATGCCACATCATACGCTACATTAAATCCTTTGCAGTTTAATGAGCTCATTCACATTGCTTTAGTTATAAAGTGTAAACAAAATCATTTATATGAGTGTTTCTTTATTCGAGCGTACTAAACACGTTTTCAGCACAAAATTTGTTTCTGTCTGCCTTTCTAATGATTACCGTCTGCTTCCTATCGTTCCCATAAGCGTTTGTGTCCTCCGACTGCCTACGCTACGATAGAATTTACATTCATTCAGCAATAGTTGATTAATTCTAAGCCTCTCGAGTTTTGTATTTCGACAACAGAACGTTCGAGGCATCAGGGTGATTTCGTGTCAGGAGATAAGCCTCTGTTACACTGAGACGTTGAGCGTAGCAAATGTGGCGTAGCGCAGCGCACATAGGTACTGGTTGGTCGCAGATACCGGGTTGCTGCTCGCCGGTCAATGGAAGGTGCACATTCTGCACTACACCGTGTTCAACATCGGAATATAACAGAGCCTTTATCTTTACTGGTGGCGGCGCACGGTAGTTATTAATTCGAAGACAGAGTCCTGACAAGAACATTGCCATAGCCAAAACAGTTATCGACCGTTTCTTTGACGTCAAGTTGAAGCATTTATTCTGACTCTCGCGAAAGATCCGCATGGAACTAGCAAGCCAATGCCGATTCTCGGCGTTTTTGCCAGGCCTTCTAGTGTGTGGCCATAGATACCAGCGGACAAAGCATGCAGTATTACGCTCCTCCACGGAGGCATGCGAGTACCCAATGTGTGTACTAAATCGCAGACATCTGCAATGTATTGGAATCAGCAGTCTGCACACCACAGTTACTGAAGGCAGGGGATATCAAAATGGTAACAGAATTTTTACACTTTTCGCAGTCTGACGAATCCGATGCGTTGCGGAGGTCTGTGATTTAGTTCATGAAATCAATTTGATGCCGCGAACCTATCGTTGAAATACGTAACTCGAGAGGCTTGGAATAATCAACTATTACTAAATTAATGTAAATTCTACCGTGGTGTACGCAGTCGAAGGAGCTTATGGAAAAGCTAGGAAGCAGACGGTAACTGTTAAAAAGGCACATTGAAACACATTTCATGCTGAAAACATATTCAATATACCTTCGAATAAAGAAACACTACCATAAAATCCTAAGAGATGTCCCACCCCAAAACATAGCCCACCCCTATTTTTGGCTTGATTTGCTATATTTCTTTAAACACCGAAAGGTAGCCCACCCTTAGTAATACTAGTGTTGGGATCAATGATGGCCTAGGCATAAACGCGGCTAGTTTGCTATGGTGGGATATAAGCGAACGTTGCTGACTGGGAAGTACATTCATCTTTGCACATTGCCCCTTGCCACCATAACAAACTTGGAAGGGAGACAACCTAAAAATAGAAATTTTTAAATTTTTCTTGATTGTACACCGAAAGTTTGCCCACTCCACATTTTCAGCCAATTTTCTCTTGATTTTAGGTGGCCTATCTTTTGGGATATTACGGTATGTCTATATTTCTGTATTGCAATTAAATTTTCCAACTGTATCTTATATGTAGGGTTCGGAGTTTTCGGTTTAAACCGATAAAGTACGCCGAATTCATTTTCGGAAATTCGGTTTTAATTGAAAAAGGTCAGTTTGTAGGTTCGGCGTTTTCGATTTAAACCGATAAAGTGTGTTTAATCCATTTTCTAAAATTTGGTTTTAACCGAAAAAGGTCCGTTTTTAAGGGCCGCGTCGAGGTGGGAGTGGGGAGGGGGGGGAGAGAGAGCTTTGCAAGATTCGAGATTGTGTGACGTCTTCGTGATTGCCCTCTTCCAAGGTTCAACATGCAACAAAAGAGGTCTTGGATTGGCCTTCCCGGGACATCTGTGTCCTTTCTGTGATGTGGCTTAATGTGTCAAGTTCCCTGTCCTAAAAAAAAGAAGTTTGGATGTGGGGTAGTACAAGGTTTTTCGCTTCATGAACTTCAGAGGACACCGGGGAAAGCCGTTAATATGTTTTTTAACACCCTCTCTCAAACTTCCCTGTGGTTAAAAACATAAATACAATTAAGTTTTCTTTTTTGCCATTTTGCTGGTTTTTGTACGGTCATCACCTCAGACGGTCACATCGTCAGAAAAGGAAAAAGAAACGCGCTGAAGATTATGCCCGTGAATTCCGCTATTTTGAGGTGTGCCCTGACGGAAGTTGTAGCAAAGACCACGTATATATGTGCCGCTATTATTTGAGTCATCACAAATATCACAGCTACAAGGATCATCTGATCCGGTGTCTGATGGTGTTTCTTTCATATTCACCGAAAAAAAACGGTTAGCATTTTTGGGAATAAATATACACTGAAAATTGAATTTTAAAATAAACACCGAAATAAGTATGCCATATTTTGAAAAAGTAAAAACCGAAAACCTGGAACCGTACTTTATTGCTGTATCGAAATACATTTTTAGGAGGATTCTTGGTATCGCAATACTATTAGGGCCAATTTTTTTTTGTTAAAATTTAAAAATTGTTGAGCTCCAAACAGGGGGCCAAGACCAAGTTTCGTCAAGGACGTTTCTTGTCTCTGATTGCACCCGACTCTCCTCTTTATTGTGCAAAAGTTAACAAATGTAGATAATCGACTATTCCAGTCGATTCCAAAAGTTAAAGGCTCTGTCGGCACCCAACTAACAGATAAGAGGATACGGGTTCCTTGAACTTCATTCCACGGTGACGTAATAAGGTCACTGCTGAAAGAGGCGTCCGGACTGGACATGATCGTAGTGACTTCTTGAGGTTATTTTGGAGGACACAAAACTGATTTAGATGTCCCTGGGATTTTCTCTCGAAAAGATGCCGAAATAAAACCACGCTCTAGCCACGGTGATAAAATATCTTGCCTCCCAAAATACAAGATGTTTATTCTGCGGTAAATTTGATTCAAGCTTAATTCAGGCACCAACATTCGGCGAGAACTCGTTTGGTGGTTTAAAAATAATATCTCGTATTCTAGACCATGCTTCTTTTTGTTCTTGGTATGCTCTAAGGCAGTGGTCCTCAAATAGGGGTCCGTGGACCCTTTGGGGTCCGCAAAGGCATTCCAAGGGTCAACAAAGCCCTGTCTCATCAGTCAACCCAGCATGAAAAGTTTTTTTTTCAGGTTGAGAAGAAACATCCCAGTTGTCAGGCGAGTTCTCTCGCGTGTAGAGAAGTCTAATTCAAATAAACCCTTAGTTATATCCATTTATTAAATCATTATCAAAATGAACCTATACCTTCCCTTTCCCCTCGCCACAAACAGGGTCCTTCATCATCTCCGCCGATCCACAAGGGGTCCGCAAAACATCATGGCTGGGAACCACTGCTCTAAGGGGTACACCGTAACATCCAGAATAATGTTTTTATAACAATGTGTTTCGGTGTCTGTATCTCAGCCCCACCAAAATATATTTCTGATACATATCACAATACATTTTTAGGAATGAATTTCAGTATCAATATTTTAGCTGTTTTTCATTTTCATTTATTAAATTTTAAGGGCCCGTTAACATAAAATATTTTGTGTATATACTTTATAACTAAAGCAACGCGATTGAGCTCATTAAACAGTAAAGGATTTAATGTGGCGTGGAGAAACAAAAACAAGTGCTACAGATGCAGACACATCGCGCTTCTGCTCCAGAAGTCGATCACAGCGTTAGACCTAACGCAGTGGCTGCATTGGTTCTGCGCCACCGCTGCATGACTCCAGCACACCTTTGAACAGGGACAGAACTAGTTCCGAATTTTCTGATCAAATCAAACAGATTTGTAACCTCAGTCTCAGCGTTATTGTTAAACATGGCAGACATTTGAGCAAGGGCTCCAATAAATGGCACCGCGAGTGTCGTCTGCTCTTGTCATCCGTTTCTGCACAAATGCTGAACTGAATTTGGAGCTAGTGCAAGGTTTTGAGGAACTGGGTCTGAACTCATTCAGAACTGGGATGAATCAAATGCGCCAGTGCAGCTGCTGTGCAACTTCCGGTTGAATCGAATGCACCAGTTTCTGCACTGCTGAACTAGTTCAGGCAGGTCGAAAAGCACCTTCGAGGCAGCTTAATTTGCTTATTTATGACTGATGTTTTCGCAGTTCTTCTGCGAACAGCTATCATCAGCAGCAGGACGAAAAAGGGCGCGCGCGTTCTCAGCGTGGCCCCCCCGGACTGAGGCATTCTATCCCTGGCTCCCGACTGTAACCGCCATAGGGCCAGTCTTGTTCCTTTTTCTTATATATATTAAATACCAGTAAGCCAACTATGGCTGTTTAGACATAACAATGACAAGCATACATCTACACAATAACAGGTACCTTTGGCTCCTCAAGACTATATGTGACACCCATTCAACAAGCGTGTGTATCTTACAACTAACCCGCTCACCATGACTAATAGCATCTGTTAAGGCCAGTAGATCATGTTAACCTAGAAGTTGCAGCAACACTGGACCTTGTTGTTTCCGCACTGCAGCTCGGACGAAGGAGCGAAAGAATGCAGCGATGAACAGTTTGCAGACAAGGCCGACCGACCGAGACTACCGGGGCCGTCCTTCCAGTCGGCCTCCATTGGATCCTCGTCCGTCTTCAACAACCCATTTCGCGAGGAAGAGCATGCACAGTCCACGGTGCTCGAGAGGCACGTCAAGATGACCACGCCCGTCAGCCAGCAGACAAAGGTCAACGGGAAGCAGATCTGCTGGAACTACAGGTGTGGTTGCGGCGCTAAAGCAAGCTTTGTCCTACATGGTGCGGTTGGTCACTTCAGAGTGTCTGTTCATTTTACGAGGACGCTACTGTCGATGCTCGGAAAGAGAATGTTGCAGAGCCCATTTCGTGCCATAGCGCATGGTGCATTCTGCAAATATACTGCGTGCCATTTCACCTTACGATACTCTGCAATGGATGCCGAGAGCCATCGGAGCCAGTCCAATACCGTGAGTGCCACGCATGGGGGTAGGTAGCTTGTGAAGGCGACATGTGAAGCTAGAAGTGTGGAGGGACGCGGCTTTAACGGTGACCAAAACCAAGAGAAGCTATTGGACGAAAAGGAGAGGTGAAGCTGTTGGCGCCAAGTCAGCTCTCCTTTTTGTCCAATGGCGTCTCTTGGTTTTGGTCATCGTTGGGGGCATGTCCTACCTCGTGTCGTCTCCAGAAGCTTTCTACCTCCATGGAGTCCGGCGTCTCCCTTCGACATGCTGATTGGCTTGTTTAAACCGCAGCCTTCGCTGTTAGCCAAGCTATGGTGCTTTGAGAGTCCCCTTCTCTCCCGTTCTCCAAAAAATCACGAGGTCTACAGTGAGGTGACCCAACTGCTTTAGGGATCATTCCTCTTTGTTTCTCAAGCAAAAATACACGCAAGCCATAACAACTCATTTTTTTGTAAAAGACAAAAAAAAATTTAAGGCGTTTACAAATCTGTAATGCTAAATTAGAGTGCAGCTCTTAAGGTGCTTCGACTTTGCGATATACCGTGCTAAAGAATTTGAGGAAGAAATATCTATATGTACAAATATAGACCTCATACGCATACATAATATAAATTATATATATATATATAAATTAATTCTTTATTATAATATTATTTATTTGAGGAGGAGGTGAGTGTACGGAGGATCCTTCTCTCCTCGCAAAGTTTCCTCGCTAAATTTAGATGGAAAATTGACGCCACATGACCTCAACTCCAATTCAGTTTCCCTGCTTAATTTAGCTGGGAAAATGACTTAACATGCGTCGCGTCACCTATGAGCAAATTGAGTTTCTCCGCTAAATCTAGCGGGATAATTGACGTCGCGTGACCTCAACTCCAATTCAATTGTCAATTCAATTGTCACTTCAATTGTCACTTCAATTGTCAGGTGGCCTCAACACCAATTCAATTGTAAGCATGTCTCTGTTTATGGTACCAGGGGTGGTCTAGTTGCACCATTTGCGCCATTTTGATAAATTCCTGCTTGCCTGCACCTTGCTGCGCCCAAAGGGAATAATTGTGCCAAACTGCGCCAAGGCAGACAAATTTGCGAACGAATTGGTTTTTGGAAGAGTTTTCGTTTTCGTCTGCCAACTTTGGAATCCAGTGAGGTTTGACCATCTCACTTAAATCCAGGTTTCCGGCTCCGGGGCATTGTTTCACGGGGTTCGCACCAATTTCACCGACATTCCTTACGCACCGCAGTTTTAACAGTTTCAGTTGCATTTCGAAGTGCAACACTGAAAATGAGCAAGCACAAGTAATTTTTTTTTTTGCAAGCTTATGTTTAGAAGCGCGACATTGTTTTATATTAATGTGCTCGCACACGGCTCCCATTTTGTTAGCATGCTTGGTTGGGACTGCTTTGTTGCGAATTGCTGCCTTTTTTCACGTCAAATGATTTTGAATCCTTGATTGTACAACTCGTTAAAATGTCCTTACATTGGGGAAAACCCAGAATATGTTTATTGATTATTTGCTCGTTTCACGTGATAACTCTTTGTATAGTGCTAATTTACCTCTCTATCTAGAGCAGGGGTCTCGAAACCCCGGCTTGCGGACGCGCTCCGTCCGGCCCACAGATGGCTGCAGTCTTTGCAGCAATGCCCGGCTCCCAGCCGGGCATCACTGGAAAGACCGCGGGAGAGTAGGCCCTCTCCGGCGTTCGCTCTGCAAACGCTGAAGAGCTTCCACTTTACTCTTAACCTGTCACAAATTATACTACAGCATAACTGCTAAATTTGGGTTATTAATGGGCATCACGTAACTGATTGCATGAATGCATGCCAGCATCAGTTATAGGGAACTGCACCGAATTGCTCCAAACTTACGTGTGTGCTGCTCCAAAGCTGCTCCAAAAAACAACTTTTTCTGATACGAACATGCTCCATGACGGGATTTTTTCTACTCCACCCCTAATGGTACAAATCTCCGTCATTCAATCCTGGGCGTCAGGGTTATAAAAGTTCAACGTGGGACAAGTGCTCTGCCACAACTTATGGAATCTTTTCAAATTCAGGAAGCACCCCACTTGGAAACTTTGAACATACGTATACAGTGTGTCCTACATGGTGCATAACCTACATGATACATAAAGTGGAAAATTGTGTGTGCTATTTCAGTTGTTCCAGTGCAGTAAACATTTCTGATGCTAACTCCCCATCATTGTATGTGATGTGCTGAGCAGATGTTAGGCAGACCGGTTATCGAGTCCCATCTTGAAGCCGGCCCCCGCACCGTTTCAGGAAAGGGCGTTGCCGGTTCGGCCACAACTGCAAGTACCTACACGACAGTGATGTCCTGGGAACGACCGCAGACACGGAGGAAAGCGCCCCAGTGCCCGAGCTTGAAGCGATGGCGGCGGCGTCCGAGGGGATGGTTTCCAACGAAACTTCCTCGCTCAAGCGAAAGAACAAACGACCGGGTCTTTCCGACAGCATCCAGCTTTCCAAGAAAGCCATGAAGTTTTACCACAAAACTTCAGGGAAGCCGAGACCTGGGACGCACGTAACTCACTGATGTGGTCTAGTGCGTGAGAGTAGTAGCAGTCGAAATGCCTTTGCATAGCGGTTTTCATTCACATTTTCTGTTTTGTCATTTTTCACGAGCAAAGATTTGTACAGCCCCCCAATCATTTGGTAGCCATCCAAGGTGTGCATTATGTGCTACTGCACATCTTTTAGAAAATAAAGAAAAAGCCTTAAATAGTTTTTCTTGTGGCTCTAAAGACTACAACAGCTGGTACCTATGAACCTGCAAACGAAGTATAGTAAAGGTACCACTTCCTCCACAATTTAGTATACCCCCAACTGCCTTGACAAATACTTCAGCATTTCACTAGACTATAAATTAGTTTTTGTTCGCCTTTATTCTTGCTCCTTTATTTATTAGTCGTGCCTTCGATTCGTTGTATGCTACAGAAATTGTGAACATTTTGAGTCGTGTCATACAATCTAAACTAGTAATAAACAAGCTCCCTTTAGGCTCGTGTTAAGTTAAGCTTGACCTTTTTTGTGCCTTTGACACTGCACCATGGTAAGCAAGTAGATTAAACTTTACGGCACAAATCATATCGGCAGCAAATAATGGCACTTGTTGCACTTACAAGTTGGAAGTGTAAACTAATCGCCAACTATGTACAATATTTTTATACAAGGCACCTAAGCCAAGTAACCAGATGCAGCTCATGCTCTCTATCTTGTTTCTCTTGCTGGCCTTTACAGACACTGCACAGAGATGGAATTTTGCTTCTAGCCTAGGCTGAAAGCGTATTGTTGGGTTCCATCCCTGTCACGTTTCAATCTGGATAAGCATTTCCCCCGGCGTCTTTGGCACCATGCTGACGTCATCATCCCGGTACGTGGGGTCTTTGACTCGACGCACATAAAAGACCCCAGGCTAGCAGTGGTACCGCCCTGGCTAGAAAAGTCAGCAGACCTTTCGGCCGTCTAAACAGGAATGTCTAATTTGTCTTTAATGCATAGCACTTGCAGGGCCATCTCTTAGGGTTTTTGTGTCTGCATCTGGGATATAGCCGCGTTAGTGTCATGTGATGTATCGTAAATCCTCGCGTCCCATTTTTGTGGGAATGTGCGTGCATAGTTGCAAAATGAGTGCTAAGCGAGTGGGAGAAACCTAAAGGAATGTGTAATGCATTTTATAAAAATAAACATACTACAAAAATGTTACCTCCCACAGAGTAAATTTAAAGCCTTTTCTGTGGTTCCATCTGTCAATACGTTTGTTTGGGGCACTTTTCTACATCAGTATAGTATTTGGTATGCTTCGGTTTCGTTTAAAAATGAAGAATGGTGCTTGTGTACTCAACCAAACAAATAACTTAAGAAAAGTGCCGGTCATGATTTTAAAATCTTAAGGCTGGGAAGGAAAAATGAAAGAAAAAGTGTGAGACACAGAAATAAGGGGACAGACAAACGTCCCAAACTCGGCTAACAAATTTTATTCCGTCACAGCTTTTATGACCATCAAGGTGGTTATAAAATTTTCTAAAAAAATTCCAGTGGTTATAAAAATTTTGAAAAATTTGACATTTTTTTAGAAAAGTGCATTTGCAGTGAACTAAATTTACCGTGTTTATTCGTATAATGAACACACTTTTTTTTCCGAAAAATTGGCACATATTTGGGAGTGCGTTCATTATGCAGGGTAAAATTTTGGCATTTACACACTTAGTGCAAATGTCGTATAAAGGCTCGTTCACACTCTTGCAACCGAGTACGACCGAGAGATACAAGACCGGTTTTTAATCCTTACGACGTCTTAGGACCAGCTCCACAGCAGCGCGACCGGTCCTAAGACGTCGCAAGAGGATTAAAAACCGGTCTTGTTTCTCTCGCTCGTACTCGGTTGCAAGAGTGTGAACGAGCCTTTAGGTGCCAATATGACACAGCAAGGTACTGTGGCAAGTCTCCACTGTTGGAGGCGCACCCACGGCTGGTCGGGGGCGCGCCACAGTAACCATGCTTTATAAATTGCAAACCTTTTTGGGGCGCTTTTGGCGTGTCTATTGCTGACGCGACCGTTCTTAGGCCTAAACACTTTCACGATTTCACTGTCCGAAAGCGGACCACAGATAACGGCATGTCTGTTGACATCAATGCAGTTGATTGGTGAAAAATGTCCAGGGCTGGGCAATTCCTCATCTCAGGCTTTGTCAAGTGCACACACCACTGAGTTTCACGGTTGATCACTTCCGCAACTACACACTTGCAGCCATTATGAGAGCGGCTTGGCTTGGCTTGACTTGGCCTGACCACTTGGCAGCAGAAAATTGGCTTGGTGGGCTTGGTGGGCTTGGTCGCTAGCTAAGTTGGACGCAGTTCAAGACTCGCAGAGCCAAAAATTGGAGGTGCGTTCATTACGCGAGGGAAAGAACATTACAAATATTGGTATGTGGGGGGTGCGTTCATTATGCAAGTAAATACAGTAGTAGCAGAGCTAGCTTTTTCTTTCAGCCCCGCACCCCGCTCCAATGTCCCGTTTTCTGTGTTTCAAAATATGGTCATCCTAAGTATTTGCAACATTCTTTTTGCTGTTCTATGTTCTGACAGTGCAGTGTGGATAGTGTTAACAGTAGAGTGTGGACGTCGCAACATCCCTTGTGGTGAGCTGCCCTTAATTTTTTATGAATATGGTGCATTGGTGCTAGTTCTGCAGAGGGCCAGCGTACAAGTGTGACGGCGACAGACCGGTGCCGAGTGCCTGGCTGCCAAATGGGCTACACACACGTGAAGGGCAAGAAGACACGCGCATGTCTTTTTGGCGTCCCAAAAGACAGTCACACGAGATGCGTGGAAAAAGAAATTGTGATCTTTCTTCAAATACCTGCAGGAAACCAGCGCTGTCCCCATGCGCGCGTGCACCATTTCGGTAAGGCGGCAATGCGACACCCTTCGTCACCTATAGACTGACACGTGGCGCGGCTATGTTTACCAACATGGCTGGAAGGCCGTGCATGCGCAAAAGCTATGTGGGCTGAAGCGGCAAGCCTTTTCATGTTTCTGCCATTGCGTTGTGTAGCGTGCGCTCGTTGTTGACCTTGCAGAGACACTTATAGCTTTATTAGTGAGTCGTATTTCCGGCCAACGTACGTCATATGTTATGCCCGACTATTTGAGCTCGCTACCCGAGCCTGAACGGCAGCGGTATTGAGACAAACTGTGTGTGAACGGCGTTGCCTTCGACGATCCATACGCCGTAAACAAGGACTGCTGGAGTTCCGACGTGAAGTTTCTGCCAACGACATCAATGGCTCACGTTGTCGTTTATTTATTTTTCTCCCCATGCCAGTTCACGGCCGACACGGCTCAGGTGTACAAGTCTCTCGAGGCCTACGATTATTTCGAGCCGCTTTCACGCTGCCGGCGGGATGAGCAGACTGTGGGTCTGTGAAAGTGTGTTTGTCAATAGACCGTATCCAAAATTCAGTCTGGCCACTTTGATCACTATCATCATCTGTGGAACAGCATCTGTATGGTGGCTAGCATCTGTGCCACACCAATGGCGGCCTACTAGTGACTGATGAAGGAAGACGTTGAAGATGCTCCTAAACGGATGATGCGAGGCCTGTACATTCGGGGAGTCAGTACGATGCGACGTAGGAGTGGAACACGAGCTATGTAAGCGTTTCAATCTGTGGGCGGCACACAATCGGCGTTAAAGCACTGTGGTATATGGAATTTTCTCGAGGCATCTGAGTGAGTTGGAGCTTTGTTCTGAATGCAGGTTCTTGGTCACCATTGAACTGAAAATGATCGAGAAAGAACTCACACTGAACAATTCCTTGCGTGCCGTTGACTTGCTAAAGTAACGGTGCCAATACAAGTTCATTTCCGCCATTGATATGTCAAAACCTGAACTGCTTTACGAACCACCAGATGGCACTGAATTTCGGAAAGAGTCAATTGATTAAATACACACAGCGCCCTTCAAGTCGAGGTATGATATTTTTCCTTTCTGCCCACACCACCCGGCTCCGGCGCGATCACAGCGCCGCCGCAGCTCTGCGACGTCAAGCCCGCGCGTCAGTCTATACATTAACAAGGCATTTGCAAATGAGATCAGTGTTTGCAAACAAGCCTGCATCTGCTTACATCAGGTGTAGGCACTGCGTGCGTGCAGAAACCAGTTTCGCGCGAGATGAATCATCTGCACACGTGCAGCGCCACCAAGCAGTGTCGCTGCAGTGGCGCAATGTTAGAGAGCAGAGTTGGTGTATAGGAACCGTGCGCATCTAATTCAAGCCCCGACCAGGGCGCCCCTAGCGGCAAACGGGTCCATCGCATCGGGGAGCTTCTGCCAGTCGCTGCGTTGGTTGTGCGTTGTAGTGGGTTAGCGTTGTAATTTCTGAGATGGCTATTCCGCACCAAGAAAGCCGCAACAATTGCTGCGTGGTCGGCTGCAACAGTACGTCGAAGATCGCACACGGCACAAAGTACTACATCGTCCCTACGAAGCCGTACGGCCGTACGAGGCGGAGTACTGCGCGACCTGCAGGTGCGACTACAGGTTAGTGGCGTTTCTTACCTTTCTGTTCGCGCTTTGTTTAAGCTGCTGACGAATAATACAATTAACTTTTTTCTATTCTAGCGACGATGGAACAGCATCGACACCGACGGCAAACTCTAAAGCATGCGGCAAATACTTCACCGGAATCGAGAAGCGGAGTGCGGTCGCCCCCCTAAGCCTACACTTGGATGTTTCCATCAGCCTACAGGAAGATAGTAGTGGGAATCGCGGAACGGCGCGAAAAAAATCGCCCAGTTATTGTCAAGCTGATTCAGAAATAAACGTACATAATTACCACGGTCCACTCAACGCCAACTACATTTTTTTGCGGGCACGCTTAATTTTGTTAGCGGAGTACGGCGCTCCGTGACATTCACTTGTCCGTCGAAACGGACCTCCTTCACGTCGTACACGCGGCCAGATTCACGAAGGAGTTTTCCCTTCTTCATATTGGTACCACGGAAGAAGCTTTCTAGATTCGTAACCGCCTTAAACCCCGTCGTAATCACCCCGGAAACACTATCCGCTGTGCTCGCTGTGCTGCTCATCGCCATTGCTTCCCCCGATGATTCTGCACCGGCTACCGAAGAAGTTTTCCGGATTCGTAATCGCCCTCTGTCTTCTGTGGTGTTCGTTGCTATTACTTCCCGATGATTCTGCGCCGACGCCACCGGCTACCGAAGGAACTTTCCGAATTCGTAACTGCCTTAAATTCCTTCGTAATCACGACGGGGACACTGTCTGCCGTGCTGTTCGTCGCCATTGCTCCCCGATGCTCCTGCGGCGGCTACCGGTAGGTCGCGGCGAACAATAGGCGACCGCCGCGACACGGCCGGCATGCTCGCCTCGTATACCATGAAACTCGCGCACCGTAGTAAGCAGGGTGTTTACGAACCTGGAAAACTGCAGGAATTCTCAGGGATTTTGAATAGTCTGGAAAATCTCAGGGAATTTGTGCTTCTATCAGGGAATTATTATTATTTTTTTTTTAAGTGTTGCAGATGAATTTTCACAGTCCAAAATTCTTCAGATATCAATGGAATGGGCCAAACATACTGTCGAGCCCGGTTATACCACACCCGTGTATTTCGAACTATTGTTTATATGAAAGTCCAAACATACTCTAGAAAATCATTGTTTTTCTGTATCGAACGCCCATGGCGGGGACACTCGATGTAGCGAACGAAGACGAAGCACGGGGTCGGATTGCGCCGGCGGGGAGCACATAGCTCGGGTTGCAGCGCTGGCAGGCCGCCAAGCCAGCATACGCGCACGCGGGGATACGCAGCGAAAAAGCAATTGTGTAAAAAATAAAAACAAAAAAGTGGATAATGGCAAAAGCAAGAAGGGCACCCGTGCGCGTAGGGAGGGCAGGGAGTGCCCGCTGTTGGAACGGTCGCGTGCACTCTTTTCCCCAAACACTGCTGTCGCTGCATGACAGCAGTGTTTGCAGCACCAAAAATTAAGAGCAAAAAAAAAAAAAAAAAAGATTTCGTCAAGTGGAGTGTGTTGACAGCAAGGGTTGAGCAATCGCACTTTGAACGCCTTATCTTTGTTTACCTTTTTCTTTCCCGTTATTGCTCCCGTTTTTCTTTTAGAGCGCAGCTCTTAGGCGCCCGTTTCCGGATTGAGCGGCGTCGCCGTCGGCGTAAGCGTAAGGTCACGTCACCCCCCCCCCCCCGAGGTCACATGACCTCACGGGGGGGGGGGGGGGGGGGGGGTCACGTAAACCTCAGCTTACCTTTTTTTTATACTTTATTTGCTATAAATTTTACTAACCACTCCGTTATTTTTGAATCTAATAAAAGTTACTCGTTATCATTAAAACTGTATTATGTCGTTTTTTTAATTCTATAACATGCTTTTTAGAGAGTGACAGCATCTGGTGATATGGTGTCAGCCCATCTTGACGTAAAACAAATTTCTGTGTCACTCAGGGAATTTCACACAAGAACTCAAGGAAAACCTGGAAAACTCGGGGAATTTGAAAATGTCAACTTGGTAGACACCCTGGTAAGGTCTCATGACCACATCATAACCAATGGTTACGTGACGTAGCGTCAGGCAACACCTTTGAGGCGACACCGTGGGGCGACACCAGAGAAACCGAGGATCTAATGCTACAGTCAAACTCATTTATAATGAACAGCAGGAAACGCTCCGATCAGTTCGATATACCAAGTAATTCGATATAGCAAAAAACATTTACAACAAACTTCCCCGACGCGTTCGTTGTAAGGCGAGAGCTTCTTTCTTTCTAACGTAGCAGCTTGGGCGAGTTGGTTGCACATGATACCACACACCACAGCGCACTATAGCAAATAACACTCACACCTTACACACGAAAAATAAAGCAAAATTCAAACAACCCGCGCTGACTGACAACTCTTTTTATATAACTTTGTCTTCTTCAACCTCTAGCACCACCGAATTTCCCAATTCACGCGCACCGATCTCCTAGATGCCTAAAACATTTTTACCTTTACACCTGACAGAAAAAGAGAAAACATTTTTAGGCATCTAGGAGATCGGTGCGCGTGAATTGGGAAATTCGGTGGTGCTAGAGGTTGAAGAAGACAAAGTTATATAAAAAGAGTTGTCAGTCAGCGCGGGTTGTTTGAATTTTGCTTTATTTTTCGTGTGTAAGGTGTGAGTGTTATTTGCTATAGTGCGCTGTGGTGTGTGGTATCATTCTTTCTTTCTTTCTCATCTCTTCACTTCCGCCTTGTAACAACAAGCTGGAAAGTTTTTTGTTTTTTTTTCATGCTTGCAGTTTTTTTTTTTTTTTTTTTTAGCTTATTCCCTTTTTTGAATCGCTTCTCTTCGCTCAATTTTGTTTGCAACTTGAGCTTTTGGAATTTTCTTTCTTTCACACTTTTTTCTGGGGGAAAGGGACAGGCTAGAAGACTGTTCGCACGTTTTTGGAAGCCTTCCTGGGGGGAAAAGTTCGATATAGCCAATATGTTGTTCGTTATAAAAAGTACATTTTACATGCATTTTTATTTAAATTTTTCTCGACTTCGATATCAACAATAATTCGCTGTACGTGGGTTCGTTCTAAACGGGTTCCACTGTACGCATTTACTAAAGTTGAGGCTTGGGCGAGTTGGTACATACTTCGGAAATTAAAAACAGCGCGGAAAGACGAGGACCAGACAAAGAAGTGACACGGACGTAGCGCTGACTTACAACTGAGTTTATTGAACGCAAACTCGCAATATTTATTTGCGGTGTCACGAACAAAAGAACATAAAAAATTCAGCCCATGTGATGTATCACCAATAAAAATAAAACAATGATAAAAAAACATTGAAAAAACATTGAAAAAAATAATAATGAAATGCGCCATGACACAGCCGTACAGAGTATGTGCCAAAAATCGAGCAAGTCACGGAACTAGAAAATTCATCTCTTTGCCTGATAGGGCCACAGAAGGACTGCTTACACATGCTGCACCCAGCCTCGCTATCTCAACAGCCTCTAGAATTTCCCGAGTAAGCTGGTCCCTATGACGCTTAACAACCTCACACCGTTGGAAGTCGGGAAGGCAACCACAGTCGCGGCAATGAATGCCCAGGTGACCAGACACGGTTGTGGAGACGCTGTAAGCGTGCGCTACGTTGGCCAGGAGGGCCGCTGTCTCAACGACAGGTTGAGAGAGCACGCTTACAGCGTCTCCACAACCGTGTCTGGTCACCTGGGCATTCATTGCCGCGACTGTGGTTGCCTTCCCGACTTCCAACGGTGTGAGGTTGTTAAGCGTCATAGGGACCAGCTTACTCGGGAAATTCTAGAGGCTGTTGAGATAGCGAGGCTGGGTGCAGCATGTGTAAGCAGTCCTTCTGTGGCCCTATCAGGCAAAGAGATGAATTTTCTAGTTCCGTGACTTGCTCGATTTTTGGCACATACTCTGTACGGCTGTGTCATGGCGCATTTCATTATTATTTTTTTCAATGTTTTTTTATCATTGTTTTATTTTTATTGGTGATACATCACATGGGCTGAATTTTTTATGTTCTTTTGTTCGTGACACCGCAAATAAATATTGCGAGTTTGCGTTCAATAAACTCAGTTGTAAGTCAGCGCTACGTCCGTGTCACTTCTTTGTCTGGTCCTCGTCTTTCCGCGCTGTTTTTAATTTCCGAAGTACGCATTTAAAACAAATACCTTCGGGATTTTTTTTTTTTTTTTTTTTTTTAAGGTTTATTTGCACAAAATATATTTTTTTCTCGATAAAACCGAGCATGTAGATCCGAGAACAGGAAAGGCCACGAGGAGGAGGCAGCAGTGCAGAAAATTCGAGCAAGCATTCGCACGACGGAGTCGCACGTAGTTGAGTTTGCGGAGTCCTTTTCGTGAATGTATTTGCGACCTTCGAAGGCTCGTCGAACAGAAGGTGGGGAAAGAGACGGCTCAATGCCGCTGATTGTACTTCTTCGTCCTTCCCCAAAGGGGAGGGGGACGACGGGACGATGGACGGCTATTCTGTAGGCCGGTCGCAGATCCCGCATGACGCCGTGCAAACCCAGGCGATTGGTAAACATCCATGACGTGGCGCACATGACCTCGCGACTCGATTATGTCGATGATGAAAAGCTATGTCGTGCAAAGACACCATTAGAAATGCCATCTTTGTTGAATTTGCATTTCTTGCTGCTTTGAGTTGCGTTTTCTGTGTGCACATGACGTTTCTGGTCTTGCGGTAGTTTTGCACGCTGGTTACCATGCTGCTCTCCTGTACGATGTAGCGGACCAGCTTCTTGTTGCAATAGTGTACGCTTATTTTTGGGGCTTGTGTTTTGCTTTTGAGCAGCATACCTCGAGAGATGAATATCGCCAGAAATAAGAAGGCTGAAACTGATTGCAGGACTCCTTTTAAGTGAAACATGCGTTTATGCAGTGTGTAAGGTGTTGTGATGAAGGTAAACTCCGTCTGACCACCAGTATGACATGGTGAAACATTAACGCCCAACTCTTATGCCTAACACCCCCCGCCCGCCCATGAGTCAATTTAAAACCCAACTACTGTACATTTAGAAATTGGTTACACGAGGTATGCAGCACTTGACTGCGACGGAACTTAACCAATTTCAATGCTTTTGTGGCAGGCCGGGCATACGCAACCATGAGGAATAGTAGCATTGTCTATCGCAGCAACCTGTAACGATTGTGTCTAAATACTTGCTATCTAAACCAGAAATAATAGTATATACAATGTGTTCAAACCGTTAAAAACAAATCTTAAAAAAAGTTTTATAACAAGTTTGACCTGTTAAGACTTTGGTTTCTCGACCATTTATCCTCCCCCTTAGACTCCAATCAGTGACACCTGTGGTCGAAACATTTGCTAGGGCAGAACATGGAGCATGCTTCCAGACCACGTCACTTTAGGATTGCGATAATGCGCTGGCTTTCATAGTTGCTTCTACTTCTGGTCTTATTTACAGGAAAGATAAGGAAAAGGAGAAGTTAATCCATTTATAGTAGTAGTAATTACATCAGAGGCAGTTACTACAGAGCACCTGGCTGCTGTACAGACCAATGTCCCACAAAACTTGCTACAACTCCAAAGAAATCATTACATTTTAATTCCAGTTTGTCGAAACACGAGCACCATATGTCACACTATGTACACGGGCATCTGCCCTGTTGAGAAAACGAGCGAGCCATTGCTCAGCAGCAGGCGATGGGGACGACCGGCAGGGTTCCACAGGCTCGCATCCTTGAGACGCCGACTTCTAACCGCTTTGGCCAGCCTTACTGGGCCGGAATTGAGGCTCATTCACACATTTGTTTTAGTGCGGTCAACTGCATTGCAACCGCTTGCAAACACTTACGACGAGCAGACAGACTGGCACCGTCGGGTGGCCCTGGAAACACTTCCGATCCTGGCACAACTAGACCGAAGTTTGTAAGGCAGTTGCGAGATCGAATTTATGTATTATCCATGGGAAACGGTCGCCACTAAAGATGTAGAAATTATTTCGATCCCACGCTAAAATTATGACGCATATCAAATTTAAAAAAAAATTTCCACGTATCATATTTGCCAGTGAGTCCGCGTGTTCCTAGGTTCGAGAGAAGCAGCAGCTCGAACCACGAAGAGAGTCGTAAATCTAACGACGGACGCCTCCTGCTCAGGTTGGTCGCAAGTGTGTGTGCATTGCATTGTCACGTGACAAGGCATTATCGTGAACCCCCGCGTCGCTTTTGTCCCCCTCTGGGATTAGCGACCGTCGCTGGAAATTCGTACAAAAGCGGAATTCGTCTCTCTCAACTCTCTCCCACCCGCAGCTTCTACGGCGCCGCGTGCAACTCGCGAGATGGAGTGTGGCGTCGTCTCGTCGCGAGCGCTTGCAAAAGAAACGCGAACATGGGGAGTGGCCCTCAGTGATCCATCTGGGAGAAGAGGTCCTGGGCCAGGACGGGCGGGCCCGGGGCCCAGGTGGCCAGCCAGGTGTCGAAGGTCTTGGCCAGGCGGCCTTCCTGGTCGCTGCACAGGGCGCGGAAGTCGTGCATCACCGTCCGCATGAACTGCTCGTCGATGGTGGCCGTGTTCTTCCACCGCTTGGTAATCATGTAGTTCCACGACCACAGGTACCCCACCTGGCACAGAGGAGACCATTCGCATCGTGTTACGCTCCCGTACATGTTTGTCTGCTGCTTTAGCGAATTAGGGCCAGTCCACGCATTTGCGAATAAGTGTGATTGGCTTCGTCACAACCGTCGACTGTGTCACAACCACTTGCAACTGCTTACGACGAGTGGACACACCCACGCCCTCTGTCGGGCGGCCCTGGAACTCTTCCAATCTTCGCGTGTTTTGTGCATCCTTCTTTCACCGCATGCTCGAAGTAATTCCAACAATGCTATAAGCGGGATTTCATGTTCGGAGTTTATTTCTCGTGGAATTCGGAGGGTGTTTTTCCAAGTTTATTTCTTGCCAAAACTTCGGGGTTCCTTGGAGTTCATTTTTGTTAGATTCCCAATTCTCTGAAATTCAAAGTTAATTTTACTGTGTTCCCAATTTCTAAAATTAAAAAATAAAAAAAAATAAAGTTAGGGTGCCCTCACCCGTTGTCCTGAAGGAACCTTGACGAGCTAAAAAGCGAACCCCTTTCGTCAGTAGTTTGAGGTTTCCAAGGAAACTGAAGCGGCATTTCCTTGGGACTCCGTGCTCTCATAAAATTTACTTGTAAAACACAGTCTTTTTAAGCACCGGAAAGAATAAACACAAATTCGGGACGCAAACAGACGATACAACTCGATACAAAGAGTTGAAAGAGTTGTATCGTCTGTTTGCATCCCGAATTTGTGTTTATTCTTTCCGGTGTTTAAGTATTTACCAACACGCTCGTTTTTTAATGTTCACAGTCTTTTTTTTTGCGCGATTTTGAACTTTTGCGTTTTTAGGATGAATTTAAATTAATATGTAGCGGAAGTTCGTCTGCTTCTTTCGCAAAGGTTGCGGCGACATCAGAACGTTGAGCTCCAATTGGCTCTGATTGAGAGGTAGTGGGCAGACCTCGAGGCAGCTTGCTTTGAGGTCCACCCACTATCAATCGTAGCCAATAAGAGCTCGGCGTTCTGATGTCACCCTAACCCCTCCAAAAGAAGCAGACAAACATGCACTCCGCATAGAAAATTTATCGGCGAGTGTTTTTCGGATTTATCCGAAAACACAGAACCCTAGTTATAAGCGACCATTTCTCGTGGATAGATTTGATATTGCAAATTGTGCAAAAGCTATAAATTGCAAGCTTTCCAGGGCTACCCCCTAAATGATGCCAGTGTGCTGGTACGTTCTGTCGCCGTAAGCAGTTACTACAAGCAGATGCGACGCAGTCAATCACAGTAAAACACAGATGCACGAACCGGCATTTACATTCTCGGCTATAGTAAGTGACACGTTAAGAGTTGAGGGGAAGCTCCTCTCGCCTCTGTCCACTTTAGCAGAGCAAGCGCTCTCCAGCTCCGCCAAGGCAGAAAGAGGTAGGAGGAGCTTCCCCTCAACTCTTAACATTTTTCCGACTATAGCTGTACCTGAGGCAACTGGGAAGGGTTTGCCGTAATGTGCAAGTTTACGTCTGCAGAATGTGACAAGACACCGGCAGTTTGCCTTATTTTTTTTCTCAAATCAAATGCCGTAAGTTTGATATTAGAAACCATTTGACTCGATTTGCAATTACTCACAGGGTAACCGTATGGTTACTATGCCGTTTGATTCCGAAGAGAAGTATGCACATGTTCCTCTCACTGAGTACTGAACTTCCTGCGCATCCAAACTGACTTGATCTGGACTACATGCAGGCAGCTCAGATGTGGATGGTAGAACATAGATAGAATTAGGAGAGCATGTTAGTTAAACAGCTTGTCATGCGAACGCAAAAGGAGACAAGGGCCACACAAAAACAAGTCCGACAGGAACAGCACGTTTTTGCGTGGCCTTGTCTCCTTTTGCATTTGCAACCAAAGCGGATAGTAAGTTTTAACGCATACTGAAGACATGAAAACAGACAGCAGTAATTCGTCGCCGCAAAGGAAACTGACTAATGATTTTGCACAGTAATTCACCAGAACGTTTCAACCATGAACCATTAACTAAAGGCACCTAATTCAAAATTCTCAATAAGATATAAACATGATAATCCTCCAACTACAGGGAAAAGGACGATAGAAACAAACAAACTTTTGGGGGCACCGGATGGGGGGTGGGTTCTTCCTGCAGTGCCAAAAGTGGCCCCATCAACCCAGCTTCACAGCAGAGCTGGAAGCACAAGAACAGTGAACAAACATTTAGCATTCTGCAGTGTTCTGTAAAAGAACATAGCACCTTTGCACTATATTCTTACATAGCAGCACTTCACAATAAACTTGACTACCATTTTCACCTCTGCACACCAAACACAATATTACTAAGCAAAAAGTGTAACTGACCTAGTCTTGTTTTCCTTTTTGCCTTTGCACCTGTGTTGTTAAAAAATATTAATTAAAATGAAAAATTATGTTTGAGTGGAACAAAAATGTGCCTTCCTTTTATTCAAGTGCCTCAATAGTAATGCGTTCCAAACTCTGCTGGTGCAAGGATTCAAGATGGTTCCCCGTGCTGCCCTGACAGTAACTCTAGAACTATAGGGCGTCTCAAGTGAACCATCTGCTGTAAAGTGAGCCAGAAAAATCGTTGCCTGCACATTGAAAGCTCGAACTTTCACTGAATGTGCACTGAGCAGGTCAGTTTTACCGTATGAAATTTCAAGGCGTCGTTTTCTTACTTTAAAAAATTAGAGCAGAAAACTTGCCAAAGTTAAGGTTGGGTGCCTTCGCAGACGACCGAGTTAGCGATGGTATTTACTTGTGGCGTCAACTCCCGATAGGCGCACCGAGCAGACGACGCACCCTGTTGTCTGCTCTTTGCATCTATCGGGAGATCGCCAACACGAGGAAATGGCCCTCCACATCGTGATGGGGTACTGCGACCCGAGGCTGCACGTGCCATTCCATGTGAATGACTGTCATTGCACTGGGGCTCAGGGAATTAAAACCGGCGTAACAGGAACAGACGACGTGCAACAGCAATGTACCAACCATGCCGACGACAGATGGACATTATGACACTGCCTGTGCCTTCAAAGTATCAGAAATCACAAAACGTTGACTGGAAGACTAGTGGGGAAGAACTGTAAAGAGGGAGGGGTGCCACAACTATAGTGCTTACATTTTTTTTTGGCTTGATTTACTTTTTTTTAGTGTGGAATCACCCAATACAAGGGGTTCAGCCGCAATAATCCAATCCAATCTAATTCGTCAAATTTTGCCGGGAGTTGGAAGGTTCGACAAACCAGTCGTGACCGCCCAATCGTTCTAGCCCCCAAAAAAGGGGGCCGCTCGCCTACCGGTTCCGCCAGGGTGTCGGGCGAGACGGCCGCGTCTGCCAGGCTAAGCGTGCGAGGCATCATGACGAACATGCCGCCCGTGGTGTGCACGTAAGTCCTGTGCTCCGCGTCCGCCTGGAGGTCCCTCAGGGAGATGAACCCAAACCTGTGCACTATGAACTCCTGGAAGTCCTCCAGACCCTCCCCTGCAAAGAAAAAGCACAAGGTTGCCACTTCCAAATCATTTCGTGGAAACACAGTTTGTAGAAACACATTTCGTAGAAACACATTTTGTGGCAACACAATTCATGGAAACACATTTCGTGGAAATACATTTTGTGGAAACACATTCCGTGGAAACACATTCTGTGGAAACACATTCTGTGGAAACACATTCTGTGGAAAGACGTTTCGCCATGGTGCCTGGAACGTGTCTTTGACAGCTGCGTTTACCACGTCCAAAAAGCAGTCCCTCGATTTCTGCCCGATGACGTCGTGGACGAGTCATGCTGTCACCGACTGCGATCCTCGCAGTTTCGTAGCAGTGGTGCTGGATGTGGCAGATGCCCATTCCCTGCGAGTCGCCCTCCAGCTCAGTACATGGAAGCTTCGACAGCCAGCAGTTGGGCCGCCGCTACGACGGCGACATTCGCGTTGGCTTGTGCTTTTCGCTGGAACTTCTACGGCCAACCGCCAAGATTGCGCCATCCGTCAGCATGACACTCCGGCTTTCGTGACGTCATTTGTTGCCACTTCGGGACCACTTTTGATGCATGGACGGAATAAGGCGCTAGGCACACCAGGCAGAGACGCGCTCAAGGCACCATAGTTTCGCCGACACTCGAAAGCGTTTCGTGGACAACATTTATATTAATGGTTTTTTCTCGCTAGGTGCATAAATAAATTAGAGCCATAAAAGGATAGAGCGAGACTCACTGAGGTTTGTTTATCTAAGTCTCGGGCCCCCTCCTTCTTCACCCGTAAAAACCAGGCGAGACGCAAAAAGTTTGTTGCGAAAACAGCAGGGTTGTGTTTGACGTGACGGTGTGTTTGTGAAATGAACGCAAGAAGCAAGAAGCCTTTCGGAGTATGTATCTGCCGGATCTTAATTTTCTTATACCGTATTTACTCGCACAATGAACGCACTCGCGTAATGAACGCACCCCCCAAGTCGGCTCTCAAAATTTCGACTTTTTTTTTCACTCGCGTAATAAACGCACCCCCAACTCGGATGTCAAAATTTTGACCCCCTCCCCCCACACGCGCGAAATGAACGCATTCTTTTTATCCTGGTGCAGCGAGGTCGCGAATGCATGGGCAGAATGGGCGAACAAAACGCCTTGCAAAAGGCGTTAAGAAAATGCGAAAAGATCCAACGGAAGCAAGAAAAAAAAACATGGAGAGGAGCTTTTTTTTTTTTTTTTGCACAGCGCAGTCTGGATTAGTCTGGACTTTGGGTTTGCGCGCCGCCGCGCGCAAGGAGGCAAGAAAGAGAAGCGGAGAAGCGCTCTAAGCGAACAAAACAGCTTGCGAAAGGCGGCAAAAAAAAAAAAAAAAAAAAAGCCACGGAATTAAGAGAAAACGAAAACAAAGAAAAACTTTTTTTTTTCGCACAGCGCAGTTTGGTTACGGCGGGTCGCGCGCCGCGCGCAAGGAGGTGAACAAGAGGAGCGGAGAAGCCCTCCAAGGAAACGAAACAGCTTGCGAAAGGCGGCAAAAAGAAAAAAACCCACGGAACTGAGAAAAAAAAAAGAGCTTTTTTTTTTTTGCACAGCGTAGTTTGGTTAGGGGGGGTCGTGCGGTCGAGCGCCGCGCGCAAGGAGATGAGAAAGATAAGCGGAGAGCCCTCGCTAAGCAAACAAAACAGCTTGCGAAAGACGGCAAAAAAAACACAAAAAAAAAAAACAAAGAACAAGGATTTAAGAGAAAAAGAAAACAGGAGTTTTCTTTTTTTTTTGCACAGCTTAGTTTCGTTACGGGGTCGGGCGCCGCGCTAAAAGAGATAAGAAGTTACTTCGATTTTTCAGGATAAAAGGTCCGTTCATTGTGCGAGTAAATACGGACGCAAAAATTTTACTTCGCGTAATGATCGCCCCCCCTAACTTTGAATTGATTTTTCGGAAAAAAAAGTGCGTTCATTCTGCGAGTAAATACGGTAATCATTAATGAGTTATTTATTGACGTCTTTGTATTAATTGTACACCTCTAAATCAAGTGATAGTGGTACGGTTTCGGTTTTAATCGCATCCAGGTCTTCCGTCGTTTGGTAACCACCGTAACTATGCTGCTCGTCTCGCCACGGGCCGCATCTCTTGAACCTGATTGTGGATTACAATTATAATAATACGTAAAGTTAGGCAATAAAAAAGTTTGAAGCCAAATAGGATTTGAACCCAGAACTTTGCAAAATCAATTAATTTCGCAGAAGCCGCTAAAGTAATCAGACATTGCCAGGAAGACAATTCCAACACGGAAAAGAGCACGGGGACTCACGCGAACATCGCCTTCCAATGGTTTGTTTATGGGTGACGGCGAGCTTCTTGCCCACACTCCATTGCGCATACGCGGCTTTGGTGGCATAGGAAAAGCAAACTGTGGTAATAAAAACAGAAAAAAGACATACTGCTAGAATACAAAAATAATGGAAAACAGTAAAATTTGTTTCATACTAACTCCGAGAAAGCTAAGATAAAGTGATAAATAAAACAAGGTCTGTTATTGCTGTGATGACAGGTGGAAGATGGTCCCATTCACCCGAAGTGCGTAAAATGAAAGAATAGAAAAAAAAATTGCTTTTACAAGTGACATAGCGTATTCTATAGGGGTAATGCGTGCAGAATGAGTAGAAAAATTAGCTAGAAATTAACTGATGCACTAATGTGGGACAGTGGTAGACCTTATAAAACATGCTATTACAGAATGCTTTCCTGCGTCGTTCAAGAGGGGGTGAAGACAATGCTTGTTTCATTGATGTAATGCTGTTGGTGAGATTGTAGTTGGATAAAATAAAACTTAGTAGTCACATGCGAATAGGGGATTATGAGCTTGAAGCTAATTCAAGACGAGTAGTGGTTTTGGCCAAATATTTCTTAATCAAATATGGAATAGTTTCTTCAAGCCTTTCACTACTGCTGCACCATGCTTACACGAAAACTTAGTTGAACTCACAAAGGTTGTTTCCAAGCTTTCACTTGTCCATTTCTAAGCTAATTTTGATCAAACTAGGTATATTTATGGACTGTGGCCTCGAAAAGTCCAATGCCTACATTGTGATGGCGAAAAGACGACGGATTTGATGTAAAAATAAACCTATATCGATGGCCAGTTATAGCTAACCGGGGGGACTTATAGATCTTGCTATATATGCAAATATCCTTTCTTCAATCTCCAATTCGAAAAAAAAAAAAAAGAATCTTAAATGATGAGTGCAGGTTGTCAGGGCATCTCTGCCTAAAATACTCTCACATAATGGGCACAGTTTAATTCTGAAAATTTTACGCAATGCAGGTATCAACATTCACAAGGTTTCTGTTCCTTTTGAAATTTATCAGGCGCACGTGCACCGTCCTGCTTTAAAAGTATGCTCTCCTCCACGGACAGGAAGATCTCTGAAGGAGAGCAGTTTCATTAGCTCTTCTGAAGAGATCAGTTTTGAGGTTGTCGAGAGTGGCCAACAGCTTGAAGAAACGCGGACCGTAACAGACGAAGTGAGCAAACGACCCCGCCCTCTCTCCAATCGCCAGGCCCACAGATGCAGAAATAAACCGACAAAATTATGGCAAGTCATAGCCCAGAAAAGCCCGCCACGGGCAACGTCACCGCAAACAAAGACCCCTGGTTTTGCGTCGTCGGGAAATCCCGATGGGCGGCAGGGACGGCAGGGGAATTTCGGGAACACAAAGGAACCCTGGGGATATTCCGTGGGAAGCCCCTGAGTTCCCAGAAGCCCAGTTTGAGAACCCACGGTCAAGGGACTGGGTTCTTAAACCAGACTCCCGGAAACTCCTGGAAGCTCCCGGATTTCGGGAACGCAAAAGAACCCTGGGGATATTCTATGGGAACTCTCGAGTTCCCAGAAGCCCAGTTTGAGAACCGACGGTCAAGGGCATGGGTTCTTAATCCGGACTTCCTGAAGCTCGTATCTTCCCCAGAGAGGCCTAGAGATTTCCCAAGTTCCCGAATTTCCTCGGTTCTCCCCAGTCTTGCATACGTCACTCGAAGAAAGTAATTGATTACTATTACAATTCCTCTTTGTCAAAAAATATTTCATTAGATTACTCAATTCCTTGAGAGAAAAAGTAATTGGCCGTCACTTTAAAAAGCGACTGATTCACTTTGCTGATTACTTTGGATGTTCAAAGCGACAGACTTTTCTTGCTGAATTGAAAACCGGTCTTTTGTGCTGTCCATTATTAGACTAGAATCAACGAACTCTGGACTACTTATCTTCAAAACCATCCTCCCGTCGGAACCTTTTTTTGTGAATTTTTGGGTAGTAGACTTGTACAAACAAGAGGCGCCATTGGGAAGGGGAAGGAAAAATAGTAACAGTTACGAGTAATTTTAGTACTTCCAAAATAATGAGATTACCCTCGCAATTATTTCCCAATAAATGTATTCAAAATATTCACAAAATTACCCTAAAAGGTAAATCATTACAGGTAATTTGATTACTTGTAATGAGTACCGTAGGAGTCTGGTTGTCCCTAGGTGAGGTGTTGTTCTAGTTCAGGCAATATTTTAGTAGATCCGAGCCGTCCACCATTGCATGACTATGTAGCAGACAGTTCCTAGCACGTGCATTATTGCTTACGAGGTCTGTAAGCTTCCGTACCGCTATATCGCACCGACGCCGAGGCTGGGAGGGGTTTTTCGGCTACCGATCGAAAAGGATGCGCGATCCTCGAGCTTCGGCCCGGGGAAAAGCCCTTCCGCTCACCCTTGAGGAGCTGCGGGGCGGGCTCCGGCAGTGTGTGGACGTGCAGGGGCACGAAGATGGCTCCCCTCAGAGGGTCCGACTTGAGCGTCCCCGGCAGCACAAAGGGGTCGCTGGGAATGGGAACCAGCTGAAGGCCCTGGCTGTTGGCCTTGCGTGCCCAGCCCAGCACCTGCAAGCGCGAAGATTGCAGCGAGATGATGGACATGCATCAAGCTCGTTCGTAGCGTGCATGAAGGCTCGTTCGCACGTCTGCGCTTAAGTGCGGTCAACCGAGTTGCAAGCGCCAATGATTGCTCACGAGCGAGCACGCCGAAGCCATCTGTTGGGCACCCATTGAACTTTTCTAATTTGTGTTTATCTTGTGCGCCATTCCTTCCCCATGCTCTTCAAATAATTCTGACAATGTTATCAGTGACCTTTCTTATAGATACTCTAAAACCCTTTATTTTCGCAGCCCCTATTACTCGCTAATTTGTCACAAAGGACATAATCGCAGCCACTAAATTTCGCGAATCCCAGACGCCTGCATTGAAACTCTTAAGGGGGGACACTGGCTAGAGGTTAAAGTTTTGAACTACTCAAGTGATCAAAATGAAATTTTCAGGGGAGATTTAGCTTCAGATGTAGGTGTACTGTGCAAACTTTCAGCTCCCTAGGACAAATTTACATACCTGAATGAGATGATGTGTCACTTTTCATTAAAAAATCTATGATATTCAAATGAAGCTAATAAGCATCACTTTGACTGCTTGAATATAAAGTGGGGGATATGGGACCTCGGGCTATCTAGTTTTAATAACTTAAATGTAAATATTTCAGGAAGAGTTATTACCTCAAAATAGGAGATGCATATCTGTCCTATGTCAATTTTTGAAAACTTATTGTTTTATCACTGAGGACTTCAACTTAATACAAAATAAAGTAGATAGCCCGATTCCCCAGTAAATTTCAGTTCAGAAAGATGTTGATTGTGGTATCAGAATACTTTCACCTTCGAACGAAAGATTCCTTCGTATGAATTTTGCAGCAAAAAGTGGAACTGAGAAAGATGCATTCAAACATTGAACTCCTTTTCTTTGCTACTGCCTCACAATGTGTTGAAAATATTTTATATCAACGTAACTATTTGGCATATGGTTATCAAATTCGGTGTAAGGGTGTATAATAAGTTTATAAAACTGAAAACTTTAAAATTGAAAAATGAATTTTTTCAAAAAAATTTAAAATTTAGGCCCATCTTTAAGGGCACGCAAAATTTTCGCGTGCCCTTAAATCTTGCGAATTATTCAATTTGCGAAATTCCCGAAAAATAAGAAGTCGCAAACATTAAGGGTTTTACAGTAGTGCACAAATTTGATCTCACAAATACTGCAAAACCTTCGGTTCAGTAAATACACAGATAGGAAAAGTCCCAGTGCTATTTATCAGGTTACGGGCAGTTACAATGCAGTCATCGCAAGCAAATGCAGACATGTAAACTAGTCTAAGCATGTTATAACTAGGCTGTATACTTTCCGGTTTTAACCAAAAAACACCGATCAACATCTGCCGGTCTCAAAAATACAAAATGGGTTAAAACCGAAAAACACAGTTTTTTTCATATTTTCGAGCAAGCGCTGGTTTTTTTCACCGAAAAAGTCCTGCATACTTCTTGGTTTTAACCGAAAAACACCAATAAACACTCGCCGGTGACGGAAACAAAAATCATTCAAAACAAAAAAACACCGGTTCCTAAACAATTTTTTCCTAGCAATGTGTGTTTTTTGTTGTTGTTGTTGTTTTTTTTCACAGAAAAGGTCCTGTGCAAACTTTCGTCAGACACATTATTTTACCCGGAATCATGCATTTTGCCTGTCTTTCTTTCGTGACCTACGTGATCTTGGACTCTTGGAGGGCAGTAGCTTTGCTCCGCTATTCTCCAAGGTCAGCGGTCCTCCTGGGCCGCCGAGCTAGAAGATCGCTATCAGTGACCTGAGAGGCCAGTCACAGCTGGCCAGTACTGTCACAAGCCTCGTGGGACGTTTTCGAACTTCCCGTGTCTAGTGCAAATGTTGAGCGGGCATTCTTGAAATTGTGCGTCACCAACAGGAAGGAGCAGGCGTCAGTGACAGACACGAGCCTAGGAACGTATGCATGCATATACTACAATAATCAAGTGGTTGTGTAAAAGATGTAAATAAAATTTGGACTGTTTTTCGTCTTCAGTGGTGGTTTACACTCACAATTTTTCCTCCCGATAATCATTGTTTTAGCGTCTGCACGAGAGAATTCACCGAAAAGCACCAGTATTGGTGAAATAAATAAACACCGATAAACATCCGCCGATTTTTGGTACAAATAAACACCGGAAAGTATACACCCTAGTTATAACAGACCTTGATTTTGACAAAGATTTTGGTCTGTTGTAAAAGGAGTATGTTGTATGCAGATATGAGGTTGAGTCAATGGTATCTAAAAAAAAAAAAAAACAAACTTCACAAATCGGTATGTTATATCCAAATGTCTGTTGTAACCAGGTCTGTTGTAACGCGCTTAGACTGTGGAGAAGGTTTCTCACACTTAGGTCACATACAGGTTAGAATCGAGCCCTAAATATTGTAGCCCTATACTATTCGCGTTACACACGTACAGCTTGCATCCTTTTAATATTGACGCTGGCGAGACGAGCCAAGCCCCTTCAGCTGGCTTAGGGCTTCACTCGCTCGCTTGCTCGCCGACATTTCAGCGAGCATTTGTCATTCTGCATCACACCTACCAAACTGAGTGGAAGCTGGAGCCGAGGAAATGAGGCAAGCACAATTGCATAGTTTCCAGCTTTTAAAGTGGAATTGCATTCTTAGGGAAGCTAAATCAGATTTCACAAGCATCCATGGCAGGCGTGGCGTGGCACAGTGAAAGGTGCTACAGGCTCTGTTAAAATAAGATTGTGCACATGAGTCTGGACATACTTTTCATTTTTGTTAATTTTTTGTCATATGTTACTCCTCAACATGTGTAGAATCGTAATCAGAAAAGATTTTGCAAAAAACGTGATACTATTGCAAAAGAAAAAAAGTTTGAGTGTGCCAGAATGGCATATTTTATTTTTGAAGTTTTCATTTATGTCAGGTTTGGTGACACCTACTACGCAAACTACAAATATCAGAAATCTCAAATATTTTTATCATACAATAAGTCATGGGCTCTACTGAGTGAAATATGTGCAGCACTGTGGAAATCATATATTTCACGTCAAAAATGTGCAAACATGGCTCCTTTCAATTTTTATTAGTCCTGTGCGAATACATGATTTTGAGTTTGAAGTGAATAGTGGTTTTGGCCGAATTTTTTCAATTCGAATATCGAATAGTTTTTCCACGCCTTTTACTACCGTTGCATCATGCTTAGACGAAAACCCAGCTAAAATAGTGAAGGTTGTTTAACCTGTTCATTTATAAGCTAAGTTTCATTTAGCTATATTTATGAATTGTGACCTCAGAAGGTCTGATGCCTTGGGATGGCAAGTAAACAATGGATTTGACATAAAATGAATCCTATGGAGATGGCCAACTATACCCAATTGAGTGAATTTAAAAATCTTGCTTTACAAAATATTCTTTCTTCAATCTCGAGGTAAAAAAGAAAGTATCGCGCATGATGAACACAGGTTGTAAGGGCATCTCTGCCTAACATTTACTCTTGCATAACAGTCAGTTTAATTTTTAAACTTTCACTTCAATGGAGATATACACATTCAAAAAGTTTCCATTTATTTTCAAATATAGCCGGCACACATGCACCATCCCACGTTAAGTGTATGCTTTTTTCCCAAGCATGCAATTGCAATATTCATACTTTTCCAAGTGTTTATCGCAGCGGGTTACCCCGTTGAGTGCGCTTCTTACCGAGCACCAGTGTAATGCAGAGAAGCAACACCCACAGAGCTCACTTCCGCGGGTATAGTCTAAGCTCATTACAACAGACCTGGTTACGACAGACATTTGGATATAACATACTGATTTGTGAAGTTCGGTTGGTTTTCCTCTACATACCATTGACTCAACTTCATATCTGCATACAACATACTCCTTTTACAACAGACCCAAAACTTGGTCAAAATCAAGGTCTGTTATAACAAGCTTACTGTTTTCTTTGCAGTGCATCTTTAAAACTAATGCAATTGATATCTTTACTCAATATTATTTCATTTTACTTTTTCAATTTCATATTTTCCCCTTTACTCGAATAAATAATCACAAATATTTTTTAAATCTTAACAGACGTCTTAGTAAATGTTTGCCAGTGAAGTCGCAGGTTTACCTTGGTCAGCTGGACCTACAACCGTCATGAATAGCAGTTTAACAAGCTTGGGGGCTCAAACATTCCCACTTCATTGCAAATATAAAATATTTGCATATAATTTGCACCACCGTTCTTACTTTTCTACTACTTTCTGTAAAAAAATTGTAGTAGGAGCGCTTATAAGTGGAAAAACGTTGGCTAAAGCTCAAAGAACTTGGCTAAACACGCTTATTGGTTAAATAAATACAAAGGAGAAGCAATGTGGGCATTGTTTTAATTAGTAAAATACTTGGAACTTCAGCCCAATACCCCAATACAGCACAAAAAATATATCTACCGTAAAATACCGTGCATCTGCCCCATACCACACTAAACACCCATTCCAAAGTTTGTAAAATATGTAAAAATATGTCCGGTACATTTATATGCAAAATTGATGACCAGAAAAGCACCCATCCCCCCCCCCCCCCCCCCCCCCCATCTTTTGCAATAATCTCCAAATTTGAAGTGGGCGCTTGCCCGGTATTTCACGGCAGTCATAAAATACACGGAACCAGAAGATAATCTCGTCTGTAACATTGGGCGGAAATGCCGGCATGGAAGGTACATTTTGCAGCACTGTAACTTTGTACCATACAAAATGATGCAACACGTTTTTATGAATAAGCACAAGAGTATAGTAAAGAACTATCACTATAAATTTTTAAAAGTCGAAGATATTTTTTTTAGTTGTTTCTTGAAGTGTTTTAACTTTGTAATTTAGAACAAGTTTGGAGTGACATAAAAATTTGAATCTTTAAGATAAAGCAATGTTTTATATATCACTCGAAAGAATGTTTTAATAAAAATATATGACATTTTTGTAATGTTGTAGGTATTGAATTTTTGTAGATAACGGCTCAGAAATCTAATGAGAAAACGTCAAAGAAGCCATGTTTGCACATTTTTGACACAAAATATATGACCTAAATACTGCTGTACAGTGTGCTCAACCCTTAAACATAACGCGGGAGCGGTGGCCGAAACTGATACCAGAGCTGTCTAGCGATTAAATCAATGATGCGGCAGAGAATAAGGCGGCTCTTCTTGCGATTGTCGCCACTCCCCGATACAATTATCGCATAACCTCCTCGTTTCTTTTTTTTATCACCCACGCTTTAAATTTTTACTTGTCCGTTTTCTTGTTTTTACCACTCTGTTTAGTCACACCTACGCATTTACCATGCGGGGCTTCCATATCTCGGTGATCTTGCAGTTTTTCTGATGAGCCACATGCAGTCTCTCCGGCCACCGCTCCCGTGTTATATTTAAAAGTTGAGTACACTGTACATATATCACTCAATAGTTCTCATGATCTATTATAAGCTCAAAATATTTTAGATTTTTATATTTGTAGTTTGCATTGTATGTGTCACCAAAGCATGATATAAACGAAATCTTCAAAATTCAAATATGCCGTTCTGGCGCATTCAACATTTTTTTTTTCTCTTTAAATATTATGTCTTTTGCAAAATCTTTTTTTTTTAATTACATTCCCTACACATGTTAAGGAGTAACATAGAAAAAAATTAACAAAAACAAAAGTTGTCCGAACTTGCGTGCACAATCTCATCCGAACAGAGCCTAGAGTTAGCCAGCTGCTAAAAGCTTTTGGCAAACAAAAACAAAGAGAGAAAACAGAAGTGGCAGGTGAGGAGGGCAAACCAATGCCTCAACAACTCTTTTTAAAAATAGTAAGCCACCTTCCAAAAGCTTTATAAAAATAAAAAAATAAACATAGCAAAGGAGGACAATGTAGGCTTTAAAAAGAGGCTGAGAAAAGATGCTTTGAAAAAAGACACAGCTGCACCTGCCAGGTTAGCCAAGATTGGACATCAGCTCCCGGTGCGTTCCTTATAAAATGCAATACTGCATATGAGAGTCGAAATAATAAATTAAAATACTGCCGCAATTAATTTTTTTAGTGGTTTATTGCCGACTTAACAATGCAGTACAGGCACCTGGTTTTGAGCGGGCTTCTGCCTTGCAAATGCTGCCACACAAAGGGCACCTCTTAGAGATATAAACTCGCACTTGAAATGTTCGCTATATTGTCCATTCGTGACAGTGGTCCAGCAGGACCACTGTCACGAGTGTTTGGCCGACATTGCTCGAGGAAACGGTGAAGAAGGCTAAGCAAAGGCACTCAGGGTAGGACCCTTAGCCTCATCCACTCACCAGGTCTGCAATGATGTAGCCCGTAGCCACCATCCACTCGACGATCAGTTCAAAGGCCTCGCCAGGCTGAAAGATGTTGTGATACTGGGCCTGACCCCACTCAGGTCTGTCGCTGCGTCCTCCAGCGTCAATGTCGATGTTCACGTTGCGAAACAGCAAGCCTGCAAGGTCATGAGAAAAACCCGGGGAGATGTCGTAAACAAAAATGGGCCACGTGCAATGCGGTTGTACAGAAACAATCTTGTTTACCTAAATCCGCGAAAAATTCTCCCCTAGTATTAACCCGATAAAAATGAAATAAATGTTCAAACAACCGGGCAAAAAATGACTGTCGCACGAAAGGCATGATTTGCACAACGATCCACATAAAGCCTCGTTCATTAATCTGACTGCACGCATGCTTTCCGGTCTCTTACTTCTCTGCAGATCACCGGTACATGAAATCACTTCCCCGCAAACTTCTCTTTCCAGAAGTATATGCAAAACAATTGGATAGAAATTGTTACTGTGGAAGAATATTTGGCATCGCTGCTTCCTATCAAGTTCACATTTCCCCAATGCCTCTCTTTCCTTATTCTTAACCTCTATTCTCCCCAATATATGTAAAGCAAGGGTCTTGTGCTGTCAAGTCCATTTTGCTGTTTTACCACTTTCACGCTTGCTTGCAGTACCTTCGAAACATGCGGAAGTCAGATGAAGCCCCCGGAGCAAAGCAGTGATGCTCACCCTACCATATGACCCTAATGCAATTTTGCCCTAACAAGCACCCATCCCTCAGTTTCTCAAGATTATCAGCAAATCTTGAATCGGCATCTGCTCGGTATTTTGCGCCATGTCTGAAGGTTGCAGAAACGCTAGTTGCATTGGAAACCAATTGATCTGAATCGTACGCTTCCTCAGGTCCGGCTCCACGTCCATGTCACCGAAGCTGTCCTCGGTCTGTGGAGCCTGTGGAAGGAGTTCAACTTCTATCCATTCGTGCTGATAGGCATCCAAGTCGACGTCGTCCGGCTCGACGCCTAATGGGGAATAAACGGCACTAGCATAAAAAGCAGGGAATATACCGTAAATGTGTTTTTTTAGAAGGTAGAGTAAAACAAGTAACTCTAATATAGCTCGTTCATTTGCGGCATCACGAAAGACATCACAAGCCATCCCGGTACGGGCAGCATTGCTTCTTGTGACCCTGTGGACCTGGGTAATCCCTACTAAGTACAAAAAACATTAAAGGGACACTGACACCCCCCAAAAATTTTTTTTCATTTTTTGCCAGGGGCTTCATTATGGTGTCGGAGGACTACCCAATTAATATTTTGCCACAGAGAAGCGTATTTTTTTAATAAAACCGAAAGATGCAACTGCTCGAAACCGAAACCGAAACCCGACGGAGGTCGGAGAAGTGGAGAGAAGAGAGTGAGTGGCGGAAGTCACGTGGCTACACCCGACCGTGCGTTTTTCTTTTTTTGTTTGTTTTTTCTCCTCTCCGTAGCAGACGACACGACATGTGGCGTGCGATGCGGCGTGCGAGAACTGCTCGCTGGGCGATTCTTTTGCAGTTATGTTTGTTACGCTCGTTGTTCTGTACTCCAAGATGAGTTGTTTTGTACATTGAGGAGTCGGAGATGAGTAGCGAGTGCCCGTGGTGAATTTCCATGATCGGCTCCGAAAAGAATACACCCAAGATGTTGCGTGAAGAGCTGGCTCACATGTCCTGCGTCCAAAAAAAAGTGGCATTGTGCGACAGAGTTTCCGAAAGATCAACGGGATCGGGACCATTGGCTGGCTGCAATTCCTGTAGAACATATACGGGCACCTCGGAAAGCGGACGCTACCTGATTTATATGCTCCTTGCATTTTGTGGAAAGTGATTACATTGAGTTCTCAGGTGTCAAAAAGGAAATCACATACCATTTAATTCAGCGAAGTATCGTCCGCAACATTTGTTGGTTATTTTTGTTTGTTTCTTCAGTGATGATTGTAAAAAAAGAAAAAAGATACGTAAACATCGGGAAATGTTTGAAAAAAAAAAGAAAAAATAAAGTTTCACGGGGGATCGAACCCGGTCCTACCGCGTGTGAACCGGACGTCTTTCCCACTGAGCTACTAAGGCACCTCTTTTCTGGTGGATCTCTTTCCTTTGTAATAATTAAGCCGGTAAACTGTAAGTTGGAAAGTTTGCTGTCGATTTTTCTCTAGCAAATGCACTCCCGAGTCGACGTCGGGAAGCACCACGCTTTGGGGACATTCGCACCTAGTAAAGAAATCGTACGCGTGCATATTCAACTCGAAGTAGACACGTCGTGCTTGACGTTTGCGCGAGCGATGTCTTCAGCCACGAGAAGGGAGCGACGGCTCGGCGACGTCTTCGTGTAAATCGGCTTGGTGGCCGGGCGTGTCGTACGGGATGAATACCAATTCTTTTGATCAGTCCCAAATTTCTCTTTTAAAGGTAGACAGAATTCGCCGGTACCGTGAACGACAGTTCTGAAATAGAGGCCCCACGCCCGTCGTCCGCTGCCATCGCCGTCCCCGCGAGTCCCACGATACGCGAAACGACGAACGCACAGAATGCTTCCGGTTGTCTGTGGAACTTTTTTTTTCAATCAACGTATTTACAGCTTTTTAGAAGCCACAAAAAATAGGTTTCATATTTTTTTCTATTTTTAATATTTAGTGTGTGCCTTCAGTGACCCACGACTTTGATTAAATTTGGTGGTCGCATCGATACCTTAGAAAACGGCCCGTGACCTCGAAAAAGAGAGTGAGCGAGGCTCGAACCGGCCAGTTCTTGATCGGCGGTTTTCGGGCGGAAAGAAACCGAATTTCGAGCCGCAAATTCTGTTCTGGGTAGTTGAGCTCTCATATGTCACGTACAACTAAAAACCTCGGCGAGCATAAATACCCTGTCAGTGTCCCTTTAAGGCTGGTTTCTGCATCTGCGAAGTTTTTATTAACAACCAAAATGGCAGGAACAACTGGCACACCGGAACAACCATGACTCACGATTGCTTCACAAAGCCACTTCTTGCATCGCCTGCCACGTTGTGTACAGTGAAAGCCTGTCCAGGTGACTTTGTCGTTGCTGTCGTTGCGGTCGCTGCGAACGCGACTGACACAAATGTGTGGACCGGCCTTACCAAAGAATAAATGGTGGGCATCGAGTGTAGAGCAAAATAATAATTTTGCTATTTCTTTTATTAGACGATGCAAGTTTCTTAATAGGCATAGAAAAACTAAACTTATATCCTTGGGAAAAATTAGAGACCGAAAAGAGCCGAAGACTTCAACAAAAACAGATGCCAAAAACTACCCGCTCATTCCGAAACGACTAGAGTCGAAAACATGGAATATTTTTTGTATAGCAAAATAATGAGAATCATAAAAGTTTCATACGTTACTCTGCCTGCTTTTTTGATTTTGTTCCAGGATGAAACTAAAAAATGTAATGCAGAGAAAAGGTGACACCCTTGGTAGACTGATTCCATCCTGAGCAAATAAACAAAAAAGAACAAGCACACTTATACCTTTCAATGTCTTATCCATCAGGTAGTAGATGTAGAACCCATTTATAAAAGGGTGAGCAGTCTCTCCTGATGCATGGCATATGTACGATTCTTCGAGCAGCCTCTAAAAAGCAGGAAAATATAAACATTTTGAAAGTAACTGTGAATTGTGCGTACAATTAGATGGTGGAAGGTTAGTCAACCCCAATTGGCACCTGGCGTCTCTGCTGTGGATGAGAAATTTAGCCAGAAATCCAGGAGGGGCATACCTAGACGACCATTGTACCGCACGCTGGTACGTGCAATGCTCATCCAGATCCAAATGGGTAGGCAGGGGAATTGAACCCAGGACCCCTGGGTTCTGCAGCGCGAGCTTTCACTCCACCTGCTCCAAGCTGCTGTGCTTTAACACACTCTTCCAGCGATCCCTCCCCCCTCCCTCCTCCTACCCCCCCCTCCCCTCCCCTCCCCTCCCCATCGCCCCCTCCCCCCCCCCCCCCCCCCCACCGCAACATTTCAGACACAAACACTTTACAAGCTCAGCCTCTTGACTAAGCCTCTTCCTTCAGACTTATGCCAGCCCCAAACCTTCTGAGTCAGCATGTGCACAGTAATCTCTCTGCCATAAAAAGCTGAGTTAGTATGTCCCTTGCTGATTATTATCCGCCATTCTACCTGAAACAGATGTGTTGCCTCGATGTCGGTATGCGCTCCATCCACATGATCCTTGGCCCAGGCAGTCGCTTCAGCGCTGATGAAGGAGTGCTGCGGTACACCGCCTTGCTTTGGAAGGAAGCAGATGCCCTCACTAAGTGAACCAGGGGCAGGAACAAAACCACAGAACTGTTACTGATAGTACTACTGATGTCCCATCCATAAACTTGGTAAAATATTAAAGTGCCAAATTATGCCGAGGCTTGAAAAAAAAAAAATCATAGAGCCCTTCCACTTTTCGTGAAAATGGGGGACCAGCGAAGCTGTTATTTTTATGACGTCTAGGACAATGTTAAGAGGACAACGTCTAGGACGACCTCAAGGACGACTTGTAGGACGACCTCGAGGACGACTTCTAGGATGACCTCGAGGACGATGCCTAGAGATGATAACAAGGGATCAGGATCTCACTATCTAAAAATGCCATTAAGGATGACTCACGCTGGTAGCCCCTTTTTTTTTATTTTTATTTATTCATGCTTGCCATGACCAATGGTGAGTTTTCTGTCAACATCCGTGGACACATTTTTCCCCAGATACTAGCGCATAACAACTTCGCTGTAAAAAGACTGAGACATATTAAGTGTGTTCAAGCAAGAAATACAAACTATACCTTGATGAGAACATTTTGCATGTGTACATTTTGGGAGAAGTAGGAATACCATATAGATTGGAGTGTGGGACTGAGCAAGTTGGTATAGTTTAACATGATAGGAATAACAGCTTTAAAAAAAATGAGGACCATGAGAGTAGATCATACCGTAAAACATACATACACAAAGCATGAGTACTTAATAAACAGAATACATACATATTCATAGACATAAAGAGCAGCCTCAGCTTATCATCGTTTAAGGGGGACACTACCCAGAAAAAAAAAAAATTTCTGCAAGAAAAGTTGATTTTTAAAAATGCCCTATTTACATCTGCCAACACCTAGAGCATATTCCCAGGAAGTTTCATTTGTTTTTATGCACTGTAAACTGTTTACAGTGCATAGTTATTTTTTTATAATATTATGTTCAGACCACCAATGCTAAAGGAAAGGTAGAGGTTAGAGCACTTTAAATATGTTTTTCTCCAATCCACTTTTGGCATAAATCCCACCTCAATGAAACTATTGTTTTAGCACGAAACTATCGAGACTTAATATTTGCGGCTTATATGCCAAACGTTTATGGATCCGGTTACTATAAACTTAGATTTTGCAATTTCATGTTCCTTTATTATGAAAAATTGTAATTTGCAAAACTTGGTAAATGTAAAAAAAAAAAAATCATACATTTTTTTTTTTAGAAATGCATTTTTTTTATAGTAATTGGCAAGAGCTATTTCAGTATGCATTACACCAGAGAAATATGTGGTTATCAACACCATTTCTTAATGAAAGATTCACTGAGCAGATTCCATGCAAAGCTATGCTTTAGTTTGTTCTGGGGGTATACAGTTGATTCACAGGGCCGAAACTTTGCATGCCCTCCTTCTATATGGCTAAAAATACAACCTGCAAATATCACGCCAATTGAGTGAGCGGTTCAAAAGTTGACATTCCCAGGTAGTGTCCCCCCTTAATTAAACAATGCACTGCAACCTCTCCAGAAATGAAACAGAACAATATAAAGGTATTATTCCTCTACTCAATTTATACTTAAACAGTACAGGGCCATTTGGCATAAGAGTGCTTGTGGCATATGCTGCAGTTACATGTTGAAGTAGATCATAAAAGGCAGCCATACAAAAGCTCAAGACAACTGACATTTTTGGTGAAATTGATACAGAACACTTAATCTAGCCTTTCCTGTCAACTCGGAATGCCACACACTTTTGCATGGTAGTCTACATTTAGCGAGGTCCAGCAAAATGTACATTATAAACTAAAACACCAACAAAGATTAAACTTTTGCATGGTGTGTACTATCGTGCCCACTTATGATGAAGTCAGTTATAACGAAATAGCAGATATTGCAAAGCAATCACAATTTCCTTTCCCATTTGCCCTTTTTCAGTGTATTTGCATCTGTTTTTAGCCAAGAAAATGGTGCAGCTTCCACGAATATAGCGAAGAGAAATTTTGTGACATAATTGAAGAAAATAAACGAATTCAGAAAGGCTACCAAGTTGTAGAGCGCGGCACTTTGCTGCCGTGTCCGAGCAGCCACCCAGAATGGGTAGCAGACAATGCCACGAAGGCCGGCAGCGGCAGCCTCTACATCATCATCAGCTCCCTGCTCTTTACCTGGGAAGCGGAGTTTCCGCATCGCAAACAGAAAAACTGTTGTGGCATGCCGACAAGGCTGTTCAGAGCACTAGTGACAACATACCAAAGTAGAGAGCCAAGATTTAAGAGAGGGAGCAACTCCAACCATGGAGAGCACTTGCAATTTAACGGCAGACGCCAACTGGGCACACTGGCACAAGTGGGCATGTGCTGGGCGGATTGTCATTATTTTATTTTTTTAAACCGAAGAAAGCAAGAGACTAAAATATGTAGAAAGAAAGCACCTTGCATGCTTCATAGCCTCCACAATTTCAGCTGATAGAGTGGACATCGTCAGGCACTTGATGTCACTTTGGATCCTAAACAAAAAGGATAAGGTTTTCAGAAAGGAGCAAACTCACAAGAAATCAAAAGATCATGGTATCAAGTGCACAATCACACCTTTCTGTACAAAAACAAAAATATATTTTACAACATTTTCTGATGTAATGATCAAAGGTTACTTATCATGCCCGGTGCAATGTGTCGAGAAAAATGGCTTCAGTGGCTTTGCTCATATTTTTCAATAAAAATATTACATGTGCAAGCAGTTTCGGATGACTAAAGTAAAATCCACCAAGGGCGCCCTCCCCTGAGAGATCGCCCATCCCGTTTTTCTGGATAAATATTCGCAACATAAAAATTCCAAAACATTGGCCACCCCCTGCTTCCCTTTGGACATTACGCGATCTGTGGTACTGGTACGTGTGATAAGCGAGTTCACAGCAAGTTTGTCCGCAATCTGCACGTGCGATAATGGTTTCTATGACACGCAAGTTTGTGGCTGGTTTCCGCGTGTTTGTCACATTGTGAAACACGTATCTGTTACACCCGCAGTCTGCAGTATCCTTTCCCATGACACGGGAGTTGGTAGCAAATTTCCGCGTGCTTGCTGCGTCGTGAAACGCGAATTTGCCGTATCCACGATTTGCGGTATCAGTTCCTATGTTACGCGGTTTGCAGCAGGTGCCCATGTGTTTATCGTTAATTTTTAATAGTTTTCCTGTCTCATCTCTAAAGATAGTCCACCTCATGTTTTTCACCACTTATCTCTTCATTTTATGGTATATATATTGTCACGAACGGCGAGTGACGACGCACAAAAGAATTGAGAACTGAACGTTAAATAAGGCAAACGTGCGCCTAAAGCAAACTAAAATGACTGGTGCCGCAGGCGTCGATATCAGCATTGCAGCAGGATTGTGTGCCGGCACCAGGTTGACTGCTTTTAGCAACCTATGGCTCCACACACCACGCAGTCAACTTTCCGGGTAACGGAACAAATGAAATCTCAGGAGATGAAACCAGACTGGAACATTCCAGCAGGGTTATAGCAAAGAATAAAAGAAAACAGGTCGCCGGCGGGGTGCAAACCCCGTTCCTCCGCATGGAAGCCACATGCGCTGCCAACTTAGCCATGCGAGCAGCAATAGTACATATGACGTAATTATCCACAAGAACCACTTAAGTAAGTTTGGTCAGTTGGTTACGATTATACAGCAGACATTTGGTTACAACACACCAATTCATGAAGTTTGCTAGGCCTTCCTAGCTATTCACCTCGAGATCGAACTAAAGGTGGCGCTACTGTCGTGCTATCATCATGATCAATCTGTGAATAGGAAGATGGCTGCGCCATAGGCTATCTGAGGTCGCGGCCAAGAACCTGCAGAATATCACGTTTATTGCCTTGTAGAGTATCAATGTCAGAGCAATTTCAACAGAAAATGGTCCCATACTGTTCATTGCCTCACTGCAATACCTACCGTAAGAGCCCGCATATAATACAAAGTTTTTTTTTCAAATTTTGACATGTAAAATTTAGTAAAACGCGGGTCCCAACAATTTGCAGCTTCGATGAGGCGCGATCGAACGCAGCTTGACGTAGTTTCGGTTTCGAAACAATATGGCATTAAAAACAGCTATCATCATCATTAAAATCACAATGTCCAAGGCGCCACCAGCGGAACCATGCGTCCACGGTCAGGCTAGGCAATGGCGTCGGCGCAAAAACAATGTTCAGCCGCCTTAAAAAAAAAAAGTAATTTTTGTTGCGGAAGACGTCGGCAACAGTGCTGCCGGACAATTCGCCGTAAATTAATGCAGCATCCGCGCACTGAGACGGCAAAAGCAAGCTCTGTTCGCATGCAACGGAATGAGAAGAAGCTTTAGAGGCCCAAAGAATGGCGTGTTCGCCGACGTCGAGGCAAGTCTCGGCGACTTTGTATAAGAGCAACGTGAACGGCACGTCGTAGCCGTAAACATCGAGCTGCTGCAAGAGAAGGCAAGCTAACATTGGGTTGCTCGCTTTATGCGCCGCGCCGGGCTTTCACTGCGTCGGCGCACGCCCGTCGCTCGCTCTTTCAAGAAGTGCGGGATTTCAAATGCGCTCGACGGCACTGAAGGGAGGAGGTGTCGGACAAGGTGTCTGGTGGAAGTGATGACAGTGATTAAGGTTCAATTATGATGTAAATATACGGTTTTCTTAAGACTTCCTGGGTCGCATTTTACGCAGAAAATTTTTGCGGCCCCTTAAATTGTTTCATATTATACGCGAATAAAACTTTTTTCTTCCTTCACGGTCCTCAAATCATATCTCGTATTATACGCGGGTTCATATTATATGTGGGATTTATGGTATTTCACCAAGGTAAAGTCAGTAGGGTTAGTTTTCATCGATATCCAGTGGCCAGCGAGCTGAGAAAAGAGAGGCTCTCAAGTGGAGATCTGATTCACGCAATGGTTCGCTCCAAACTTATCACCGCTGAAGACTTCAAAGCAACGATGCATGACAACCAGGGTAAGTGGAAAAAATAAACTGTTTGCATAAGTGTCCTGAGTGGCCCAAAGTATAGTATGCGTAAAGCGTGCGCGTTGACACTCGCTCGCTGCTAGGCAGTGTGATTGTTCTTAGTGTGGGTTCTCCCGCTGCAGCGTTTTTGGAGAGGATGCGAATGCCACAAACTTATTACTGCATGAGAATCCGACTTTTGAAACATTGTAGAATTGTCAATCCTATGAGCCCCCTACACAATGCCACACTGAAGGAGGCACCAACTGCAGCGGTAGTCAGTTGCTCAGTACCTGCATGTGCGTCAGACGCACATGATCAATTTTCTTGAAGTTCGGTTGGAAGTATGCGGTAAATAGGGCTGATGGCAACTGGTCAATCTACCGAAGGAGCAACAGGGACTATCGAGTCAAATCGATTACTTGTTCATACTCCATGAATTTGCTTATACCCTCCACGTGACTAAGGTTTCGTGCCACTTCGCTTGAAAAACAAATTCTCAACGGCAAATCACGCAACATGAAAATGGCATGATTACATCTAAGGTTAACATCTCACTAAAGGACATGGTGCCATGTACGAAGCCCGAGCCATTCTTTTTCTGAAGTGACTGCACCGCCTACTGCAAAACCCATATTTTTCAGAATTACAAAATTAGCAAAAAGTAAAGGCACGCGAATACCTCTCTTGATTTGAGGCCAGAATTCAAGTCTTTAGAATTCGCGAGAGTTAGTGGCCATGAATAGGTTCCTATGCCTAATTTGCTAATATTTGGGATCACAAAAATTAATGGTTTTACATAGGCAGCGTATGCAGCATTTAAAATGATCAGAAGGTTGTATCATGCAATTCTCTCAAAGACGTATCCGGCCGTTGGGAGAGTGCACGAAAGTTCATCAATCGTGACACCATTCGTGAGTTTCAGATCCACAGTGTGGGGATCCTTGCTGAGAGCCGACGACTGCAGTACGCAATTCCGAGGTGTACGCTCGTCGATGTGGTCGTTGGGGCCACAACGTAGAACTCAATCTTGTGCCCGGCATGCACAAGTTGTCCGTTTTCGACAAAGCACCTGTTTCCGTCGGCAATGTACTCCATAATAGTATGCAATGGCACTGAAACTGAAACATATATAACCGCATCACAACAACCACAGTATTAACATTACATAAACATCCGGCTTGGCATTCCTTGCCTTCACGTGTTTCTGCTCTCGTGGAACGATACAATATTTTCGAAAAAAACAAGCATTCACAACGTAAATAGTGCAGTTTACCCGAAAACAAGCCTTCATCGTCACGAGGACCCATGTTTCAACGTGCGCCGAGAGCAGACAACGTGCAGTGTTTCCAACATTGGTTGCATGGTGGCGACTCTGTTCTATCTCGAGGCGAATACCACTGATTCAATTTTGCTTATTATAAATTTTGTTACAACATACATTCGGATGTAGTGGACTATATTAGGGAGTTTGTAAGTAGTTCACCATTCCATTCTGACGGACTCTTCGACAGCAGTCAATATTCCAGACAATACGCGGCTTTTGGTTCGATAGTGGTGACATCCATCTCGTGAACCGCTGTCATTGAGCTCGGCGCCTCACGAGCCTCGTATGACCGAAAGCGCGCAATCCTGGGTGCAGTTTAATAAAAAAAGTCACTACCGTTCAAAGCTCAGGAGCTTAAAAAAACCAGTACTTCTCTCATATCCATTCACATTTCGTCAGTCTCACTGGTTAGAACAGACTCCAGTCATAAACCACCTCAAGGTCTGTAGTAAGAGTATCTGCCCCCCCTCCCCCCATTCTGCGTACTCCTCTTACAACAGACCAAAATCCTCATCACTGCCAAGGTCTGTTACGAACGAGTTCATACCTATGCAATAACGCCGTTTCATTATTAGTGTATCGAATTTGATGAAGTGCGGTTTTCGGGAATATTTCGCGGGCACAAAATTTCGTTAATGAGGGTGGTATGCCATGTATTTGAAACCGTAAGGAAAAATATCTGCGTGATCTATTTTCTGCAATAACATTCGAGTCGCGAAATTTGCGAAAATTAGGTCATCACAAAAGTCAAGTCGTTTACGGCTTATCTTTAAAATATCAATATATGTAACTTTAATATGATGTCTTGCCTAACCCATAGAGTATCACTTGAGGTTGCCTAAAGGTATTTAGCCATGCCCTTGTTTGCTTAGAGACAGACTCAGTGATGTGATCGGCCTAAGCCATTTTGGAGCACCTTTCGGAGCAGCCAAAACAGTGTTTTGGAGCAACAAATGTGGCCTTTGGAGCAACCAAAGCAGTGTTTCGGAGCACCAAAAGTGGCTTTTGGAGACCAAGGCAGTGTTTCAGAGCAGCAAAAATGGCTTTTGGAGCAGATATTCATAAAAAAATCAAGATATTCGTTTTAAGTGCTGTACAAACAAAGGGCACTTTGTGTTGTGTTGTGTTCTGATGTAACGTGTTGTGACGGAACTCGCTGCTTGTGTTTCCACTGCTGAGATATCCCACAAGTGTACAGCAATGTAGGCATTGCCGAGCAATTCCGGAAAAACGCTTGCCACCGTTTCACTGGTTCCCAATGTGCCAGATTTTCGCCAAAAGTAAGCAAATGTAAAGCAATGGATGGCAAGCGTCCCGGCTGGTGCCTATGTCGTGCAATCATGTTTGCGTGCATGTGAGGGCAACTTCGGCAGGCTTGCAGTTGCCCGTGCTTCGTCGCGCGATTGGAGACAACGGCTGTTCGATCGAAGCCACAACCATGCCACTCCGCTCCGTCGCCAACTGATCCCCAAAAATGCGTGCAAAATGTAACTGTCGAGCATACGACAAAAAAACAGTCCAGCGGCGCGTGCTTGCCAGTCCGGCAAACAAGGTACAAGCTACACACACACACACTAACACACGCACAAAAAAAGAGCCTGAGCGCATCGATGCAAGACATTGCGGGCCAGGGACAAAAAGTTCTTGAAGCGCATTGTGCAACCTCGAGACAAACAAGCGCACTGTGCGGGTTCAGCGTGCAGACATTGCCTTCTTTGCTTTAGCTCACTTCTCTTCACCAACTTTCTTTCGCGGCAGATTTTTCACATATTGGGGTCCCTCTCGAGAGAAAGCCCACCGAGAGAAACCTAGGTAATTAATACTTTGACACAGCAGTCTTTGAGTTAAAGAGGAATTTTGTAGTAAAATATGATTTAAACAAGAACAGGAATATTGATGAACGTGCGTCAGTACTTAGTTTTATCTTAGAAAGTGCCATATCTGCAGCGACGTGGGGACGGAAACACCCGACGTCGCACAACCACAGTGACTGGAGGGCAGGAACCAAATAGAGTTTTCCCACGGCCGTTGCTTTCAGGAGTGAGTGCTTCAGCTCACAAAACAACTCCAGCCACGCAAAAACGTGGTTTAGTTTCACAGCATGATGGCATGGCTGGTACCCGGCACGCTGGCGTCGGAGCATCCGCATACACCCGCGTCTATCGATGAAAATGTGTCGACGTGGTCATTGGGGCCGAAACGCTCCACTCAATAGTGTGCCCGGCATTCACAAGTTGTTTGCCTTCGCCAAAGCACCTGTTTCCGTCGGCAATGGACTCCATAATAGTATGCAATGGCACTGAAACTGAAACATATATAACCGCATCACAACAACAACCACAGTACCAACATTATATAAGCATCCGGCTTGGCATTCCTGGCCTTCGCGTGTGATATGAAAATAAGAAAATAAAAAAAAAAACATGAGACGCCGAGAGCGCGAAACACGATACGGCGGGAAAACTATGAAAGACCAGGTGGACATTGAGGCAGGGTGCTTTGTGTCTGGCGGCCGCTTGCGCCACATAACACATGCATGCTCAATTACAGTACTCAGTTTAGTTTCGGTCTTGAAAGATGACAGAAATTGGTTTTTTGGCACAGGCTTGGCAAAGATTACCCATATTTTGGCAAAATGTAGCAGGGTGTAGCAGGGTTAGCTTCTTGGCACAGTTTGGCGCAGTGGGTGCAGCAATCACATCACTGCAGACGTGCAAGCAACAAAACCTAACCCAGACAGGAATCTGCACAAGCCAAAAGCGAAACTCACTTCTCCTCTGCAGTCTCCGCACCCGTCGACTCTTGCATGGCTTCCAACGAGGAGTTAGATCCACCACTCTGAAATCCGGTAAGGATACCTTGTTTTGGCTGTTCCTACAGGTCATTCATTATCTGGGTAGTTGTTGGTAAGCAACAAATTAGTTTCTAACGGCACGTGCAAACACTGGAGTAGTAACTCGAATGATATTATTAACACATTCATTTTGACCGTCAAATCAAATGCTAGCAAATACAAAAATTTTTAATATATTTAAAAATTTGTTACGGCAGACTCTTTCACAGTTTTTTTTTCAGTATGGACGCACATCAAAGCAACATCCTTGGCTGCAGCATTACCGGCGACGTTTTCGTGGCATCACGCTTTTCACGGACGGGTTTGTTCATGCGCATTTCGGAACAACTGCGGCTTTGTTTTTGAATGTGCTCTAGAAAAACTGAGTTCTGCACTAAAACATACAAACACGAATGCCACAATTATGAGCAGGTACCGCAGACACTCGTCCGCCTCGATCGTGTAGTTTCACGTCAAACAAAATCATTATTATCGTTATTATTGCACCGTGGCTCCGAGAACAAACAAGTTGAGTTGGTGAAGTCAAAACCAAACTTGGCATGTAACAACATAATTTCAAATTCAGATCCTGCCATGGAGCAACCGTCCAGAGACAATGAGGTTCCACGATGCCAACTATACCATTGCTCCTTTGTTGTAAATGCGATACAGCCTATATCTCCCATGGTTAAGGCCTGTTCACACATACACCGCAGCACTACCCCACAGCTATTAGTCAGTACTCAAAATAGCTGTGACTAGCACTGACTTTGCTGATGCACAGCTGGATTTACACCATATCAACGGTAAAGCACCAATATACCGCTGCAACAGTGCTAAACTAGGTTCAAGTCAGAGCTGCATCAGTGCTGTTCCTAGTGCTGGTTTAATACTGAGACGCATGAGTGAACTGGCCTTTAAGGTTCACACTTATAAACAAAATGTATACAAGTGGCACCATTGTACAAAACGCACTGACAAAAATTTTGGAAAATAACGACTACCGTAAAATCCCGAGAGATAGCCCACCTACATCAAGAGCAAATCGGGTGAAAATATGGAGTGGGCTAACTTTCGGTGTACAATCAAGAAAAGCTTAAAAACTTCCTATTCTTAGGTCGTGTCTCTTCCAAGCTTGTTATGGTGGCGAGGGGCAACAAAGTAAAGATGACTGTACTTCCCAGTCAGCAACACTCGCATATATCCCGCCATAGCTAACTGGCCGCAGTTACGCTGAGGCCATCATAAATCCCAACACCTTTGTTACTAGGAGTGGGCTATCTTTCGGTGCTTAAAAAAATAAATCAAGCCAAAAATAGAGGTGGGCTATCTTTCAAAGGTAGCCCACCTCTGGGATTTTACGGTAATACCTTGGAACATATGGTAAGCAAAACAAATACAGATACCCGCGAGTGCTCATAAAGAAAAGGAGCGCGCTTGCCTTGGAGTCCGCATCCACAGGCGCGGAGGCCTTTCCCGCGAGAGCAGAATCGACCCGCAGGTGTTCCAGGTGGTGGCCCCTGGGCCGGTCGTGGATGCGGTTGCTGCTCACGCGGTTGCGGAAGGCCCCCGTCGAGTAGGCCGCTGCTGAGCCCGACTGCGGGGACGCCAGCTGCGGGGAGCCCTGGTGACTCATGCTGAGACGCAGCGGACCCCTGGCAGCGCGGCCCCAGGCACCCACAGACTGAGGAGGAGGGCATGAACAAAACGAAAAAAAGAAACGTCTGGTTCATACATTTCGCCAGATGCAACGGAGGTGCGACAGCGCCTGCGTGAGACGCCTCCACGCCCACTAGATCATTCTGCTGATATGCGGTTCCTTATAATTAGGGTTCCGTGTATTCGGATAACTTCGACAAACTCTGAAAAACGCTCGCCGGTGAAGTTTTCGGCAATGCAGATTTATTCGACAAACTCAGAATTTCGAAGTCAGGATGCCAAAATGAAAAGTACAAAAAAGACGGTATTTCACGAATGAAGTTTGTTAGAGCACAGGACTAGTGGTTCTAAGTAAAAACCCATTCGGTATTTTTTTTTTTTTAATCTTGAACTATTGAGAAAAGGGACTTCCCTATTTATCTCGTCAAGGCTCGTTCAGTATACAACGGGCTACGGGAAGTACAATGTACTTCTAGACCACGACAAAAACCACTGGTCCGGTCTCCAGTTTGGACAGTTTTAATAATTTTTCTTAGAGGGACGAGGGGTTGTCTTTTAATAACGGTGAAAGATGTGAACCTGTAGGTTTCATAAGATAGGGAGGGTAGGTGTAGGTTTTATGCGTGTTTGGCTATTTCAAAGTACCAACCTATATTTAAGTAACACATGTTTTCAAAATTTGTCGTGGGACAGTTACTACCTGAAAATTGCAATGCATCAATGCCAAATGCTGCTTCAGAAATAATTTTCAACACTGGTGATTTTTTTTATAAATTTAGCGCATGTTTTCCACCCAAACATTTTCAATTTTCATTTTGAAAAAAAAATAAGATCAGAATAAACTTAAGCTTCGAATTTCGGTACCAAGTATCACAGTCCAACGAAACGAAAGATAAGTGGACTTGAAAGATCATCCGAGTCGAGTCCTACTTCGAGGGAAGCGACATCGAGGACGGTGCAAACGGGAGCAAAAAGCGTGTGAAGCGTGTGATCCACGTATGCAAGCGTATTCTTCAAGGAGGCTCGAGATGACCGTGGCTCAAGGTCTCATTTACTGGGGCCACTGAGTCGTCGTTCCTGAGGCTGCGCGAGACCAGATGCTGCAACTTCTTCATGAGACAGATTGAAGGACCTCGGTGATGAAGTCAGCTGCACGTACGATTTTGTGGTGGCCGGGACTCGACAATGAGGTAGAATGTCTGGATAGCCTTTGTCCCACTTGTGTACAAACAAGGTAGATGCCGCCAGCAAAGATTCCCGTTAACTGGCTTGTGACTTTTGAGAACTCATCACGTGTTTATCTGGATTTCAGGAATCCAGTAAATGAGGCCATGATTTTGGTTGCAGTTGATTCGCACTCGAAGTGGGTAGTGGCAATCGCTATACAGCACACCACGACAGAGTTCACAATCACGGCACTACGAGAGATTTTCGGCCGGCTTGGCATACCCAGAACAAAACATGGCTTGCACTGACGTCACATTGCATACTTTTGACCACCATGTAAGAGGAGGAGAGGGAAGCTGCTTTTGTAAAAATTTTGAGAGACGGGTTAATCTTTTATAATCTGCTGGGAGGAGAATAGCGACGTCTGTGCAAATCCGGGAGGCACAAAAGAGGATCCTGGTAAGAGGGAAGCTCTTTCTTCCCCTCTTCTCTGGTGGTCATCGGAGCGTTCTTTGAATGACATCACATGCAAGCCATGTATCGTAAGCGACAGTGGCCTTCGGTTTACACCAGAAGCATTTGCCAAGTTCCTGTCGAGCAACAGTCTGAAGCACTTGCGTACAGCGCCACATAATCCACAGTCAAGCGGCCTCGCAGAGAGAGCCGTACGCACCAAAGAGGGTCTGAAGAAACTCCAGTCGAGTAGTTTGTCTACGCGCTTTAGATGGCTGCTGTTCAACTACCGTAGGACACCACTGGATGACACAAGATCTCCATCCCAGTGGCTTCTGGGATACCAAATTCGTTCCCGCCTGGATACCTGTCTTCCGCCCCGTTTATTATCCTCTGGGTTTGCTGGAAGACTGTAAGCAAGTTCAGCTTGGGCAACTTTGTTTGCGCTCGCAATTTCGGTGAGGGGGAAAGGTGGTTCCCAGAAACGATAAAAGAAACGACTGATTCTCGCATGGTCACAGTCGAAATGTCAGCTAGAGAACTTAGGTGGCACATAAATCTACTTCGACCACAAGAAAGCATGGCAAGCACGATTCATACACCAGCGGGCAGCACGACGCCAGAACCACTCGGTCAAAAGGTTATCGGTAACTAAAGGAATCAGACGTAGCCTAAGACAAGACGTCCATTCCAGTTCTTCGGCGGCCGACCCGAACCATGAAATCAGTTAACCGCTATCCATCTTAAGAAGGGAGGCATGCTGTACCTCAGATAGCATTTGGCTCCCATCTGTTTTCACCATGAGCGCAGTGACATCAACGACAAAGAAGCGTCTCGTGACTGACGAGCGAGACAGTTGAACACTGCATCTGCCGTACACTGTTTGCTCCTGAAGGACAGCGCTTAATGAGAGAAAGGATTTTATCAGATACCCTACACGCTACTAAGACATAAGACAACATCAACGTCAACATATGCAATCACAACAACTACAATGGACGTCATTTTCAGTGGTGGGAAGAGACCATACCAGATATTGTTGTAAATTATTTAGCGGTAAGGGCTCCAAGAACCTTGGAAGTGGATTATGGCAGTACGCCTATGTGGGCAGTTCACCTTGGAGCGCTTGGTGCTGAGTGGCCTGCGTATCCTGTTCATGATCTCGAGGAACTTGAGAAAGGCCTCCCGCTGGGCAGTCTCGTCGTCGGTGGTGAAGTCGGGATAGATGTCGCACCTGCACCTCGAGTCCTTGGCCTCTATGATCTTGCGGGTGGCCGCCTGAGAGCCCGGCAGCACCAGCATCCGCAGGCGCCAATACTTGAGGGTCTGCACGGTTGCAAGGACGCATCAAGTGACCTCTATTAGTGGTATCGCCATCGGAGCTGCCAGCACTGCTGACCCGTGTAGGGTATCCTGTAAACCAGAAAATTCTTAATCTTTTAACAAAGAATGTGTTATGTGGCTGGCTCCTAGCAGTTTTCGGTTTCGCATTCCTGTAACGGAAGGCCGTCACACGGGTGTTGCCGTTGGCTGGAACTCATGGTGTCTGCACCGACCGCACACGCTCCGGAAAAGACAAGGAGATGCAAAATAGCCGCGTAAATGCTGGGTTGTGCCACCGTAGGAGATGTGAACCTCGTGCTCCACTCCTGCTGGACTGCTAGCTCTAGCAGGGCTTTCTTTCAGAGACGCCACGTGCGACAATGTTTGGGCCATCAAGACATAAAATGAGCGGCAAATTCATTTATGCATTATTGCTGTGAGGCAACATGCGTGATACCCCTGCCTTTGCCACGACAGAGCAGGAAACTGGCAAGTTCTTGTATGTGCCTCTAGCCACACTGAGGGAGAAATGAGAAGTCTCACCTCCTTACGATAAAAGGCCTTCATGAGCTTATAAAACATGCTGATTAAAGGTTTGGAGCACAGCAGATACTAGTGAAAACAGTGAGATGTTTTATACATCAAAGCATGGTAGGCATGCTTATACTGTATTTGGGCTCAAGAAGTGCTGTGTTTAGGGTTAGTAAGATCGAGATAAAACAGGAACCCTTGGAAGCACCCCAGGAAACTCCTAGTTTCTAAAAACATGGCTCCCTTGCCTTGAGTACAGCCATTTTCCTGCAATTGGTCTGATCCATCAAAGGGTACACTGATGTCCACAATTCCTAATATCACGAGTACTACGTAGTGAGACATTAATCTACAAGGTGATTCAAGGAGACTCCAGGATCTTTAAATCAACCGCAAAATTCGGTTTCTTAACCTATCACGCTACGACTCTGTGCAGCATTGCCCATGGATGGTGCATTTTTTTTGTGAAATTTGCAAAGAGCAAACTTACCCGAGGAAAAAGTAAAGAAAGAAAAAGGCTTAGCTCCTATGGAAACGCAGCGACGCCATTGGTTTTCAAACAACACGGCACCGTTTCGCACGGGAGACAAGAGATGGCGCAAGCAGTCGCAACGCCAACTGCCGCCAACGAACGAGCATACGACGCCGAGAGCCGGCGTCTTTAGCAGACAAGAAACTGTAGTTCCTTGTTGTTACCGCGCCAGTTTTTGTTTCTGTGACTGTCGCTGCATGCAGAACGTGCACCGCTTTTGAGTCGAAAAGATTGTCTGCTAAAAACACCCTCAGCGCCGTATGCTTGTTCGTTGGTGGCGTTCGTTGTGCCATCTCTTGTCTCCCGTGCGAAACGGCGCCGTGTTGTTTGAAGATCGGTGGCGTCGCTGCATTTCCATAGGAGCTAAGCCTTTGTCTTTCTTTACTTTTTCCTCAGGTAAGTTCGCTCTTTGCAAATTTTACAAAAAAAATGCACCATCTATGGGCAATGCTGCACAAAGTCGTAGCGTGATACAGTAGGCTCGCAATAATTCAAACTCGGATATTTCGTACTTCCGGTTAATTCAAACATGTTTGAAAATTCTGGTTGTCCCGCTGTGTTTTTAATGTATTTATAAGCCGCTTAATTCGAACGGCGTTTTCGCTTAATTCATACTTTTTGTTCTTGCGGCCCCGTTGAGTGTGCTTCTTTCCGAGCACTGGTGCGCTGCAGAGGAGCAACACCCGAAAAGCGTGCCTCCGCGGGTGTTGCTTCTCCGCGGTGCACCGGTGCTTGGTGAGAAGCGCCCTCAACGGGGCTCAAGCAGGCACACGAGCTCTGAAAACAGGGACCACGTAAACATTTCCATAGTAACTTGCGCGGACGCTGTGACGTGGCGGTATGGCATAGGTCCACGTCACAGCGTCCGCGCAAGTTGCTATGAGAACTACCGCGCGGTACCAGTTTTTATTGCTCATGTGTTCCCAGCTTAATAGTCCACATTAGGCAACCTCTTCGAGTAATGAACAAAGTTAATTTAGTTTTGAGTTGTGATCTGCTGTCTAAACAGTCCACGAGAAACATATTTAAGGGATGATTATAAACTTATGTCATACATTTCACAAATGTTTTATGCATGGCATACCTGCTTATGATCAGTAAGCCTATGAGAGGAAATCACTAAATATCTGCTTTGTATGTGTAGTCATTCATTTGACATATCATAATTTTATCTTGCATCATATTTAGATGAATTTCTGATAATTCCAATTTGCGATAATTTAAACGAAATTCGTGGCTTCTTGGAGTTCGAATTAACGAGTCTATTGTATTCCCGTATCCTCGCAAAACCCGACATACACTAAATGCGTTTTTCGGACTGTAGTCCACACCTGGTTTTCTGGACGTCCACAAAGACTAAGTTCAGTTCTTTCACCAATGTGTTATACCTGTACTTGCTTATAATTATGCCTATGTAAAGGAAACTGGCGAAAATCTGCTTTGTATGTGTAGCTATCCATGTAACAAATCATAATGTCTAGTATCATATTTAGATGAATTTCTGATAATTCAAACTTCTGATAATTCAAACTAAAATCTGTGACTTCCTGGAGTTTGAATTAATGAGAGTCTACTGTAGGTTAAGAAACCAAATTTTGCGGTCGATTTAAAGAGCCTGTCGTCTCCTTGAATCACCCTGTAATGATCCGAGAACCTGTGCACGAATTTGAAGTTTATGAACATGAACTTGCACTTTGTTGCACAACAATTACTTCGAGAAATCTCAACAACCCCTAATGGTCCACTGTATCGGTTCTCAAAGTGAGTTCTTGAGAACCCAAAGGGTTGTCTAAATCCCAAAATTTGGGAACTCATAGGTCCCTGCCTTGAGTGAAGTGTTCTAGTTTACCATGTTGGATTAACCTGAGACTGGAGTAGAGGAGGAACATCAAAACGTAGAAGAGACAGAAAATAGACAGGACGACGTCTCAAACTCAGCTAACTCGTTTATTTATTAGTCCACCTCCTTATATAGTCTCAAACTCAAGGTCATCTCCACCAACACAAAAGGACAAAGTCTACACAGTTCAAGCGCCACAGTCTCCATTACCCAATAAACGAGTTAGCTGAATTTGAGACGTCGTCCTGTCTATTTTCTCTTCTATGTCCTGATGTGATCTCCTCTACCCCCATTTCAGGTTAATCCAACATGGTTAATATTCACCAGCTCGCCTGCGCCCTTATGATATTGTTCTAGTTTAGGCACTTATTCTAGGAGATATAAGCTGTTTGCAAATGCCTAACACTGTGCCAAACATTCTGCACAGCTTTACAGGATCGTGCGGGATCGTGAGGGTTTTCTCAACCATCCGTTCAGAGAAATTGGTATTCCCCAAGGTCGACAAGTTTGAGATGGAGCAGAAAGGGGCAGATAGGGAAATCCTCGCACTGTACACACAATGCCATCATCTCCAAAAACTCAATTTTAAAGATAAAAAATGAAACATTTACAATCCCCCGTAATGCAAAATTAGAGCCCAGCTCTTGAGGAGGAAGAGGGCATGCCTCTCCTCCCCCTCCGTACCCTCCCCCTTTTCCTCGCCTCCCATTTAGCAAGAAATGTTAGCAAAACTTTCCTTGCTAAATTTAGCGGGAAATTTACCAAAAATTTGCCCGCTAAATGTAGTGGGTTGTTTTTCCACTAAATTTAGCAAGGAATTCAGCGAAAATGTTCCCGCTAAATTCAGCGGGAAACTTTCTCCGCTAATTTTAATAGGTTAAGTTTCCCCACTAAATTTAGCAGGGAAATTGATGTCGCATGACCTCAACACCAACCAAGTTTCCCCGCTAAATTTCGCAGGGAAACTGTGCCATCCCATAATGAAACGTGCGCGGTTACATAGACGCCAACGCCGACGCCACTCAACCCGGAAACGGATGTCCAAGAGCTGCACTCCAAAGAAAGTCTAGAACCCCTGGTCTCCCACAAACGAAGGCGTGTCCTCACCTCCTTGAGGCCATATTCTCGCTCCCCTCGAATGCAGATGTAGTGGTCGAGGTAGCTCCAGTTGAAGGTCTCCAGCTTCTCGCTGGAGAAGATCACCTTGGAAAGGTCATACGAATCGCTGCCCGGAGCCTGCAGGTTGTACACATAGAGGATGGGCTTCACCTCACGCGAGGCGTGCCTGCACAAGGGAGGATTCAGGGCAGGAAGATCAGCACACGATGAAGGAAGCCTACTGAGAGAATAATTAATCCACCCCCTTCCATGAAACAACACAATGTTTGAGGAGCTGCCAAGCTCTGCAACTTAACACCGGGTTCAAAAATTTGTGCTATTACTTTTACTAACATGTTAATAACCTTAGGAGGGTAGTTTATTTTCTGCACTGATATCTCTATGCCAGTAGTTCCACTGAGCTACTGGTGTAGGGACATCCGTTGAAGACAGAGTCTTCAGGGATGCCTTCCTAGTAGACATGGGTAAGGACTATCCTCAGTAGGGACTAAGGGAGACATCCGCTGGATAGTCTCTAACCAAGGTATGTTTTTGTGGGGTAGGGACTGTCCTTGAAGGCAGAGTCATGCTTCGAAGATGTAGAGAAGAATACTAAACAAGAGGCCGGCTACAAAGAGCCTGCCTGTGGTTTAATGCAGAATGCATTGCTGGTTCTGCCAACTAGAGCATAACAATGACGAAAATGTGTGACACAGCTTTCCAGCTAGGCTTAGTGAAAAAGTTAGGTGCAGATTGCATTTTGTGTCTTAGGTTCTTTAAACAAGTCTAAAAGTCCTAAAAATTTGGAGACCAATGCACATAAAAGAACTCTCAAATTGGTTAAAAAAAAAGCAAGAAAAAACCAATACATACCAAAAAGCCTAAAAGAAAGCACCAAAAAAGTCAGTGCACGGGTAAGACATACTAAATGCATTTCGTGTCCGTCACCTAAAAGATAAGGTAGGTTTCTATGTTGCTTTGAAGCAGTAGCTTTGTAGGGCCAACCAACCTCAGGAGCCGTTTAAGCACAAAATGTCTAGGTTGGTCAGTCCATAACCGCTAAAAGATATTTAAAAAACGGCAGCCAGTGACAAGGATCGATCCCCGGCCACCGGCATGGAAGCCGAGTGCGCTGCTGACTGAGCTACGAACCCAGCACACAGGAACGGTAAGAGCAGAAGCAGGTGGTGTGAGAAAGCGCACGAAGCAGAGAGGGGTGGAAAGTGTAAGAAAGAGATAAGCAGAAACAGGTGGTGTAGAAAGAGTGCGAGAAACGAGAGGAAAGAGCAGGAAAGTGTGCTTCCCCTCTCTTGGTGACCCAGAAGCTTTAGTGCGAATGCTTTGTATGACGGTGGCACTGAAGGGAAGCGTGAGACGTGACGTCAGGCGTGGAGTGAAAGTGATTAAAACATGACATGTAACGCAAATTAAAGGTTGCCGCATGTCTCAAATGATTTCACTTTATGAAGTAATTAATTTGCATTAAATGAAAAAAAATTGAAGAATTTTAGGCATAGGCGGGATTCGAACCTTGTGAGCCAGACAAGCTACTGACTAGGCCACGCAGATATGGTTGCACGGTTTGGGAACGACCAAGGGTTTACATGTTTCTTAAGCGTCCTCCCGTAATTTTTTTTTTATGGTCTGAAACATTTCAAGAGCATATGATAAACCTGTAAACAGAATTTTCCTATCAAACAAAAAATGTCCAGTGTGCAAAAAAGCTGGTCAGTGCCCCCAAACTGAGGGGAAGGATGCGAATCCTCGCTTTTTTCGGGATGACGTAGTTGGCGAAAGCATGCGTCAGAAATTTATAGATGTTGCAAGTTGCACGTCTGTAAAAATTAATAAAGACATTCAACAAATATGTTTTTTACGACAATTGTAAACACACTACAGTATAGACCACTTACAACGTAACCGCTTATAGTGCAGGACCGGGTATAACGCGGCTTTTTTAAACCACCGGTTCGCCTCCCATAGAACTCCATGTAATTACATACCGCTTAAAATGCAGGCGCGCAAAGGGAAATACCGGTTATAGTGCGGTCTCTGAAACAGCCCGCCGGGCCGACCGCGCCGACCGATGCAGCGAGCACGCTTCCCTGTGTGACACTGATAACCAAGATAACGGCGCTAGCCGCAAGCGGCATTGCGGAGCAAGGAGGTAGCTCGAAGAGGCGGGGAGAAGTGGAATAGAGAAGCTTCAGTTACCATAGTGACGGAGGGACGCACGCACGTGTCGTTCACGTGCGTGCATCCCTCCGCTGCGTAGAAAACAACCGCAACGGCAGACCAATCGCAGGTCGAAGAGAAGTGTTCGCGCGTTGCATGCCGGTCACGGGGCGGCTTCTTGTTTCTTCTATCTGGAAACATGACGTCGGTTCTGATCGTCGACGTAGACGGCGTGGTGGAAGCTCATCGTTCCGCGTAAAAGCGCTATCCTTGACTGTGAATTTTCATTGTGTGTCGCTATGATAACCCAGCACGTATGTACCAGAAGGGAAGATCCACATACTCGTGCGACGATGTCGTGGCGGCACTCTCAAGATGGCAGAAACGCCCGTGTCGTCAAGTTTGTTTACTTCGACTACAGTGGTGCTTTCTAAGCATTTGTGTTTTCGAACATCGCCCGGATTTCTTATTTGGAGAATTTCATGCCTGTGCTCAAGTTGAAGGTATTACTGGTGCGTACCGTATAAAGGATGCGAATTTTCACGCGTTTTCATCACCGGAGAAAAGTCATTAGGGTTAGCAATCCTGAACGCTCGCAACGTCCATCCGCAACCCGCGGCGCCGCTAGAAGGCTGCTCCACGCAAAAGTCGCTCATTTCTTTCAAAATGTGTGACACACTTAAGAGAGAAGTGTACTAGCAGTACTAGTCTGGTGAAATAAAGACTTTCCTCAAACTAAGCTTTATTTTTCATCTAACATAAAATAAATTGTTTTACAAAGGTAAGTTGTCTCATGGCATGTATTTTAACCTGAAAAATTGATGTTTTGGTTATAGCGCAGTAGCGCTTATAGCGCGGAGTTTCGCGACTCCCGCGACATACGTTATATGCGGTCTACACTGTATGTCGTTGACTTTGAAAAATAAAAAATCTCAGAGCCCAGATGTGTTAGTGATGAGGCATCGGCCGTTTCATGTCTCTTTTTTTAAAGTGATAGCTTTACGGGTAACACTTTGCAGAAATTTCGACCTCAATCTTGTCGTCGCCACTACGGAAAAGCCCTTCTCTCTGCTCTTGGCGCAAGGCCAGGAAAGTCGGGTTTTTCTGTCGGCCGTGCAGCGCAGAGATCAGGAGTCCTCGCATTCTGCCAGTATCGACGCAACAAAAAAAGAGTCTTCCGTATCGTCTGCTTGAAAGACTTGTTTTCAAACATTACTCGCATTATGCGAAATCCCACTTTGGCAGCATTGTGTTGCTACGCGTAATGTTGGATGATTTTAGAAACTTCCACCGCGCTTACGCACTTACTTCACGGATCACTGAGATCTGGTGGTGGTCGTCAATGGCATCCACGACACCAACCATGATGGCTATCAGAATTAACTATGTCATAACCAGTGTGTCGAACCGAAAAAAATACGGGTTCGGTTACGGTTCAGGTTCAGGTAAATTTATTTTGTTCCGGTTCAGTTCCGGTTCGATTAATTCGATCCGCGAACTGGTTCGCAAACTGGTTCGGAAATTATAAATGACAAATTGCAACATCAAAATAAATTACAAATAAAACATCTGAAATCAGCACATACGAAACGGGATACATCGTAGTGTAAGGCTCAGGGATTTCTACCAGGAATGGTTTCTTTATGTGCACTCAAAGGTTACCTCACCGACGTTTACGCATTCGGACTTCATCTAATTGGGTCCGACGTAGTAGCTGCAAAATCCGCGACCTCCTTACAAACCCACTTACAAGTAGAACTCGCTAACTATCCCGCCGCCTCGGCGTGTAAGCAATTGAAGGAACAGTGGGGAGAAAATACAGCTTTCTTTATTTGAACTAGCCTTCGGTAACTCAAATTAGACCCTTAAAGAAGTTTTCATTAAACAACATACGGAATATGAAAAACACTTCACCGAACGCAACGCCAGAAGGACGTAATAGGATAAATATTAAAATAGAAGAGTTCGCTGTCTCACAAATATGTTAGCTTCTAAGTGCCTATACGAAACCGGATGCATTATTATCAAACTCCACAGCCTTTTCTTTTCTCATTCCGATGGAAGCAAGCTTCAAGAACTCGCGCGTTCTAGAAACGTGTTATGAAATGAGCACACAGCAGCATTTAGGATTTACGAGATTGTAGAAAAATAAAATCCCGTGACACGATTTTTTTTTTTTTTCACAGCCTTCCAATTTTCTTTCTTCCGTGCAAGCCGCGACCAGCGCAATACTGGTTCCTATGTCAGAATTCATGGATGCAGCGTTTGTCAAGATTCATGGATGCAGCGTTTATATTCCTAAGACTGAGTGGAGAAGAAAAATATGTAAGCGAGGTGTGTGTCAGTTAACGGCACTTAAAAAACAAATGGCATTGATAGCACATTCATTGTCAACAGCGTGTGGCCGAACCGTTTTGACATGAGCCGGTAACCGTTATTTTTTTTCCGGTTCAGTTCCGGTTCGGGTTCATCGCGATAACAATATAACGGTTCGGGTTCGGGTTCAGTTCCGTAAAAAATACCGGTTCGGTTCCGGTTTTCGGTTCGGTTCGGTTCCGGTTCGACACCCTAGTCATAACTACATCCTCAGGTACGTAATGGCACCATTCCACCCACATTGCGTGACCATACCACAGCTATCGCTTTCATTTTTACATGGCGGTGCCAAGAGGCTGTGCTGAGGGCGTTGAGAAGCGTGACAACGATGAACAAGTCAGCAAAGGCTTGGACGAGTTTTTTTTTTTTTTTTTTAAGCATTAGATTATTTTTTGAACTTCGAGATGGCACTAGTCGAGATCAAAATTCCGGATTATCCTTTGCATAAATCAGCAGTCAGCAGCTTGTCATTTTCTTCTTTTAAAAGCTTAACATCCACAAAATAACAACACGGCTAAAAATCTTTAAAGGTGACGCATTGTTTTCTTACGGAGAAAGGTCATGTGGAAAGTGCACAGTGAAGTAAACTGCGCGATTGGCCGGCTGGCAGACGCAAGTGCCTGCGATGCGTTGATCGATGAGAGGGAAAGAGAGAAAGTTAAACGACACATCCTTTTTGAAGTCATTCAAGAAGACAACAAATATACCATTTCCCCACCTACGTCATAAATTTGGGAGCGAGTTTGAAATCAAGCTTTCTGAATATATATTTCTTCCTCTGCAATAATGCAGTTCCCAAGCTTAAAATATTTGGGGCTATCCCTAGAAATTATTTTCAGTCATTTGCAACAATAAAATAAACATTGATGCCAGGGTTGTGAGTAGTCACCCAAATAATGTTTCAACCGGTCTTACCGTGGCCTGTACTGAGTGACAGTGATGACCGGTCCACTCAGCGATATGGTGTGAAAGATCCTGCCGATACTCATGCGACATTCCTCCTGCTGAAAAGAAAGTGCAAGATCATCTCCCGTTCAAGACAGGGAGCTTTACCCAACTGTACAACAGATGCCCCTTGAAACCAGGGACACGAGAGTTTTAACTGGTCGAGAGCAGGGACCAAACCAACCTTTTCTTCATTGTGTGGAGTGTGTCCTCGCAGCACACTATGACCAGGACCGTTCTGGGCTCCGTTGGCTGAATGCGGTTTTGGCGGAAGTTTGATTATCTGGAACCCCTGTTGATGTTGTGGGGAAAGATGGTCAGGATCAAACCATAGAGAGTAAGCTGACATATTTTGTCATCTTCCAGCAATGTTCAACATTTTATTACACAGTATATATAGTACAAACTGCGATCTATTATAGTATATGCAACGAAACTATGCACAAGTTACTGTCGTTCTCAAGAGCTACTTCAAACAGGTTCCCCATATTTTAAACAAGGATATGTTATATGGCTGGCAGCTAACCATGTCCAGTCAGGTGGCAGTAACGGAAGTCGACAGGGCGACTGCCAGCCAAATGCTCATGCAGCGCTTGTCTCCTCACTGTTTAAACACCAGTGTCAGCCGAGCCTCTTTCTCGGGTGCTTCAGTGTTAGTGAAAATAGACATACAGTAAAGTTCCGTGAGTATGCCCGCCTCCGAGAGATCGCCCATCCCGTTTTTTTGGTTAAATATCTGTAACATAAAAATCCCAACGCCCACCCCCGATTCCCGTCGAACGTCACGCAATGTCAAACGGGAATCGCATCAATCGCGCAATTTGCTGTACCGGCACGTCTGACAAGTGAGTTCAAAGCTGGCTCCCGCATTTTTGTCTGCGATCTGCGCATGCGATATCAGCCCCCGTAACACGCGAGTTATTCCCGCGTCTATGTTGCACCGTGAAATGCAAATCTGCTGCGTTTGCAATCTGCAGTATCCGTTCCTGTGACATAAAAGTTTGTAGCGAATTCCCGCATGTTTACCTCATCGTGAAACGCGAATTTGCAGTGTCCATGATCTGTGGTATCAGTTCCCACGTCACGTGGTTTGTACTAGGGCCAAGGTGTTTATAATTAATTTTTGATAAAGTTTTGCTGTGGCATTCCTAAAGATTGTCCACGCCATGTTTTTCACCATTTATCTCTTCATTTTCGGTGGGCGTTTTTCGGAACTTTACGCTATGGTTTCAATCAGACTTTAGTTTATTTATCCATACTGTAGGTCACTGAAGACCCATACAGAAGTGGGTGTATGTACAAACAAGAAGCAATACAGTGGTATGCAATATAAATGGTACCGTCGGGGCCGGTTATAATGAAGTCGGAGGGAATCGGAAATCACTTCGCTATATCCGCTATTTCGTTATAGCCGACTTCGGTTATAACCAAGTGCAAAGGGAATATGGCAAATCGCGATCGCTTCACTGTAGCCGCTATTTCGTTATAACCGACTTCGTTATAACTGGTCTCGGCAGTACTGTGGTACTTGCCAAGCATCGTCGAAAACCACTAATTCAGTCATTTTCAGAAAGACTTTGAGTGTGGTAAGTGCAGTAGTGTGCTAAACTTACCACCTGTGCAACGAGCACAAGGCTGGGATGAGAAAGCGCAAATGACAAGAGACGGAAAAACCACATGAGTGCGTTTGCACTGGTAGATTTGCTCCCGCTGCAGACATGGCAACTTTAGCATTCTACCGTGCTTGCCCCGTGCTCGCAGTCTTTGTAATACTGATTTGGGATTTTTCTATGATACTCAGCAAGTTTCTAATTAGAGCCATATATTTATTTTCAATAATTAAAATGTTAATTAACATATTAACATAACATAACGGTCAATTAGCCAACTGACTGTTTTGATTAACCTCCTATACTATGTCCCCTGGCCATGTAACTCACAAGCACAAACTGCATTATTGCAGCTTTCAAGGCTTTCTTTTATTCAACAAATTTGTTACGCTTAAAAAGAAACACCCTGTATAAATAAACATACAGTATGTAGTCCCTCGTTATAACGAAGTCAACGGGACGGCAAAAAAATTAGGAGAGCCAACATCGACAACGGCATTGAAGGTGGATGGGAACACTGCAGGAGACCATTTATTTACGGTAATCAAACAAACGTTGACTATGAATAGGGTTCTGCGTTTTCAGTGTTTATTTTTTTTTTCTCAAATTCGGGGGTATTTTTTTTTCTTTTTGGGGGGGGAGGGGGGGGGAGGGGGAGGGGTTCTATTTTATACTGATTCTGCATTTTTTAAAACCAATTTACACAAAAAACACAGAATCTTTTGAAAACAATAATTCCCCTCCTCAAAAAAAGCAACCCCAAATTCGGAAAAATAATAAATACCAAAAACATGGAGCCCAGGTTATGAACAAATTGCGGCAGCTTTACTGAGGAGTTAAAAAAGTAATACAATAATAATAACAAAATAATAATAATAAAATAATAATAATAATAAAATAATTAAGAGGAGTTTGCCAATAATTTTATCCAGGCATCAGTTCTCCTCGAACTGCTTCAGGCATAGCAAGAGCACTGTCGCCAACGCCGCATTCTAATTTGCCCCCAGGCAGCCGTAAGGTGTTCTGTGTTTCATCAGTCGTCGGTGTTTTCCAAAACGCCTTTCCAACAACGCTTCGTGTTTACCTTGGCCACACACAAGGTCTACGATTGTGGCATCCGTCGCAGGAGCAGCAAACAGGAATGTCCACATTGACAAGCACAAACAAATCAAAGTTATCCCCGGTGACTTCACCAACGTGTTCGCACACACTCCTGTAGAAATCATTGCAGCTCTGGCAATCATGCGCTAACTCGGCAAGCATACGTGCGCGAGAAAATTCGATGCGCGCAAAGCAGTTGATAATTTTTCATCTTCTAATCGCGGGCTTGCTTTCTCGTGCATGAGAAGCTCTTCTCAAATCCGTAAACGGATTGCTGGAATGTCGAATTCATTGGCAATTTTGGACTTAGGCCAGTGTTGACGCAACTTTCAACAAGCACTCCCATACTCTCAAGGCCGGTTCACACACTTGCGCGAGTCCGTACGAGTGTGACTGCGACGGCTTGCGACGTTAATCTTTTTATAGATTGCTACGGCAATGGGCCAGTTGTAAGCGGCTCAAAACCCTGTCGCCATAGGAACCGGTAAATGGATTAACGTCGCAAGCCGTTGCAGCCGCACTCGGTAGGACTCGCGCAAGTGTGTGAATCACTTTTTATATGACGCACACGTATGCCACAAGTGCACACGCACAAGCATGTGCGACGGGGGCTTTCAAAGGAATCATTTCCTCTGGGCTCCTTCGCTTCCTTGACCCAATTCCAGCGAGAAGCAGGCCGCCATGTTGGCCGTGGGCACCATGAACAGTGTCGGAACGTGGACGCTGTTCTGTTTTCTGTTTGCCTTTGCCTTTCACAGTTTGCCATTTGTCCGTTTGCCTCAGCGGAGGAGGGGGAGGGAACGAAAGGGACTCTTGTGCGCCTCTCTGTAGGCATGCGTGCTTTCAGCACCCTGGCCTTCGTAATAAGTGCGGTCGGCCGTCGATATAGTTTAAATGATCCGGTATGCTGGTTGGGACCACACTAGACTTCGATAAAAGCGATACCATTATTACGAGGGACTACTGCACAACCATTTCTGACAGGTATGCCAAAATTAAGATGAGCATATCTCATTTCACTGTGCGTGGGTGAAATCTGGAGTATAGAGTGAATGGTCCCTGATCAGGCACACTTGCCAAAATCGCTAGGGAGTGGCAGCATCTCAAGATGACCCTATCTGGTTACCTGCTGCAAACGCTGACAAACTAGCTCTTGGTAAACCTGCTCAGTGGTCAGGGGTTTGTGGTGCTTGTAGTCCTCATCTCCCCTGTAACACCTGCAAGATGTGATGTCGCACGTTACGACGACCAGCAAGTGACTGACAAGAAAGTCAAAGGCCCCACAAAATGATATGGAGTACACAGAGTGAAGGGTTGCAAACACCCATGATTTCTATCCCAAGCTTGCTTGACATAAAAAAAAACAATATGGGAAATTTCAAATTCCAGTTCACTCTAAAGCTTGACCCCTAAACAGCCAGTGGAAATCCTTAGTGAATTTTCACATGCTGGCACTTTACGGATGCAGATGAGGAACTTAAGTATAATTTTAAAAAAAGAAAGTATGCAGTAAACTGCTTCTAAGAACACAATATACTCTGGACATTTTGGCACTATTGAAATAATGTAAGCCTAAAAGACAATGTGCCGGCTTGCATAGTTTTACTTTATGTGGACAGAATTTTTGAGGGGCTGTACTATCCATATCCCTTCCATAGGCTTTTGAGCCACAATAGTGACGAGTTCAGATGTTTGTTAGCATGAGAAAAATGACTTCCAATCTACCCTCGAACGATAAAGGGGACGCACCTGCTCTGGGTGATCTCTGTGCTACGCTCTTCGGAGAGCAGCCCATACTCCGACATAACGTAGTCATACTGCAGGCTATGCCTGTCGGGAAAGAAGTCTGTGGTGACAGGCAGGCAGGCAGGAATCACCAGGCTCTTCCAGTCTACCCCTGCAGGTTTTAAGAAGAGGACAGACATATTGGTGAAAACGGCAAGAAGAAACAACTTTTTGGTGCAGTCTGTGGCAGACTGCGAGGAACCGACAAGATGAAAAAAAAATTAGGCAGTCCCGCGTTAATTCGCAGAAGTCACAGTGATCGCTACAAAAACATCACGGCGAAGTTGTCGGGCTTCGACGTCGCGTTTGTGCACCATGGGGCGCGTGAACAAAAGCGCTTGAATCAAAATAGACATCCGACCGTTTCGTTCCCGACGCATTCGTTTCTTTTTTCTTCTGGAATGCGTGAAAGCACGCATGAGCTCCTGGCACGAGCTCCTGGCGTTGACAGGACAGGGCGATAGTGGCATTTTGTTATCGGCCATTTCTTTGTATTTTTCTAGAGAGTGCGGGCAGTGGGCCATCACATCCTCACTACGAAAACCCCGAGTACAGAGCAGGTTGTTAACCCCTCGCCTACTAATGAATGTCACTCGTACCACCCCTCACGGACCATAAAGCCCAACCACGAGTGTGCTTCAAATTTGGTTTCGGTGCACTCTCTGGTGGATGGCAAAACTACCCCTTTTGCTCCAATTACCTTGGGGAGTTTGCTCGTTTGGTTTGCTGTTCGACAGGGAGAGAACGCTCCATTTACCCAAAAAAAGAAAGCAGTTGCTCGCGAGTGTTCACACCAAAACTATGTGGCTTCGGCGCGGAGGTCCACTTTAGCCGACAAAAAGATACAAAACCTTCTTTTTAAGTGAGATTATGATGTGATGAAAGCGATGCAAATCCTTCAAGCATTTCATCGACTTTGGCGTCTGCACGTCAGTGGGACTCGGAGCAAAAGTCCCGATTTGGAGCAAGATATGACAAATGGAAGTCGAAGAAATCTTTTTGTCTTAATTTAATGCAAATTGCCCATTTCAAACAAAATTTTGCTGCAAGTAATTTGAAGAAAGAAATGACTAGACAAGGAGTTAACGCTGTGGTGTAGCTCTGTTGTAACGTCTCTGCTTCGGACACAGTGGACCCAGGTTTGATTCCTGCGGACGGCAGACACCTTTACGCCCTCCGGACACCTTCTGCCCTACTACGACAGGACACCTTACACCCCACTACGCCTACCATGCCAACTACAACATGATCAACAACTACAACATTAACAATAGATATCATTTTTAGCAGTGGGAAGAGTCCACAACAGCTATCACTTCAAAAAATTACCCTCTTTCGCACACTGTCGCGGGAAAGGCGGAGGTGGCATGAAACATACTGCACGTTGTTTCACGATGACGTCGCGCGGACAAACTTGGTACGCAATTTGTGTCTCGACGGCACAGAGATCGTCGTGCGTGGCGTCTCCAAAAGAAAGCCCCGTCGAAGCCAGCGCTCCGGTGAGAGTGTAACGCAAACTTCAAGCATTGCGCAGTCGCTGACGCAAGCTTTGACCCCGTCATATCGTGACTCCGTTTCCTCCGAAGCGGGTGCTCGTTCTCTCCCCCTCCTCTACTGCATGCTCACCCACCACATCTGCCAGCATGCTAGCTCAATGCCTCCCAAACGGCCATGGTAATTTTCACATCACCCACCAGGGGACAGCAAGAGCCACAGATTGGACACGAGTATTGCATCAACATTCAACCCGTACTCGCGTTTGATCGGTGAGAACGACGAGTTCCAGCTGCATGCTGATGCAGCACTCGTGCGATGTTCTTCTGTTACAGAAGTGTGTTACCAGAAAGTGCAACATAGCTAAAAGATATGTTTAGCTATGTTGTTTTTTTTTCGGTAGAGTAATCCGTCTGCTGCCACTACACGACAGGTTCCATGCCAAAAAGAGAACCCTGATCTCACCCGTGGTGAGGGCGGGCGTCCACTCCTGCTCGCCCGTGGTTCCCCAGAGCCAGCTGTGTCCCGTTTCCACGATTGGGGTCTCGTTGCCCAGGGATGATCCAAACAGGGCCCTAGATCTGACTGAAGCTGCAAGGGTTAATGGGGGACATGGGCCTATATTTTAAATTTTTTTTTTTTTAATTCATTTTTCAATTTTAAGGTTTTCAGTTTTCTAAACTTATTTTACAGCCTTACACCAATTTTGATAACCATACGCCAAATAGTTACATTGATATAAAATATTTTCAACACATTGTGAGGCAGTAACAAAGTAAAGGAGTTCAATGTTCAAATGCCTTTTTCTCGGTTCCACTTTTTGCTGCAAAATTCATACGAAGAAATCTTTTGTTCGAAGCTAAAAGTATTTGGATACCACAATCAAGATGTTTCTGAACTGAAATTTACTGGGGGATTGGGCTATCTACTTTATTTTATTTTAAGTTGAAGTCCTCAGTGATAAAAAACTGAGTTTTCAAAAATTGACACAGGACAGATATGCATCTCATATTTTGAGGTAATAACTCTTCCTGAAATATTTTCATTTAAGTTATTCAAACTAGATAGCCCAAGGTCCCATATCCCCCACTTTATATTCAAGCAGTCAAAGTGATGCTTATTAGCTTCATTTGAATGTCATAGATTTCTTAATGAAAAGTGACACAACATCTTATGCAGGTATGTAAATTTGTCCTAGGGAGCTGAAAATTTGCACAGTACACCTACATCTGAAGCTAAATCTCCCCTGAAAATTTCACTTTGATCACTTGAGTAGTTCAAAAGTTTGACCTCTAGCCAGTGTCCCCCCTTAACACCAATCGGAGGAACAATAAAGAGGTTCATTCCAATTCAAGCGGGGCCTGGCCAGACGGTCCCTTCCAAAAAAAGAAATCTCGACACCCGGCTCAAACACCCAACCACACGTCCAAAATAAGCTAAAGTCGGCTTTTTCAACTAGTGTCACAGCAAATACGCCATACAACAATGCGTCCTGTGTATCTATTTTTCATGCGGTGAGATCGCATTTCAATACAGAAAACACATCTGCCCATTTTGGCATAGGAGCTCCAACATCATTAGCAAACGGCTTACCACATCTACTCAAATATTGTATATAATGTTCGATATCCTGAAGGGGTAACCAGAAATAATTAGAATTTTTGTACAGAGGCTCAAAGGGCATTAGTATCGACGTTTGTTGCAAGGTGCACATACTACTACATTGCTCTCTGCATTAGTTGGCCAAGCGGCGTTCTAGGAGAAAGGTTCAATGCAACAGTGCATTGTTCTTCTTGAGCCTATGTCACCATCCTCATTGATTCTGCAAAGGTGGACGCGAAAGAAAAATGTATATGCATCAACTGACACCGAAAAAAAAAAAAAAAGATCTCCAGCTGAAATAAGCTTTCAAAAAAGCACCCCGAAAAAAATTAACCCCAAAGACGCAAAACTTTAGTCGTAGGCACCGCTCGCCGAGTAACAGAAAAGTAAATTAATATCAACATTGAAGCTCTTTTGTGCGAAGAGTGTCGCCCCTTACCATCCTTGGCGTGCCTCTTGACAAGGTCGGTCGCCTGAGGCCTCTCCGGCAAGGTGGGCACTTGGCAGAGGTTATTGGACCTGCTCGAGCTCTGCGGAATGGCTTGGTAGTGATGCTGCTGCATGAAGATGCCCGTGGGACCTGCAAGACAGGTTCCAGGTTCTTCTGCCGGGGCTGCCCAACTCGGTGCAACCAACGACATGCAGCACACCGGATGAGCGGATGAAGTCTGACAGGGTCATTCTCACTCACGGTAATTAACCGACAAGGAAGCTCGTAGTCTGCTTGAATAGCTATTTGAATTTTGACGGTGATGCCGCCATCGTTGCAATATCGCGAGCGACGAGCTAAAAGTTGCGAAGCAACGCTTGGCGAAACGGTTGGATGGCAGCTGCTGTGATGAGAGAAAGCCAGTTTCTTACTCCCAATAATATTGCATAATTCATGTGTCAACCCTGCGCCATCTCATTGTGGTACTTGTGCTGTGCCACTCACTTCAAGCTTCCCGACTTCACACCGGCGTGCTAAGAGCAGTGGTTGACACGGGGGAGCATTTCAGTTCGATTGGTGAGCTCGGAAATTTCTCGCACTCTCATATATGCTAACATTATTTGGTTACTAATACAGTAGGCTCGCGCTAATTCATAACTCGGATATTTCATACTTCTGGTTAATTCAAACAAATTTCAAAAGCTTGGTTGTCCCGCTATGTTTTTAATGTATTCATAAGCCACTTAATTCAAACGGCGTTTTCGAGTAATTCATACTTTTTGTTAGTGTGGCCTTGCTGAGGGCACTTGTTTCCAAGCACATACGCTTTCACGCAACACCCGTGAAAGCAAGCAAAGCTTGCTTTCACGTGTTATCTTCCTTTGTCTTGGCCCGGATCGGAAGGTCGAAAAGAAAACTAACTCACATTGGTAAAAAGACAATAAAAGGGAGATTTAATACTTGGTGCGAATTGGGGTGGCCACACAGGCTGAGTTCACGTTCACTTTCGCCACACAGGCTGAGGTTCTGGTCCTCTGTCGCCACACAGGCGTTACGGCGCAGCGAGGTGCATACTGCGTTGTTCGTTGAGAGAGTCTCCTCTGCGGAGACCCCGCCCGGTAACAGCCAGCTCCGCGTAACATGATCCATGGGAGCGGCCTCGGGGCTCGGTGCCTCGCTTGGACTTCAGACGAAAGTTCTTATACGCGTGCGCGGCGCCGGATATTAGCAATATATGTGATGCTTACTTGGAAAAGTCTACACACGGGTGTTGCTTCTCCGCAGTGTACCGGTGCTCGGTGAAAAGCGCACTCAACGGGGCTCGAGCAGGGCATACATGAGCTATAAAAATGGATGCCACGCGAGAACTTCCACAGCAACTTTCGCAGACACTTTGACGTGGCAGCATGGCATAGGTCCACGTCACAGCGTCCGCGCAAGTTGCTATGAAAACTTCCACGCAGAGCCCGTTTTCATCGCTCATGTGTATAGTTCACTTTAGACAACTACTTGGCCTGATGAACAAACTTAATTTTGTTTTGAGTTGTCATGTGCTGTCAAAGAGTCCATGATAAACAACATTTCTGAGGAATAAATAAAGTTGTGACATTTTCACATATGTCTCATGAGTGGCATAGCTGCTTATGATCAGTAGGCCTATGTAGACGAAATCATTAAACATCTGCTTTGTATGTCTAGCTGTTCATATGGTAAATCATAATTTTATCGTTCATCATATTTAGATGAATTACTGATAATTCAAACTTCTGATAATTCAAACAAAACTTGCGGCTTCCTGAAGTTTGAATTAATGAGTTTATTGTAAAGATCAACCAATGAAAGATGGACCTACAGTCGAACCTTATTATATTGAACATGGGTATCTTGAACTGTTGCTTATATGGAACTGTTTTTGAATTATTGTAAAAATTATGTGCATTTTAAATTTTATATTGAACATGGTTCGTTATATAAAACGGATATATTGAACTCCGCAGCACCGGACCAGGCGCGCTCCAAAGACAGGCGGCAGGCTTTCCCGCAACACATTGGCAGATAGTGGTGGCGGCGCGGCAGGCAAATGCAACTATTAACACGCACATTACCATGGCGCTGGTAGCGCCATTTGGACTAGGCAGCATACACGGGAGGCACTCTGGCTTGTTTGCAAGTTTCTCGTAGGTGTGGGTGTGTGGCCTGCAACCAACAAGATTGCCTGCAACTCACGCAATCACACTACCTTGCATCTTCTTCATGCTCAGGCGTCGTGTATAGTGATGGCGGCAAACATGAAGAAACATACGTCGTTGTTGTTCGCGATAAAGCTTGAAATAATTCAGCGCATCGAAAAAGGAGGGAAAGAGTCTAGCGTTGCTGACGCTTACAATATATTATGATGTGCTCTGAGCATGTTGTTGAAGACAAAGAGCGACGTCAAGGTGAAGGCCGTACAAACCAGGCACTCTGACTGGCGCACAGTGTGTCTGGACACCACTGTGCGCCAGTCAGTGGTGTCCAGACACACTGTGTCTGGACACCACTGACTTTGAAAACATTAAAAAATCGCTGCACAAGTGGTTTTGGACGCGAGGGCTCAAAACATTCTCCTGTCAAGACCAATGCTACAACAGAAAGTGAGAGACTTCGCATTCAACCATGGCAAAGAAGACTTCGCCGCAAGTAGCAGGTGGTTACAACGTTTTAAAGCCCGCTAAAACATTGTCGGGAGGACTGTCTTGGAAAAAAGCCAGCATGTAACATTCACAACATGAACAAGTGGCTTAAAGAGGAGTGGTTCAACGTTCTCGCAAAGTATGAGCCAGAGGAAGTCTTCAACGCTAATGAAACAAGCCTGTTCTGGCAAATTCTTCTGCGAAACAGGCCTGTTTTGGGGAAATGCTATCCCATCAGCGCTTCGAGTGAGTATTTGCTTTGCCGTGAGCTCTTTAGTAACTGAATAGCACTGCACTTTGACGCGTTTTTACTGTGACTTGATATATCGAATTTCGGCTATATCAAACCATTTCATGATTCGCGCACCGTGCGACATACGGTAATCCCTCGTTAAGCCGAACTCGGCTATCTCCAAATATTGGTCAAGTCGAAAGATTTCCTTACCATGGAATGAACTCCCAAAAGCACAATGCATTTGCTCATCGCTTATCTCGAAAAAAGTTTCTGGACCGACCTCGAATGTCTCGAAATCTTGACAACAAACATTACCAGATAAAAACAGGAAGGGCACAGCAAACAACGAACTGGTGGCCTAAACATTGGCTAACGCAACAATACAAAAACACAAAAAAAAAAAAATTAAAAAATTGTGAGTTATGTTGCGTGAGAGACAATGCACAAAGTAAAGAAAGAGAGAAAAGTCCGATGTCATGAGAGCAAGAAAGCAAGGAGCAGCGGATACCTCAAGGACGTTTCTTGTTTTACTTTTCTTTCTCCCCTGATATTTAGGGGTGTGTGATGCTGTTTCTCTCTCCTTCGCACTCAATGTTATCTTCCACTCTTCATCTCTTTCTTTCATTATACTTTATTTTTTTATTTTTTTTTCGGGAAGAATTCTTTAAGGAGGGGAAGGGGTGGGGTTAGTTCTTTTTTCTCGATCCTGCTGTCTCATCTTATGATGTTGCTTGTTGATAATTTTGTTGCTGTCAATTTGTTCTCCCCGTGCGAGTTTCAAATCAATTGCAGCGATTGTTAGAAGGGTTCCACTGCCATTATGCCAGATAGGTGCAATGAAAATTGGGCGCCTTGAATTATCTTGAAACTCCACTTATCTGAAATTTATTTTCTAGCTTTTATGACTTCTAGTTAACGAGGGTTTACTGTAATGAGGTTTGTCTCAAAATCTTAATATACATGGTAACTGGTGGTTCTCCATAGTTGCAAAAATGCATGCAATTAGTAGTGTAAGAGTTGCTTTCTGTCTCATCAATAACCTTCACAAGGGTGTCATTGGTTTTTACGTTTCCCTGAATTATTTTATCAAGGTCAATTGAAAAAGAAATATTGATAGAGTGCTACTGTACACAGATGTTGCTGTGAGAGGTTAAATAAAGATCTTTTTCTCTCTCCATCTCTAGCTATCCGGAACATAAAAACTCAAAGGCAAGAGTATTCCACACATGCATTAACCAAAGTGTAGGGAGATTCTAACTGATGTCACAGCTTCAGATATCATCCCACTAGTCCCTACTTTTAGTTGGAATTGCTACAGGATTACAAGCGCCAAATTCCCTAATGGGCAATTCCATAATTCCACTCTCGATGCACACCTTGAGCACAGTGAACCCACTGCCACACTAACATTCACCTAATGCTAAGTAAATATCTGTGGACCAGGTTCTACAAAAATTTTCGGCTCTACCAGAAGCCCAAGTTGGACGAACCAAGGGGAAAGACGTGCGTCCAGCGCCTCCTGTTGGATGTCAACTTGATGGTGACCTGGGAGGGGTCGAAAGGGTTGATGAGGGCCCTGGGCTGCTGCTGGCTCCTCCGCTTTTCCTGCAGCACGTTCTCCGGCACGTGTCCGGCGCTGCCCACCACCGTGCGGTGCGGGGGAGAGGTGACAAACTCCATGTCGTCCTTCGTCGCCCGGGGCCTCTCCGGCTCCGGTGGAATGCAGGCGCCCCCTGTGGGCCGACAGACACGAGATTGGTGGTAGCCTCCGAGGCACTAAAGGTGAATGTAAAGTGCCTCAATAAATACAGCTTACCACTCACCCTGCAGGCAGAATGTCAAACCGAACCCAAACCAAAAATCGAAGCAGAACCATTATTTTTACCGAAACCAGAACAAAACCGGAACCGAAATCAAGCATTTATTATTGGACTGGAAGCAGAACAGAACCGTAATCTGATGTGACAGTTACCGGTTCACTGCAAAACGGTTTGGTGTAATCAGGGATGGGCAGTATTTCAAATACAAGTATTTAAAATACGTATTTCAAATACTTTGTGTATTTTGCATTTGTATTTAATTACAAATTGGGTAATGTATTTGACGTGTGTATTTAAATACTAAAACCTGGGTATTTCAATTACAATTGTAATTAAATACAATTTTGTGGGCAAAAATACATCCCTCAAATTTATTGTCACTGTCCAGAACAGGAAGAAAACTACGTACATCACCGATTGCAGTGTCTCTCAATCAAGCACAAGCGTTTAGTGACTTTTTGATTACGGTGCTAGTCTAAAGCAAGAATAGTGACGAAATCGACGTTCACAGGCAGCCTGGCTAAATAAGTGCCTGTGACAACTTGTGATGCTTTTCAGCCTGATTTCCATCCATATTTTTGCCTGGAACATTCTAAATGCGCGGGTCGTCCAGATTTTCGTAACTGGTGCGAGTTGCAACAATAAAAAATTCTCTAGCTAGTGCTGCGCGTTTTGGTCGTCTCAGTTCTTTGTTGGTCTATACCAAAATGTAATCGACAAAAAAAGCTGCTTGAACCTCTGTACTTTTTTCACCTATTACGTCCAAGCTGATAACATTTTTTTGTGATTATATTTCTATTACGTTACTGGAGCCTTGCACACTAACTCCCGAGTGTGCGGTGCAAAATTAAAATGAGATACCCAGAAACCTGTTGCAGGTGCCCTGAAGTCGCTGACGCAAATCTTGAGGAATGTATTTGGAAAAGTATTTGAAGGAGACCAAATACATTTGGTTGTATTTGTATCTTGTACTTAAATGCTTTTTTTGGAAATGTAACTAGATTTGTAATTAAATATGTTTTTGACGAAGTATTTTGTATTTGTATTTCGATATATATTTACATGTATTTTGCCCATACCTGGGTGTAATAAATATGTGAGCTGCACCTTCTCGCAGGTGGCAGCGCAAAGTTAATTAAATATTCCCAATGGTAGCATCACTCTACTGAAAATCCATCTATAGGGTCAAGCAGGATTTCTGAAATGTTTTGATGTACCCTTAAAAAAATTTTGAGGGGTTTGAGATGTTCGTTGATGTTTTGTAAGGGGCCTGATATATTCTGTAAAAATTTCTAAAGGGTGTAAGGACCCATCATTGTTTTTTCAAAAAGCCTGTGGGGTCCGTCCCAATCCTTTCCATGAAACCACATCACCCATCAAAATCGCTTTAAAGGGTCTGTGGGAGGGATCATGTGATCCTTCAGGAGATACGCGTTGGGGAAACTGCTCGGCCATTTGTATCAAGCGGCCACAACGAGTTTTGGAAATTGAGGAGACGTTCACCCATCTCTATCCTGTCGTGGCCTTCACAGCCCCATTGCTGTGTTTGTGTGTTCTGTGTATGTTTTCACGTCCTAGACTAGGGACGGCCACGGCCCCGTCCTCATACCCTCTCCCTCACTCACGAGGGAGAGAGGGCGCATTGGGAAAATGGGAGGGGAACTTTTTGCGGTTTGTTTGAAAAAGACTTGCTTTTATTCAGTCAAAATACAGCCATCGTCAGAAGCTGGCCGCCCTGTTTTTCTCTGTCAATGAGCGCAAACTAAATGCACAACGAGCGGACACTCAGTGCCGGCTTCCCGTCCTATGCGTGGAACCCATCTGCTGCGTGTGCGAATCAAGAAAAAGGTCTCTCAGTGCCCCGTTTCTTGCGCCTCTTCATCTGTCCTGCTTCACAAGCATCCAGCGAGCGAAAAAGTCTTCGGAGATGCTGCCACGACGGCATCAGGAACGACACCATGACTGTGCTCAGGATTTCTCAACAGCAGCAAATGGTGGCTGCACGTTTGTGGTTTTTGCTAAACGTGCTGCTGACAGTGTGCATGTGCGCGTGTGGTGCACCTGCTCGGTTTTCCTAGTTGAACTACCGTACATCTCAGGAATTTACCCAGTGGCATTATAATTACCTCGAAAGATATTTTTGGAACAAAGAACTCTGTTGTCCCTATTTGGTCTGATTGCTTGTGTCTACAGCTACCTGCGCTTGGGTTCGAGTAAACGTTGGTTCTTATAGTCTTTTAGAGATACAAATGCATGTAAAACTAAATGTCTGAAATAAACCTCCAATAGTGTTTTAAACTGCATTTTTGGTCTATGGTTCCTAGGCATCTAAAGAGTTGAAGGGCTGATGGGGCCTGACAGGTTGAAGGGTCTGAAGGACTGAAGGAGTTTGAAGGGCTGAGGGGTTTGATGGACTGAAGGGTTTGAAGTGCTGAAAGGGTCCCATAACACATTGTGGCACCGCCCCTTAAGGCCGTGCAAGGCAGGTAGTTTGCGAGTATGGTGTGTGCTACCGTCACGCAGTCTTGGGTAAGTTACTTTTAAAAAGTAATTTGTTAGTTACATTCAGAAAAAAGTAGCGAAGTTACCGTTACAGTTACTGCAACAAAAGAGTACCTCGTTACAGTTACAGTTACTTTTAAAAAGTAACGACGTTACTTTTCAGTTACTTTTCTATACACAAAAAAAAAATTAGAAGAAAACTAGAAAACGCCCCTCACAATAGTTTATTGCGTAAAATTAAAAAGTATGCTTTTTACTTCATATTATAACTTAGCAGCAGTTGCTTCTCGAAGTTAGTGTTTGAAAGTTTCCATGCCAGTCTAGTGGCGCAAATCAAAATACGAAACCTGCGCAGTGCGGAGTAGTGGTGCTAATCAAAGTATGACACATGCGCAGTGCCCTCGACGCGTATTGTTGTTTCACGGTTGATTCACCCGATTAAAACGCGTTTGCATAGAAAAAAGAAAACCACAACATAGATAGTGCTTCAAGATACTAAGATGTAAGTGTTCAGTTACAAAGTACAAGCGCGTGCGTAAAGATAACTATATTTCTTTTCCATCAAATCTACACGTGGCTATATTCGGGTCGTGACTCGCGAAAAAGGACGTATTCACAACTTTCTGCAAGGCAGGCACGTAGCCGGGGGGGGGGGGGGGGGGGGCATGGGGCCCGGCCCCCCCCCCTCCCTCCAAAACCTTCCATTTCGCTGGGGCCTCCTCTCCCCCCTCCCCCTCATACAGCATTTTGCCATTAATGGCCCCCCCCCCGAAACAGACCAACTTGACACTCGAAATGTCAAAATAGACGATTTGGAAAGTGCAAGGAAGGGCTAAATTGCACTCATTCAGCGATATATTATTTATAAAACACTGGAAAGTAACGACAAAAGTAACGTCGTTACTGTGGTGTATCGCGAGTAAGACCAAGCTGCAGCCGTTAGTCGCTCGACTCGTTCGTTTTAATCATGGCTCCCGACTGACCGAGACCCGTGCTCTTTCAAACCACGTGCTCTCAGCACGCGGGGACCGCGCGCTTCCCAACATGTCCCGCCATCTGCTATAGCATAAGCAGATACATCACATCTTCCCCTCACTTGGCTGTGATCCCGTATCTTGTGGGCGGTCTTCGCTCCCACGTTCCTGCCCGGATGGGCATAGCCACAGGTTCGGACAGTTCGTTGCCTTCCGCACTTATCGCGTCAGCTGGTGCCTCTTCGGCCTGAACGTCCAAGCCCCAGGCTGCTGATGGTGTATCACTCGACCGACGTGCAGCTAATAGCCTTGGTCGTATGTGGTCCATGTGCCGTCGAACTAGTCCGTCTTCTGTCTGGATTATCCATGACCGCGAACCCAGGCGCTCTGTAATGACCCCCGACATCCAAGTTCGTCCACTTGGGAACTTTAGCACCCATACGGATTGTCCCACCATAAACTGGCGTGGATTTTCGGTTGTCGCTTGTACCTCGTCCTTGGGTACGCGTATCAGTCTCTCAAGTGGAGATGGCAACTCTCGTCCAAACATCATCCAAGCTGGTGTCTTGCCTGTCGCCGTGTGCACTGTGGTATGTTGCTTGTAAAGGAACCGTGGTAGAAAACACTTGAATTCCTCCCTTCCTCTTTTAGCAAGTGCCTGCTTTAGCTGCTGCACCATCCGTTCCGCTTGACCGTTTGTTGCGGGGTGGTACGGCGCACTTGTGACCGGCAAAACTCCATTTAGGCGGTAAAATGTCTTTATCTCATTGGAAACAAAAGCCGATCCATTATCCGATACCACTTTTCGTGGTACACCAAACGTCGCAAAAACGTTGCGTAACTCGCAGATAACGGATGCTGAGGTCATACTCGAAATAGCACGTACTTCAAGCCACTTAGTGAACGCATCCACAATGACCAGGAACACTTTTCCGTCCACCGGTCCCACAAGGTCCACATGAAGCGTGTCCCACGGAGTCGAAGGTCTTTCCCATGTTGGGCTGCTTCCTTTGGGTATTGCCTTCTGGTGTCGCTGACACGTGTCGCACTGGGCCACACAGGACTCAATCTCCTTGTCGATCCCCGGCCACCAGAGGTAACTTCGGGCGCACGCCTTCATGGCGACCACTCCCCTGTGTCCTGCATGTACCAAGGCTAACGCCTCTGGTCTCATAGAGGTGGGAATTACGATGCGCGATCCCCAGATTAGGCAACCTCGGTGTATCGATAGTTCCGTGGACTTCATCTTGTAGGCTGTGAAACGCTCGCCAGCTAGCTTCTTGACCTCTCCACTCTTGACTGCTTGTAGAACTTCAGCAAGCGTGGGGTCCACAGCAGTCTGGTCTGAAAGGTCTTTAGCTGTCATGGGAGGCTTAGTCAATGCTTCCAGCATAAGAACGTCCCCTGGTGGTCGCGGTTCATCTTCACTTTCTCTCA